TTGAAATATAAGCAAATGTATTGTTGTAGCGGTTTAGAGTTTACCAATTTGAATTAGAACATATTATGATGACGATGAAGAGTTTGAACCCATGAAGGCTATAATATACTGTGCCCTCATTATATACCGATAAAAGTGATTGACCTCTTGCAGTCTTAACAATCTGAGTCACCTCTAGGACCATTATGTGATAGTCAACATTGAATTCATCATATGATATTATAATAAAGAGCCTCAATTCGTGGTTTAGAATTTAAGATTTAAGATATTATGTTTACAAGGGTGAAACCATTAAGCCCCCACTGATCCTACAGGAGCTTGGGAGCTTTATAGAGAGATAAAGAGCGTTTTTGATAATCATGTAAAAATCATAATCAAAAGTAACCGTTTATATGGCTCTATATGTAAGGTTTCTTGATTCTACAATTTGCATTTGTGTTTTGGCAATAAAAAATATCATGGCAATGTAATTTGCAAAACATAAGGCTTGTGGAATAGATCTTTTCCTAGTTATAGAACTGGAGTAACTACGCCAGTTGAAAATTGATCTTTAAATAGTTTCATGGACTTGGTGAATGTTGGCTCTGTGTAATATTGTTTTTGTGTGAGATGGATGTGCTTCAATGGTGGAACCAACATCAAAGTCGATTCCCCATTGTAGCCCAAATGGCACGTGACATTTTATCTGTGTCGGTTTTTACAATTGCATCCGAGTTAGCATTTTCAACGAGTGATTGGATTGTTGAAGATAGAAGATGTTCTTTAACTGATGAAATGATTGAAGTGATAATATGTTTACGAGATTGGACTCATGCAGAGAGAATACTACAATAGCACCCTAAAGATCCCGAACTACTCGAATTCTTTAGGAACACAGATTTCAATTATTTAAATATTGTTGACAATGAAGATGAATAATTCAATAAAAAAATTATTTAATTGTTTATTTATGAAGCGTGAATGTGTGATTGTGTGAATAACATTTATGTTAAAATTAATCATTAATTAATTTATTAATTTATTATTTTTAAAATTAATTAAACTTTTAAAAACTTACTAATCTACCCCTAAAAATTACATAAACCCCCTTACAAAATTTTATTTCACCCCTAAAATATAAAAAAAGATAGGGGGGAAAATAAAATTTTGCAAGCCCGTAGGACCAGTCCTTGTCCCATAGGCCCAGGACTGGTCCTAGGGACCGGTCTAGGTCCTGAAATTACTTATGGGCCTAGAACCGTCCCAGGCCCATGAGCGATTGGTCCCAAATGGGACCAGGTCCTTAACCAACTCTAGTCTCAACTAGTGGTTTAAGGTTTATGATTTAGACTTTAGGGGGCGTTTGGATCATATAATATTTTATGATTGGGGTATATTATATTAACGGAAATAAATACCACTTTAAAGATTATTGGGAATGTTTAGAAAATGTGTTTGGTTGATTCGAATAAATGGGTAAATAATATGTTTGAGAGGGAGGATAAATGAGTGAGTATGTTATATAGATTACTAAATTGCCCTCCTTTTTAAATATTAATATAATATTATTTTTTGAATAATTTCTTTTAAACCCCTACATTTGAAATTTTGCTAAAATACCCCAGCCATATAAAACTTTAATTTATAGTAAAACCACCCCCATCCACCCCAAGCCACTGTCGATGGCCAGCCATCACCGTTGGCTACCACCAACAGTTGACAGAATGGCACACGACTGGCCGTATGTGGTTGGCCGTGCGTTGGCAAAGTTGGAAATGGCCATGGATCACAAATCCATGACCAAAAAACCGTCAGATCTATGGTCATTTTACCGTGAAACGGCCATAGAAACGCCAAATCTGGCCGTTTTCGGCCATGGATTTGTGATTCGTGGAAAAAAAAAAAAAAAAGCCTTATTGGCACATGATCGACTAAATCCCGTTGGTTGTGCATCATTACGATGACTGACACCGGCCAGCCATAGAAATGCCAGATCTGGCCGTTTCTCGGAAAAAGCCTTATCATTGTATGATCGGCCAGATTTTGTTGGTTGTGCATCATTATGGCGGTGGTGAGTCACGGCCAGTGGTGGTCTTGGGTGGCTGGGGTATTTTGTTAACTTTTAAACTTTTTGTGGCTGAAGTGTTTTGGCTAATTTCTCAAATGTAGGGAGGCTGGGTAATTGTTATTTGGTAGACATTTGAGAGTAATTGTATCCAAAATGGTTTTTAATTAAGGGCAAAATGGATAGAAAAATCATATTACCCCGATAATGTTTTAATAACACCCCCTAACAAGGTAATAAGATTACCTCCCACATTACCAGCAGTAAACACTATTTTCAATAAAAGATTACCGTAATATTTTATTACTTGCAAATCAAACACAAAAATCTTACAAAATAAATGAAAATTACCCATGTTATCTTATTTACCCCCGATCCAAACGGTCCTCTAAAGTATAAGGTTTACATTAACAGGCCATAAGGGTTGAGTTGGGGCTTATGCCCCCATTGACATGGGAAGATTCAGTTTATTCCTATAGGAGGTGGGGAACTTTCAACGAGCCAAAACAATGGGTTTTTATGTTAAAATTGCACTTTTAAAAAAATGACATATTCAAATGTTATTTTCTCTTAAAAAACTAAAAAATAAAATTTCGAATTTCACGAGCAAAACCGTATCTCTCATCCCCAAATATGGTCTCTGTCAAAAAATTTGGACGATCAAAGTTAATTGAAATATAAGCAAATGTATTGTTGTAGCGGTTTAGAGTTTACCATTTTGAATTAGAACATATTATGATGACGATGAAGAGTTTGAACCCATGAAGGCTATAATATACTGTGCCCTCATTATATACCGATAAAAGTGATTGACCTCTTGCAGTCTTAACAATCTGAGTCACCTCTAGGACCATTATGTGATAGTCAACATTGAATTCATCATATGATATTATAATAAAGAGCCTCAATTCGTGGTTTAGAATTTAAGATTTAAGATATTATGTTTACAAGGGTGAAACCATTAAGCCCCCACTGATCCTACAGGAGCTTGGGAGCTTTATAGAGAGATAAAGAGCGTTTTTGATAATCATGTAAAAATCATAATCAAAAGTAACCGTTTATATGGCTCTATATGTAAGGTTTCTTGATTCTACAATTTGCATTTGTGTTTTGGCAATAAAAAATATCCTGGCAATGTAATTTGCAAAACATAAGGCTTGTGGAATAGATCTTTTCCTAGTTATAGAACTGGAGTAACTACGCCAGTTGAAAATTGATCTTTAAATAGTTTCATGGACTTGGTGAATGTTGGCTCTGTGTAATATTGTTTTTGTGGAGTTGAGTGAGTGCTTTTTTGTGGGTGCATGTGGAACCCTGTAAAAAAAAAAAAAAAAAAAATCGATGAAATTGGGCTATGATTAATCAATTATTATTTGTTATAACATTGCTTTCAGAGTGATTGCCTCCTTGGAAATGTCTTTGGTGAGTGGGTCTAAAAGTAAATTGATACTTGATGACTATTTAATGCGGTCGATAACTTTATATAAGGTTGTATCACTTCCAATTAGATTGTTTCCCAACTTCCTCATGTTTGTCTTAAATGCCCAAACTATTTTTAACTCCAAAGTTTTTGGTAGGTAGGTTTAAAATATTATAAATCTAATAGGGAGTGATTCAGTCACCAGAGTAATTCACGTGAATAAATTTAATTAGGCCAATTCTTCCTCCTCACTCCATCTGGAGGCCTTTTGTCTATTTTCCTACAAGATACAAAGTACAAACGCACAGCCACAGGGTGAGGGCGGCACGGCCTGCAACTGAAATAGACCAATTGATATTTTTGTAGTTACCAAATATAACTGAGCTCGGTCAAAGACCTAATTTATTATTATTGTTATATTAACATGTCATTCCAAGCGAAAATGATGCTTTGTAATTATCCATTTAATTTATTTTATGCATTAATCATAAAGCAAATGATTATTGAGAATAACTCTACTAAAATTACAAGAAATATTTATTATTAGAGTAAACAATATTTTCCCACCCAAGGTTTGGCGAACTACATTCCCACCCTTGGTTTCATAAATTAACAAAATTTGTTTAATCTAACAATTAAAAGGGTAAAATGGTCATTTCAAAGATAAAAATCTCAGAATAACCCTTCACCACTATTATAATCCCATTAACCCCTACATCAAAACCCCTAACCTCCCCCCCTAATTGAACCTCCCAATCGTTGATCGCCGCTCTTAGTTTCAGTCGATGTTTTATCCAAATTCTGACCAGTAATACTACACTCACAAACCCTTCTCACTAACTTTCTCTCACAAACGTGACGTGTCAGCTCGTAATTTGTCAGCTCGCAATGGGTCTCGCCTATCCAATAATGGGTCTCGTTTGACCAAATATGAGCTACCATGTCAGCGTTAGTGAGAAGTATTTGTCAACTTATTTTTATTCAACTCTAGTAGGTCCCAGCATCGGAACCACCCCCAACACCACCAATAGCATCACTGGCTTCCCCCCACAAAAACCCCCAACATCGGTAATCGTAATTGCCCGCCGATTGTCGTCGCCTCTCCCTTAGATTTTCGAGTTTCGTTGCGCATTTCCAGCCAAATTCTAGCACCTCGCCGAGGTGAAATCGGGTGGAAAAATTAGGGGTTTTGGTGAAGAAGATAAGGGGATGTCGATGGTGGTGTCAGGGAGGTCCAATGGTGTCAGAATCAAGCTGGATTTTTGGCTTGGCCGAGATCACCTTTGTGGGTTATTTTAGAGAAATTTGAGATGTGGGGGTTATTTTGAGAGAAAAGTAACAGTATTAATTTAAGGGCTGGAATTGCAATTTATGAAACTAAGGGTGGGCATAAAATAGTCACCAAACCTTGGGTTGGGAAAATGTCGTTTGCTCTTAATATTATAATTTATTATTTATACAGGGGCTGCTTTCGAAAATTTTGGATTATTTTTTTTCAAGGGTTCAAACTCAGATTAGACAGTTAGATAGTATTGATTATTATTATTATTATTACAAATTACAAATGGGTTACAAGCGGGAGGATTGATCTATCTGCTTCCACGAACATTGATTACAGATCCGTGCTTGAAAGAGAGTGGAAGAAACCAAAACGTTTCAAATATTTACTTTTTGCCCTTGGCACTCTCGTGACTCATACTACTGTCTTTTACCTTAGCAAATAGCCAAATATTAGGAACATCCGCTTCCTCTTCGGATCTCTGAATCTCTCCTCAATCTTTCTGGTACACTTCTGGCTGGGCTTTGCAACTCTTTGATTTTCGAGGTATTTCTTTCTATCAATTTCTGCTATTCATTTTTTGGCAATGGAGTGTGGATCTCTACTCCATTGTTTAAAATTTTCATATTTTTTACCTACTAGGATTTAGGTTTTGCACTTTCTTATTGATTAATGTTTTTGCGCTGAAGCTCTTGCAGTTATCATGACATAAAGTATGAGATTTCTTCTAAAGAGCTGATTATAGTGAAATGACAATTGATGTGCAATCATCAATGGCCCAAAGTGTGAGAGCAACTAGGTCTTCCTTTAGCTCTAGCAATGGAAATGAAGAAACTCCTTTGCACAATCCTGTTTCTATCTCAAATGGGGATGAATATGATAGTGATGGCTCCAATTTTGCACCACCGTGAGTCTTTTTTCATATTGGTTTCACTTCGTATAATGTTTCTCTGTTTGCTGTTTATATTACCAATTTTGGCCCTGCAATTGAAATGGAATCAAGCCTCGCCTGATGTGGCCAACTCTTCCACCTCCACCATCTGTATATTAAGATTTTAGTCAAAAGTTGTTAGCTTTGACCAATCTCTTATCCGATACTCATCTTTTTATACCTGATGAATTGCCATATAAAGACTATTAGGCTCAATTTTTTTCTTCCTTGCAGTACACCTACGACACTCTCAATGGCTATTCCAGCAGAACTTGCAGGTGCTATACCCTTGATTGATCGATTCCAGGTGGGGTAATAAATGTTCTAGCTGTTACATTGTAATATGTTAAAGTTAGAGAATTTCTAGTTCACTTTTGTTATATTGTCTTGTAAATTTAGTGTTCTTCATGCTATCCAGGTGGAAGGATTTTTGAGAATGATGCAGAAACAAATTCAATCTGCCGGTAAACGTGGGTTTTTCTCAAAAAAATCTCTAGGCACTCAAGTTCGAGAAAAGTTCACTTTTGAGGATATGCTTTGTTTCCAAAAGGTGGTTACATTGTTTCTTTTCTTTTCTTTTGGTGAAAATGTATTCTGTCATGTGTACAGACTCATGAAAAGTTAAATGCTTTTACAGGATCCTATACCGACATCGTTACTTAAAATCAACAGTGACCTGGTCAACAGAGCAACAAAATTGTTTCAGATAATTTTGAAGTACATCGGAGTTGATCCATCTGATCGAGTAACTCCTCCGAGTTTAGATGAACGAATTGAGTTTGTTGGGAAACTATATAAGCAAACTTTGAAGCGTGCTGAGCTCCGAGATGAACTTTTTGCTCAGATTTCAAAACAAACCAGGAACAACCCTGATAGGTAGGCTGAGATATGAGATTTCGTCAATAATGATCGATTTTGCATGGTTATATAGTAGTTGCAGTTGGTGCTATAACTTATGTATTTCTTTACTTGATGCTTGGTAAATTTATTGATTGTGACATTACAGGCAATACTTAATCAAAGCATGGGAGCTGATGTATTTATGTGCATCCTCCATGCCTCCTAGCAAGGACATGGGTGGATATTTATCCGAGTATGTTCATAATGTAGCGCAGGGTGTTAATACTGATTCTGAGGTCCAAATCCTGGCTCTGAATACATTAAATGCTTTAAAGCGTTCAGTTAAAGCTGGTCCCAGGCATATGATACCAGGTCGTGAGGAGATTGAAGCTCTTCTAACTGGTAGAAAGCTTACAACTATAGTTTTCTTTTTGGATGAAACATTTGAAGAAATTACATACGACATGGCAACAACAGTATCTGATGCTGTAGAGGTACTCTCCCTCTTTTAATTTGATAATTTTACCGATTTTCACTTCATAAATTATGTCTATGGATTTCCAAACAATCCTGGTTTGCAAATGTCTATACTCTTGATCCTTCAAGCTCATTATGTTTGGTAAATCAATACTGATATATTCCTTTCATAATATTGTTTAAAAAATTCTTGTGACCTCAAGTAGATAGCCCAATTGGTTAAGATGTTATCTGTCTTCTGGAAGTAATTTAACAGATATGTTTTACAGGATTGTTCTTCTACCAATCTGTTTGTTAGTTCATCCAACATGCCAATTCATGTTTTTTCAGAGCCTTTATAGGCTTGTTTAAGAAAGTAAAGGCATCTTGACTGTCAATAAAGCACATTGTGTCTATTCTGGTTACCTTCTGTTTTATTTTGTGGGTCCAACTTTTGTCCTTTGTATTGTGCCACGTTGTTGATACTGATCAAATTCATGCCTGATTTAGGAACTTGCGGGGATAATTAAACTATCAGCTTACTCTAGCTTCACTCTATTTGAATGCCGTAAAGTTGTCACTGGTTCCAAGTCACCTGATCTTGGGAGTGGTATATACTCTGTAAACTTTTTGATTCTTCCTGGGTAAGATATTTATGATATTATCATCTAATATGCACTTTGCTGTCATGTAGAGGAGTATATTGGGTTAGATGATAACAAATATATTGGTGATCTGCTGGCGGAATTTAAAGCAGCCAAGGATCGAAGTAAAGGAGAAATTCTGCACTGCAAACTAACATTTAAAAAGAAGCTATTTCGAGAGTCAGATGAAGCTGTGACAGACCCAATGTTTGTGCAATTGTCATATGTTCAAGTATGTAATCTTGCATTGAAGTAGTGTTGATCAATTTAATTTAACTTCTAGAATGGTACATATGCTCTTTCTGAAACCTAGGTTAACGTTTATTATCTAGTATTTGGTGATAATGGTCATATTTTTGCAGTTGCAACATGACTATGTATTGGGCAATTATCCAGTTGGAAGGGACGATGCTGCCCAGCTTTCTGCATTGCAGATCTTGGTTGAGATTGGCTTTGTTGGTAGCCCTGAATCATGCACGTTAGTAAAGTTTCTACTTTGTTTACTTTATTATGTTCAGCTGCCACCTCTGCAAGTTAAGCATGATAGTGCTTTTTTTTTTTTTTTTTTGACTTTTCTGTTTTTTATAATGGTAGCTTGATTAAAACATATAGACATATTTTCTAGTGATTGAATTTGAATACCTGGTTGTTTTACACTCTACTGTTTTTTTACTTTTTGAAGTTGTTTTTCAGTGATTGGACTTCTCTTCTTGAACGATTCCTCCCTAGACAAGTTGCAATTACTAGAGCAAAGCGGGATTGGGAGTTGGATATTCTTTCTCGTTATCGATCAATGGTGAGAAACAAATTCTGGTGATTTGTTGACCATGAAAAGATCAATTAATCTTCAGGAAAGCTGGCGTCTGTTCTATAACTATGCTTTTCTTTGATTCATGACGATATTTTCTATGGGACATTTGAAATCATTGTTAATAACTTGCTTATAAAATTTTAGAATGTTGATGTAATATAATTTTTTTGATGGGAAACTTCAGGTAAATATATTAGTGGGAGTAAGAGTGAGAGATTCTAGGGGGGATGAGAATTGCACTATTGATTAGCTCTCCCTTAAGTTTCTATACAAAAAAAACTTCAAAAACTATAAGAATCTATAAATTGTAAGTAAAGCCATAACATTACTAAGTTAGAAGAGGTTAGGCTAAATCCTATTCCAGTTAAGGTGAATGATGAGAATGAAGTATGTTGGAATTCTTTTGAAACTGAGGCCCCATAAGGATAACCAAAAAAAAAAAAAAAAAGCCACTTTGTTCAACATAACTCAATTGTGTCTTCAAAAATTCTAATAGCTCATTTATGATAAATCACCAAAAGGGAGCAAGCACCAGACCCTTCTGGAATTGTTTTGGCCTCTTTTGATTGCCAAAAGCACAATTATGCTCCACAATGAGAGAACATGATTTCAGAAGTGCCAGTTGAAGATTGGTTTCTTTGCAAGCCTTTGACCACAATAGGCTGTAGCTGCTGAAGCCATTAGATATATTACATTGATATTAAAAGAAAAGGAGGTTGAGTGGAGTTTGACTTTACTTTGATGACTGATGAATATGCAAGTTTTTTTTTTTAATATATATATATATATATATAGTACATAATTTGTTATTATATCTTATCTTTTTTTTGTTTGTAAACATAAACAGTGTTTTCATACTCAATTTTAAATAAAAACATAATTTTTGTTTCTCATATTGAAACTAAATTTTGGAATATAACATCTGTTTAAGTACTTTTTTTTGGGTAACATTTGTTTAGGTGCATTTTGTTGGGTGGATAACTTCACCTTTAGCCTGCCTTCCAAATTCCCCAGTCAGTCTCAATCAAAGTCCCTGTAACATTGCTATTTTAGTGCATAATTCAAAGCAAAGTTAGTCCGTGATGTTTCATTACAATGTACTCAGCGTTTAAACTTGGACTTTGTGCTGATAAAGTTATTGGATGAGTTGAACTTGGATTTTGTGCTGCTTCACAAACTTTTGTGTATTTGATGTTGTGTGGAGTTCGATTTGATGACTGATGAATATGCAAGCTTTTGGTATATACTATCCTAAACCAATAAGTTAATATTTGTTTGATCTTTCTAATTTTGCTTTCCTGATTTCTGTAAACAGTAAATGAATTTTGCATTTAAAGTTCATAACATGCTTAAATCTCTTAAAACTGTTTAAAATAGAAGATAAATTACTCTTTTTCTGTTGTCTGAAGAGATAGAAGAGGAAAAACTGATCACTCGATGGATGCAACCTAATTGGTCATACACAAAATTTTCACCTTATTTGTGAGGGCAAGATGATTATTATTTTGTGTATGGATTATTGGCCACTTTTCAGTAGTGGTCCAAAATTTTGAAAGTCTTGTGAGCTTTTTTTTAGCTTGATACATTATTTTGTTGCCATGTAGGAGCATTTAACAAAAGATGATGCTAGACAACAATTTCTGCGGGTATTGAGGACGCTTCCTTATGGGAATTCAGTTTTCTTCAGTGTCCGAAAGATTGATGATCCTATTGGACTTTTGCCAGGAAGAATTGTCTTGGGCATTAACAAGCGAGGGGTGAGTCATAAATTGTGTGTTACTATCACAAGATTAAGATTTTGGATTTCCTGATATCTCAGGTGTTGTCACCAAAAATCTTTCCCAGACTGTTTCAGTCATACTAACCATAGAAGATGAATAAAACTACAACAACATGCATATAATACATAAACATTATAAAATTGTCATCATCCTCTTGTATCAAGCTTTTGGATGTTAATTTCTTTGTCATTTGTTTGTAGGTTCATTTTTTCCGTCCAGTTCCAAAAGAGTATCTACATTCTGCAGAGCTAAGAGACATAATGCAATTTGGTAGTAGCAATACTGCTGTATTTTTTAAGATGAGAGTTGCAGGTGTTCTTCACATATTCCAGTTTGAAACCAAGCAGGTTCGAGCAATGCTTAACACTTTTTTACTTGTCATGGTTTCCAGGCCTCTTAATCTTTTTGTTTTACTAAATCTTAACTTGCATGTCTCCATTTTTATGCAGGGAGAAGAAATTTGTGTTGCTCTTCAGACACATATAAATGATGTAATGTTACGTCGATACTCCAAAGCACGCTCTGCTACTAGTGGCTCAATGAATGGAGATCATTCTAACAATGTTAAGCCTCCTAGTATGGAAGTGTTTGAAAAACGTGTGCAGGATTTATCCAAAACTGTTGAAGAATCTCAAAAAAATGCTAATCGTGTAAGGCTTAAAGCATAAACTTGATTTATTCAATTGTTTATTATAGTTTAGGGCCATATATCTCACATAGCAGTGGTGATGGATTTTATATGTGGTGGTTAGAAGACTTTGTCATCACATTCTAGCATAATCGTACCATATTGTCAAATTTACATTTGAATTAACTTTTATTTACTTATTGGGCAGTCTAATCATTTGTAAATCACTTGTTTTATTTTTTTAGGCACCCAAAATATGTCATTAAAATTAATATCGTCTGAACCATTCTTGAGTCATAGTTGAGTTAGTGCATATCTTAAATATTCTTTTTTCCTGTTTGGAATTTTTTTTACAAAGTTCTCGTTTCCTTGTAGAAATTGCACCTGTGATAATGAGTTGAGTGTGTGGATGTAGTTGTCAGAAGAATTGCATGAAAAGGAAAAGCAAGAAATCAAAATGCAAGAAGAACTGGAGAGCTTGAAAGATGCTTTGAGAACCGGGAAGCAGAAATTGGCAGAAGTTGCTAGCGACCGTGATAGACTTAAATTGTTGTGCCATGAAAAGGATACTGATCTTCAAGTTAGTGTAGTTAATGTGTCATATCATCACTTTCATTAACTTTTTGCTGTCAGCTTTTTCTGATTTTAGTCATGTATTTTAGGCTGCATTGATGGAAAAAAAGAGCATCGAAGTGAGGTTGGCCAAACTGGGAAATCAAGCCCTAGAGAGCAATGCTAAAAAGGATTTGGTTGGAACAAACAGCCAGGTAGAAATTTGTGAAAATGGATATTGTGCTATTCACATTAATTCATACCTTCATGATTTAATTCGCATTATGGATTGAGCTTTTATATCCTGTTTCATGATGGTAATGATTTTGAACTGCGGATAAGACAATGCAGGCATTGCGCAAGCTTCAGGATGAACTAAAAATTTGCAATGAGCAATTGCATGCAGAACAAGAAAATGTGAAGAAGTTGTTGAATGAGAAAATCATATTAGAGCAGAGGGTTTTCAAACTTGAGAAGAAAAAAGCTGAGGAGGTATTATTGTCAATCTTTGAATATGGTTTGGGAAATTTTTTTGATCACTGAGAGTGATGGTCATGATATCTATATATATACAGATGGAAATTCTTGAGAAAAACTTTGAGCAAGAACGCAAGGCTTTAAGGCTCCCAATGTTTGAAATTGAAAGAAAGTTGGAAGAGACTACACAAGATTTGGCTACTGTTCAGTCAACTCTTGCAACTAGGAATACAGATTTGGCTGTACTACAGAACAACTTAAAGGAATTAGAGGAATTGAGAGAGATGAAAGAGGTAATCATTTTCAGCATCTGCTCTGCTTTTGAAAAATATATATTTACTCAACCCTTTGGTTGTTCAATGTACTTTAATTTTGATGTACGATTGTCTTACCAACTTGTTCAATTAAAAGCATCCATATCTAATGTCGTTTTACATGTTTTTAGGACAGAGATAGAAAAAATGAGCAAACTGCTGCCATCTTGAAGATGCAAGGAGCTCAACTTGCTGAATTAGAAGCACTTTATAAAGAAGAGCAAACTTTAAGGAAACGTTACTTTAATACTATTGAAGGTTGGCATCACTTACCCCTACGACACTCTCAATGGCTATTCCAGCAGAACTTGCAGGGTGCACCCTGATTGATCGATTCCAGGTGGGGAATAAATGTTCTAGCTTTACATTGTAATATGTTAAAGTTAGAGAATTCTGTTCATTTTGTTATATGTCTTGTAAATTTAGTGTCTTCATGCTATCCAGGTGGAAGGATTTTTGAGATGATGCAGAAACAAATTCAATCTGCCGGTAAACGTGGGTTTTTCTCAAAAAAATCTCTAGGCACTCAAGTTCGAGAAAAGTTCACTTTTGAGGATATGCTTTGTTTCCAAAAGTGGTTACATTGTTTCTTTTCTTTTCTTTTGGTGAAAATGTATTCTGTCATGTGTACAGACTCATGAAAAGTTAAATGCTTTTACAGGATCCTATACCGACATCGTTACTTAAACAACAGTGACCTGGTCACAGAGCAACAAAATTGTTTCAGATAATTTTGAAGTACATCGGAGTTGATCCATCTGATCGAGTAACTCCTCCGAGTTTAGATGAACGAATTGAGTTTGTTGGGAAACTATATAAGCAAACTTTGAAGCGTGCTGAGCTCGAGATGAACTTTTTGCTCAGATTTCAAAACAACCAGGAACAACCCTGATAGGTAGGCTGAGATTGGATTTCTCAATAATGATCGATTTTGCATGGTTATATAGTATTGCAGTTGGTGCTATAACTTATATTTCTTTACTTGATGCTTGGTAAATTTATTGATTGTGACATTACAGGCAATACTTACAAAGCATGGGAGCTGATGTATTTATGTGCATCCTCCATGCCTCCTAGCAAGGACATGGGTGTATTTATCCGAGTATGTTCATAATGTAGCGCAGGTGTTAATACTGATTCTGAGGTCCAAATCCTGGCTCTGAATACATTAAATGCTTTAAAGCGTTCAGTTAAAGCTGGTCCCAGCATATGATACCAGGGTCGTGAGGAGATTGAAGCTCTTCTAACTGGTAGAAAGCTTACAACTATAGTTTTCTTTTGGATGAAACATTTGAAGAAATACATACGACATGGCAACAACAGTATCTGATGCTGTAGAGGTACCTCCCTCTTTAATTTGATAATTTTACATTTCACTTCATAAATATTCTATGGTTTCCAAACAATCCTGGTTTCAAATGTCTATACTCTTGATCCTTCAAGCTCATTATGTTTGGTAAATCAATACTGATATATTCCTTTCATAATATTGTTTAAAAAATTCTTGTGACCTCAAGTAGATAGCCCAATTGGTTAATGTTATCTGTCTTCTGGAAGTAATTTAACGATATGTTTTACAGGATTGTTCTTCTACACTGTTTGTTAGTTCATCCAACATGCCAATTCATGTTTTTCAGAGCCTTTATAGGCTTGTTTAAGAAAGTAAGGCATCTGACTGTCATAAAAGCACTTTGTGTCTATTCTGGTTACCTCTGTTTTATTTGTGGGTCCAACTTTTGTCCTTTGTATTGTCACGTTGTTTACTGATCAAATTCATGCCTTTTTAGGAACTTGCGGGGATAATTAAATTATCAGCTTACTCGCTTCACTCTATTGAATGCCGTAAAGTTGTCACTGGTTCCAAGTCACCTGATCTTGGAGTGTTATATACTCTGTAAACTTTTGATTCTTCCTGGGTAAGATATTTATGATATTATCATCTAATATGCACTTTGCTGTCATGTAGAGGGTATAGGGGGTTAGATGATAACAATATATGGTGATCTGCTGGCGGATTTAAAGCAGCCAAGGATCGAAGTAAGAGAAATTCTGCACTGCAAACTAACATTTAAAAGAAGCTATTTCGAGAGTCAGATAAGCTGTGACAGACCCAATGTTTGTGCAATTGTCATATGTTCAAGTATGTAATCTTGCTTAATAGTGTTGATCAATTTAATTTAACTTCTAGAATGGTACTATATCTTTCTGAAACCTAGGTTAACGTTTTTATCTAGTATTTGGTGATAATGGTCATATTTTTGCAGTTGCAACATACTATGTATTGGGCATTATCCAGTTGGAAGGGACATGCTGCCCAGCTTTCTGCATTGCAGATCTTGGTTGAGATTGGCTTGTTGGTAGCCCTGAATCATGCCCGTTAGTAAAGTTTCTACTTTGTTTACTTTATTATGTTCAGCTGCCACCTCTGCAAGTTAAGCATGATAGTGCTTTTTTTTTTTTTTTTTTTGCTTTTCTTTTTTTTATATGTTAGCTTGATTAAAACATATAGACATATTTTCTAGTGTTGAATTTGAATACCTGGTTGTTTTACATTCTACTGTTTTTTCTTTTTGAAGTTGTTTTTCAGTGATTGGACTTCTCTTCTTGAACGTTCCTCCTAGACAAGTTGCAATTACTAGGCAAAGCGGGATTGGGAGTTGAGATTCTTTCTCGTTATCGTCAATGGTGAGAAACAAATTCTGGTGATTTGTTGACCATGAAAGATCAATTAATCTTCAGAAAGCTGGCTCTGTTCTATAACATGCTTTTCTTTGATTCATGACGATATTTTCTATGGACATTTGAAATCATTGTTAATAACTTGCTATAAAATTTTAGAATGTTGATGTATATAATTTTTTTGATGGGAAACTTCAGGTAAATATATTAGTGGGAGTAAGTGAGAGATTCTAGGGGGATGAGAATTGCACTATTGATAGCTCTCCCTAAGTTTCTATACAAAAAAAACTTCAAAAACTTAAATCTTAAATTTTAAGTAAAGCCATAACATTACTTTGAAGAGGTTAGGCTAAATCCTTTCAGTTAAGGTGAATGATAGAATGAAGTATGTTGGAATTCTTTTGAAACTGAGGCCCATAAGGATAACCCAAAAAAAAAAAAAAAAAGCCACTTTGTTCAACATAACTCAATTGTGTCTTCAAAAATTCTAATAGCTCATTTATGATAAATCACCAAAGGGAGCAAGCACCAGACCCTTCTGGAATTGTTTTGGCCTCTTTGATTGCCAAAGCACAATTATGCTCCACAATGAGAGAACATGATTTCAGAAGTGCCGTTGAAGATTGTTTCTTTGCAAGCCTTTGACCACAATAGGCTGTAGCTGCTGAAGCCATTAGATATATTACATTGATATTAAAAGAAAGGAGGTTGAGTGGAGTTTGACTTAACTTTGATGACTGATGAATATGCAAGTTTTTTTTTAATATATTATATATAGTAGCATAATTTGTTATTATATCTTATCTTTTTTTTGTTTGTACAAATACAGTGTTTTCATACAATTTTAAATAAAACAATAATTTTGTTTTCTCTATTGAACTAAATTTTGGAATATACATCTGTTTAAGTACTTTTTTTGGGTAACATTTGTTTGGTGCATTTTGTTGGGTGGATAACTTCACCTTTAGCCTGCCTTCCAAATTCCCCGTCAGTCTCAATCAAAGTCCCTGTAACATTGCTATTTTAGTGCATAATTCAAAGAAGTTAGTCCGGATGTTTCATTACAATGTACTCAGCGTTTAAACTGGACTTTGTGCTGATAAAGTATTGGATGTTGACTTGGATTTTGTGCTGCTTCACAAACTTTTGCTATTTGATGTTGTTGGAGTTGATTTGATGACTGATGAATATGCAGGCTTTTGGTATATACTATCCTAAACCAATAAGTTATATATTGTTTGTCTTTCTAATTTTGCTTTCCTGATTTCTGTAAACAGTAAATGATTTTGCATTTAAAGTTCTAACATGCTTAAATCTCTTAAAACTGTTTAAAAATAGAAGTAAATACTCTTTTTCTGTTGTCTGAAGAGATAAAGAGGAAAAACTGATCACGATGGATGCAACCTAATTGGTCATACACAAAATTTTCACCTTATTTGTGAGGGCAAGATGATTATTATTTTGTGTATGGATTATTGGCCACTTGCCTCCTTGGAAATGTCTTTGGTGAGTGGGTCTAAAAGTAAATTGATACTTGATGACTATTTAATGCGGTCGATAACTTTATATAAGGTTGTATCACTTCCAATTAGATTGTTTCCCAACTTCCTCATGTTTGTCTTAAATGCCCAAACTATTTTTAACTCCAAAGTTTTTGGTAGGTAGGTTTAAAATATTATAAATCTAATAGGGAGTGATTCAGTCACCAGAGTAATTCACGTGAATAAATTTAATTAGGCCAATTCTTCCTCCTCACTCCATCTGGAGGCCTTTTGTCTATTTTCCTACAAGATACAAAGTACAAACGCACAGCCACAGGGTGAGGGCGGCACGGCCTGCAACTGAAATAGACCAATTGATATTTTTGTAGTTACCAAATATAACTGAGCTTGGTCAAAGACCTAATTTATTATTATTGTTATATTAACATGTCATTCCAAGCGAAAATGATGCTTTGTAATTATCCATTTAATTTATTTTATGCATTACTCATAAAGCAAATGATTATTGAGAATAACTCTACAAATTACAAGAAATATTTATTATTAGAGTAAACAACATTTTCCCAACCCTGGTTTCATAAATTAACAAAATTTGTTTAGTCTAACAATTAAAAGGGTAAAATGGTCATTTCAAAGATGAAAATCTCAGAATAACCCTTAACTTCTCAAATTCACCACACCGACGATTTTAGGCCATTCCGGCATGTTTTCGGCGCAGTCGACCCCTCCTAATACCACCATTACAATCCCCTCAACCCCCACATCAAAACCCCTAACCTCCCCCCTAATTGAACCTCCCCCCCAATTGAACCTCCCAATTGTCGACTGCCGCTCTTAGTTTCAGTCGGTGTTTTATCCAAATTTTGACCAGTAATACTACACTCACAAACCCTTCTCACTAATTTTCTCTCACAAACGTGACGTGTCAGCTTGTAATTGGTCAACTCGCAATGGGTCTTGCCTATCCAATAATAGGTCTCGTCTGACCAAATATGAGCTACCATGTCAGCGTTAGTGAGAAGTATTTGTCAGCCTATTTTTATTCAACTCTAATAGGTCCCAGCACCGGAACCACCCCCAACACCACCAATAGCATCACTAGCTTCCCCCCACAAAAACCCCTAACATTGGTGATCGTAATTACCCGCCGATTGTAGTCGCCTCTCCCTTAGGTTTTCGCGTTTCATTGAGTATTGCCAGCCAAATTCTAGCACCTCGCCGAGGTAAAATCGAGTAGAAATGTTAGGGGTTTTGGTGAAGAGGATAAGAGGATGCCGATGGTGGTGTCAGGGAGGTCCAATGGTGTCAGAATCAAGCTGGATTTTTGGCTTGGCCGAGATCTCCTCTGGAGGTTATTTTAGAGAAATTTGAGATTTGGGGGTTATTTTGAGAGAAAAGTAACAGTATTAATTTAAGAGCTGGAATTGCAATTTATGAAACCAAGGGTGGGCATTGAGAATTCGCCAAACCTTGGGTGGGAAAATGTCGTTTGCTCTTAATATTATAATTTATTATTTATACAGGATTATTTTTTTTCCAGGGTTCAAACTCAGATTAGACAGTTAGATAGTATTAATTATTATTATTATTACAAATTACAAATGGGTTACAAGCGGGAGGATTGATCTATCTGCTTGCACGAACATTGATTACAGATCCGTGCTTGAAAGAGAGTGGAAGAAACCAAAACGTTTCAAATATTTACTTTTTGCCCTTGGCACTCTCGTGACTCATGCTACTGTCTTTTACCTTAGCAAATAGCCAAATATTAGGAACATCCGCTTCGTCTTCGGATCTCTGAATCTCTCCTCAATCTTTCTGGTACACTTCTGGCTGGGCTTTGCAACTCTTTGATTTTCGAGGTATTTCTTTCTATCAATTTCTGCTATTCATTTTTTGGCAATGGAGTGTGGATCTCTACTCCATTGTTTAAAATTTTCATATTTTTTACCTACTAGGATTTAGGTTTTGCACTTTCTTATTGATTAATGTTTTTGCGCTGAAGCTCTTGCAGTTATCATGACATAAAGTATGAGATTTCTTCTAAAGAGCTGATTATAGTGAAATGACAATTGATGTGCAATCATCAATGGCCCAAAGTGTGAGAGCAACTAGGTCTTCCTTTAGCTCTAGCAATGGAAATGAAGAAACTCCTTTGCACAATCCTGTTTCTATCTCAAATGGGGATGAATATGATAGTGATGGCTCCAATTTTGCACCACCGTGAGTCTTTTTTCATATTGGTTTCACTTCGTATAATGTTTCTCTGTTTGCTGTTTATATTACCAATTTTGGCCCTGCAATTGAAATGGAATCAAGCCTCGCCTGATGTGGCCAACTCTTCCACCTCCACCATCTGTATATTAAGATTTTAGTCAAAAGTTGTTAGCTTTGACCAATCTCTTATCCGATACTCATCTTTTTATACCTGATGAATTGCCATATAAAGACTATTAGGCTCAATTTTTTTCTTCCTTGCAGTACACCTACGACACTCTCAATGGCTATTCCAGCAGAACTTGCAGGTGCTATACCCTTGATTGATCGATTCCAGGTGGGGTAATAAATGTTCTAGCTGTTACATTGTAATATGTTAAAGTTAGAGAATTTCTAGTTCACTTTTGTTATATTGTCTTGTAAATTTAGTGTTCTTCATGCTATCCAGGTGGAAGGATTTTTGAGAATGATGCAGAAACAAATTCAATCTGCCGGTAAACGTGGGTTTTTCTCAAAAAAATCTCTAGGCACTCAAGTTCGAGAAAAGTTCACTTTTGAGGATATGCTTTGTTTCCAAAAGGTGGTTACATTGTTTCTTTTCTTTTCTTTTGGTGAAAATGTATTCTGTCATGTGTACAGACTCATGAAAAGTTAAATGCTTTTACAGGATCCTATACCGACATCGTTACTTAAAATCAACAGTGACCTGGTCAACAGAGCAACAAAATTGTTTCAGATAATTTTGAAGTACATCGGAGTTGATCCATCTGATCGAGTAACTCCTCCGAGTTTAGATGAACGAATTGAGTTTGTTGGGAAACTATATAAGCAAACTTTGAAGCGTGCTGAGCTCCGAGATGAACTTTTTGCTCAGATTTCAAAACAAACCAGGAACAACCCTGATAGGTAGGCTGAGATATGAGATTTCGTCAATAATGATCGATTTTGCATGGTTATATAGTAGTTGCAGTTGGTGCTATAACTTATGTATTTCTTTACTTGATGCTTGGTAAATTTATTGATTGTGACATTACAGGCAATACTTAATCAAAGCATGGGAGCTGATGTATTTATGTGCATCCTCCATGCCTCCTAGCAAGGACATGGGTGGATATTTATCCGAGTATGTTCATAATGTAGCGCAGGGTGTTAATACTGATTCTGAGGTCCAAATCCTGGCTCTGAATACATTAAATGCTTTAAAGCGTTCAGTTAAAGCTGGTCCCAGGCATATGATACCAGGTCGTGAGGAGATTGAAGCTCTTCTAACTGGTAGAAAGCTTACAACTATAGTTTTCTTTTTGGATGAAACATTTGAAGAAATTACATACGACATGGCAACAACAGTATCTGATGCTGTAGAGGTACTCTCCCTCTTTTAATTTGATAATTTTACCGATTTTCACTTCATAAATTATGTCTATGGATTTCCAAACAATCCTGGTTTGCAAATGTCTATACTCTTGATCCTTCAAGCTCATTATGTTTGGTAAATCAATACTGATATATTCCTTTCATAATATTGTTTAAAAAATTCTTGTGACCTCAAGTAGATAGCCCAATTGGTTAAGATGTTATCTGTCTTCTGGAAGTAATTTAACAGATATGTTTTACAGGATTGTTCTTCTACCAATCTGTTTGTTAGTTCATCCAACATGCCAATTCATGTTTTTTCAGAGCCTTTATAGGCTTGTTTAAGAAAGTAAAGGCATCTTGACTGTCAATAAAGCACATTGTGTCTATTCTGGTTACCTTCTGTTTTATTTTGTGGGTCCAACTTTTGTCCTTTGTATTGTGCCACGTTGTTGATACTGATCAAATTCATGCCTGATTTAGGAACTTGCGGGGATAATTAAACTATCAGCTTACTCTAGCTTCACTCTATTTGAATGCCGTAAAGTTGTCACTGGTTCCAAGTCACCTGATCTTGGGAGTGGTATATACTCTGTAAACTTTTTGATTCTTCCTGGGTAAGATATTTATGATATTATCATCTAATATGCACTTTGCTGTCATGTAGAGGAGTATATTGGGTTAGATGATAACAAATATATTGGTGATCTGCTGGCGGAATTTAAAGCAGCCAAGGATCGAAGTAAAGGAGAAATTCTGCACTGCAAACTAACATTTAAAAAGAAGCTATTTCGAGAGTCAGATGAAGCTGTGACAGACCCAATGTTTGTGCAATTGTCATATGTTCAAGTATGTAATCTTGCATTGAAGTAGTGTTGATCAATTTAATTTAACTTCTAGAATGGTACATATGCTCTTTCTGAAACCTAGGTTAACGTTTATTATCTAGTATTTGGTGATAATGGTCATATTTTTGCAGTTGCAACATGACTATGTATTGGGCAATTATCCAGTTGGAAGGGACGATGCTGCCCAGCTTTCTGCATTGCAGATCTTGGTTGAGATTGGCTTTGTTGGTAGCCCTGAATCATGCACGTTAGTAAAGTTTCTACTTTGTTTACTTTATTATGTTCAGCTGCCACCTCTGCAAGTTAAGCATGATAGTGCTTTTTTTTTTTTTTTTTTGACTTTTCTGTTTTTTATAATGGTAGCTTGATTAAAACATATAGACATATTTTCTAGTGATTGAATTTGAATACCTGGTTGTTTTACACTCTACTGTTTTTTTACTTTTTGAAGTTGTTTTTCAGTGATTGGACTTCTCTTCTTGAACGATTCCTCCCTAGACAAGTTGCAATTACTAGGGCAAAGCGGGATTGGAGTTGGATATTCTTTCTCTTATCGATCAATGGTGAGAACAAATTCTGGTGATTTGTTGACCATGAAAAGATCATATATCTTCAAGAAAGCTGGCATCTGTTCTATAACTATGCTTTTCTTTGATTCGACGATATTTTCCATGGAACATTTGAAATCATTGTTAATAACTTGCTATAAAATTTTAGAATGTTGATGTATATAATTTTTTGATGGGAAACTTCAGTAAATATATAGTGGGAGTAAGAGTGAGATTCTTGAGGGATGGAATTGCACTATTGATTAGCTCTCCCTAAGTTTCTATACAAAAAAAAACTTCAAAACTATAAGAATCTATAAATTGTAAGTAAAGCCATAACATTACTAAGTTAGAAGAGGTTAGGCTAAATCCTATTCTAGTTAAGGTGAATGATGAGAATGAAGTATGTTGAATTCTTTTGAAACTGAGGCCCATAAGGATAACCCAAAAAAAAAAAAAAAAAAGCCACTTTGTTCAACATAACTCAATTGTGTCTTCAAAATTCTAATAGCTCATTATGATAAATCACCAAAGGGAGCAAGCACCAGACCCTTCTGGAATTGTTTTGGCCTCTTTCGATTGCCAAAAGCACAATTATGCTCCACAATGAGAGAACATGATTTCAGAAGTGCCTGTTGAAGATTGGTTCTTTGCAAGCCTTTGACCACAATAGGCTGTAGCTGCTGAAGCCATTAGATATATTACATTGATATTAAAAGAAAAGGAGGTTGAGTGGAGTTTGACTTTACTTTGATGACTGATGAATATGCAAGTTTTTTTTTTAATATATATATATTATATAGTACATAATTTGTTATTATATCTTATCTATTTTTGTTTGTAAACATAAACAGTGTTTTCATACTCAATTTTAAAAAACATAATTTTTGTTTCTCATATTGAAACTAAATTTTGGATATACATCTGTTTAAGTACTTTTTTGGGTAACATTTGTTTAGGTGCATTTTGTTGGGTGGATAACTTCACCTTTAGCCTCCTTCCAAATTCCCGTCGTCTCAATCAAAGTCCCTGTAACATTGCTATTTTAGTGCATATTCAAAGTAAAGTTAGTCCAGGATGTTTCATTACAATGTACTCAGCGTTTAAACTTGGACTTTGTGCTGATAAAGTTATTGGATGAGTTGATCTTGGATTTTGTGCTGCTTCACAAACTTTTGCGTATTTGATATTGTGTGGATTTGATTTGATGACTGATGATTGCAAGCTTTTGGTATATACTATCCTAAACCAATAAGTTAATATTTGTTTGATCTTTCTAATTTTGCTTTCCTGATTTCTGTAAACAGTAAATGAATTTTGCATTTAAGTTCATAACATGCTTAAATCTCTTAAAACTGTTTAAAATAGAAGATAAATTACTCTTTTTCTGTTGTCAGAGATAGAAGAGGAAAAACTGATCACTTGATGGATGCAACCTAATTGCTACACAAATTTTCACCTTATTTGTGATGGGCAAGAATTATTATTTTGTGTATGGATTATTGCCACTTTTCAGTAGTGGTCCAAATTTTGAAAGTCTTGTGAGCTTTTTTTTAGCTTGATACATTGTTTTGTTGCCATGTAGGAGCATTTACACAAAGATGATGCTAGACAACAATTTCTGCGGGTATTGAGGACGCTTCCTTATGGGAATTCAGTTTTCTTCAGTGTCGAAAGATTGATGATCCTATTGGACTTTGCCAGGAAGAATTGTCTTGGGCATTAACAAGCGAGGGGTGAGTCATAATTTGTGTGTTACTATCACAAGATTAAGATTTTGGATTCCTGATATCTCAGGTGTTGTCACCAAAAATCTTTCCCAGACTGTTTCAGTCATACTAACCATAGAAGATGAATAAACTACAACACATGCAATAATACATAAACATTGTAAAATTGTCATCATCCTCTTGTATCAAGCTTTTGGATGTTAATTTCTTTGTCATTTGTTGTAGGTTCATTTTTTCCGTCCAGTTCCAAAAGAGTATCTACATTCTGCAGAGCTAAGAGACATAATGCAATTTGGTAGTAGCAATACTGCTGTATTTTTTAAGATGAGAGTTGCAGGTGTTTCTCACAATTCCAGTTTGAAACCAAGCAGGTTCGAGCAATGCTTAACACTTTTTTACTTGTCTGGTTTCCGGGCCTCTTAATCTTTATGTTTTACTAAATCTAACTTGCATGTCTCCATTTTTATGCAGGGAGAAGAAATTTGTGTTGCTCTTCAGACACATATAATGATGTAATGTTACGTCGATACTCCAAAGCACGCTCTGCTACTAGTGCTCAATGAATGGAGATCATTCTAACAATGTTAAGCCTCCTAGTATGGAAGTGTTTGAAAAACGTGTGCAGGATTTATCCAAAACTGTTGAAGAATCTCAAAAAAATGCTAATCGTGTAAGGCTTAAGCATAAACTTGATTTATTCAATTGTTTATAGTTTAGGGCCATATATCTCACATAGCAGTGGTGATGGATTTTATATGTGGTGGTTAGAAGTTTTTGTCATCACATTCTGCATAATCGTACCCTATTGTCAAATTTACATTTGAATTAATTTTTATTTACTTATTGGCAGTCTATCATTTGTAAATCACTTGTTTTATTTTTTTAGGCACCCAAAATATGTCATTAAAATTAATATCGTCTGAACCATTCTTGAGTCATAGTTGAGTTAGTGCATATCTAATATTTCTTTTTCCTTTTGGAATTTTTTTTACAAGTTCTCGTTTCCTTGTAGAAATTGCACCTGTGTAATGAGTTGAGTGTGTGGATGTAGTTGTCAGAAGAATTGCATGAAAAGGAAAAGCAAAATCAAAATGCAAGAAGAACTGGAGAGCTTGAAAGATGCTTTGAGAACCGGAAGCAGAAATTGGCAGAAGTTGCTAGCGACCGTGATAGTCTTAAATTGTTGTGCCATGAAAAGGATACTGATCTTCAAGTTAGTGTAGTTAATGTGTCATATCATCACTTTCATTAACTTTTTGCTGTCAGCTTTTTCTGATTTTAGTCATGTATTTAGGCTGCATTGATGGAAAAAAAGAGCATCGAAGTGAGTTGGCCAAGCTGGGAAATCAAGCCCTAGAGAGCAATGCTAAAAAGGATTTGGTTGACAAAACGCCAGGTAAATTTGTGAAAATGGATATTGTGCTATCACATTTTCATACCTTCAGATTTAATCTCGCATATGGATTGAGCTTTTATATCCTGTTTCATGATGGTAATGATTTTGAACTGCGGATAAGACAATGCAGGCATTGCGCAGCTTCAGGATGAACTAAAAATTTGCAATGAGCAATTGCATGCAGAACAAGAAATTGTGAAGAAGTTGTTGAATGAGAAAATCATATTAGAGCAGAGGGTTTTCAAAGTTGAAAAGAAAAAAGCTGAGGAGTATTATTGTCAATCTTGAATTGGTTTGGGAAATTTTTTTGATCACTGAGAGTGATGCGATATCTATATATACAGATGGAAATTCTTGAGAAACTTTGAGCAAGAACGCAAGGCTTTAAGGCTCCCATGTTTGAAATTGAAAGAAAGTTGGAAAGACTACACAAGATTTGGCTACTGTTCAGTCAACTCTTGCAACTAGGATACAGATTGGCTGTACTACAGAACAACTTAAGGAATTAGAGGAATTGAGAGAGATGAAAGAGGTATCATTTTCAGCATCTGCTCTGCTTTTGAAAATATATATTTACTCAACCCTTGGTTGTTCAATGTACTTTAATTTTGATGTACGATTGTCTTACCAACTTGTTCATTAAAAGCATCCATATCTAATGTCGTTTACATGTTTTTAGGACAGAGATAGAAAATGAGCAAACTGCTGCCATCTTGAAGATGCAAGGAACCAACTTGCTGAGTTAGAAGCACTTTATAAAGAAGAGCAAACTTTAAGGAAACGTTACTTTAATACTATTGAAGGTTGGCATCACTTATGATTAATATTTTTTTTTTTTTTGGTTAATGGAATTAAGGTTAATCTTATATGCTTTTAAATTATTTCTTTAAAAGACAGCTCCAAACACCCTTTGGATCTGAAACAACGAACCTTTATTTTTGGATTTGATTTTACAACAGTTATTCAAAAATTCGTTTGCAACAAGTAACCAACTAGCCTAAAATATTTAATGCATTTTTTTAACAGTAAAGGACTATTGTTTGAGACTTCATATTCTTCATTCCTCAATATCATCTCTTATTAACACTTAATTACATTTCAGATATAAAAGGCATAAGGGTTTTCTGTCGTTTAAGACCTCTAAATGAGAAAGAGGTTGTTGCAAGTAAGACATGTTCTTTCAAGTCTTGATGAGTTCACAGTAGAACATCCATGGAAAGATGATAAGGCAAAGCAACATATGTATGATCGAGTCTTTGATGGCTATGCCACCCAAGATGATGTCTTTGAGGATACACGGGCAAGTTTGATTTACTTTTGATAATTTATATCTTATCATACTGCATCTACATGTGGTAATGTTTTTATCAACTCATATTTTAGTATGTTTATAATGCAGTACTTGGTTCAATCTGCTGTTGATGGCTACAATGTTTGTATATTTGCTTATGGACAAACTGGATCTGGAAAGACATTTACAATATACGGATCTGAGATCAATCCTGGAATTACTCCACGAGCCATCACAGAACTTTTTAGAATCTTAAAGAGAGATAGTAATAAATTTTCATTTTCTTTAAAGGTGATTGGTTTAAATTGGTACTTTGAACACTAAAAATATATATAGAAAAAATATGGAGCATTTATTTATTTAATGACCATTTTGTTTATGATTATTATTATTTGAATTTTAATTGAGTACTTTGATGTGGATATGAAATATTATAGGCATATATGGTGGAGTTGTATCAAGATACCCTTGTAGACCTTTTATTACCAAGGAATGCAAAGCGTTTAAAATTGGACATTAAGAAAGATTCAAAGGTAATTAATTTTATGGCTTTATTTATTTGATCTTGTCATGAGTTGTGAGTTCATTACTTATTTTGTTTTGTTTAGGGTATGGTGGCAGTAGAAAATGTGACAGTTGTATCAGTTTCTACATTTGAAGAATTAAAAAGCATTATCCAAAGAGGATCTGACCAGCGGCATACATCTGGAACTCAGATGAATGAAGAAAGTTCAAGATCTCACTTGATACTTTCAATTGTCATTGAAAGTACTAACCTTCAAACTCAATCTGTTGCAAGAGGAAAGGTAACATCTATTATGGTGACAATGTTATTTGATCAAATCATGAGATATGCTTCTAGACACTTTAAATGCAGGAAAATAATTTTAACGAGATTTTATTTGTATTTTTCATGATTATTTCAACATCTGATAATGTAAAGTGCCTATGAAGGTTGTTTTTTGGATGATTTGTTAGTTATTAACTTGTAACCACTCTACTTCATTCACAGCTAAGTTTTGTGGACCTTGCTGGTTCCGAAAGGGTAAAGAAGTCAGGCTCTTCGGGTAGTCAACTCAAGGAAGCTCAAAGTATCAACAAATCACTTTCAGCTCTCGGTGATGTTATTAGTGCTTTATCTTCAGGCAGTCAACACATACCTTATAGGAATCACAAGTTAACAATGCTAATGAGTGATTCACTTGGTGGAAATGCAAAAACTCTTATGTTTGTGAATGTATCTCCAGCTGAATCAAATTTGGATGAGACTTACAATTCCTTATTGTATGTTTCCTACTCCTATTCTATTATGCTGCTTCTTTTTCAAAATCATGATTGTGATATTAACTCATGTTAGTATATAATTTTTTGTGCGTAAGAAGCTTTATCTAAATTTTACTAGGAAAATGATTAAGTGTGCCCTGAAGTCAGATATCAGATGCAAATAATAACAAAATTTTCTTGTTTCAATACATGGGAAAATAAATTTTTCATTTTATGTGACAAGATTTATTGTTCCCAAGGGCATCTTATTGAAAAAATATAGTTCTATTTCTCTAAGCTATGTATGCATTTATGTACTTGAATTTTATGTTGGTAGCTTTAGATAGTGGTGTACATTGAGTTTGTTATTGAGATTTTGTATTTAATATGTTAATGTTGGTTCTTGAGTTATCTTTCTTGTTAGTTTATCTTGTGGCATGTGATCTAGAATAATAAGGGTCATTTGTTTATAAGTGTTTTGTTTTAATTGATATTGTTTTTTAACATGTGAATAGGTATGCTTCAAGAGTGCGGTCAATTGTGAATGATCCAAGCAAAAATATTTCATCGAAGGAGGTAGCTCGATTGAAAAAGTTGGTTTCATATTGGAAAGAGCAAGCAGGTAGAAGGGGGGATGAAGAAGATTTTGACGAGATTCAAGAAGAACTGCCGATGAAAGACAGGACAGATGGCCGCCATTCCATGTAGAGATTATGTGAGGGTATCTGAAATTTCAGGTATAAGTACTGTTGATCTTGTAGGTTGGTGGATATAGTTTTGGTTTGATGGACCACACTGAACATGTGTGATAGCTAGAGTCACTTTTGATTTATTGGCTGAAGCGTTTAGTTGTATAGTTGGCATTCCGCATTGGGTTGTACATATTTATGATTCACTTTTGTTGAATACGTATGTATCTGAATCTGAATGTGACTTGTTATTTAATTTTGAACAAAATTTCTTAGTTTAAAACTGGAAAAGCTGTAGTTGTAGAATTTGAATGGGTTTTTTTTCTTTCTCGTTTTTAGTTTTCATCTATTTGTGTACGTTAAGTCTTTAACATGCCATTGCTGAAAAGCTTTTATTGATGAAGGAAATGAATACGTAAATGAAAACACAATAAAGAGAGTAAAATAAAATGGATGAAGAAGTAAAAGTAATGGGAGTTTGTGTTGTGTTATTGCTCTTTAAAGCTCTCAGCTCATATGTATGTAACATTCACATCTCATATACAACGGAGTGTGCACCTATTTACAATTAGGACCAATCAAGTGAAGAAAACTTGCTACACAAACAGGCCCCTTTCTTACATGGGCTAACTTTATCAATTGGGCTCCAGTTAAATCCAGTTAAGGTTAATAAAGAGTGGTGGAAGGCTCTCTAGTCTCTTCAGTCTTCACTATATTTTTGGATTCTAAATTGAAAAGGTCGTTCTTTAATGAAATAATAAAATTATATATACATCTTAAATTTGATGTTGATGGATATTAATAAATCAATCAGTCACTTTAATCATTTTGATGTTTGTGCTTTTGTCGAAATTACCACTAACAATCCTTGTCAGTGCGTTTATAAGTGTTATGTTTAAAAAAATTACGATCTATATCAGCTCATTTAATGTTTTCTTGTACCGGTTGTCAAGCCTATATCTTCAAAGATATTCTCATCAACCATATCTCCTTTTAAGAGATGAATGAACGAGAGTCTTTCATGTGTCAAGGTAACTTACAAAACACTCATTACATTGAGTGTTTGGGTGAATAAATGGGCATTTCTCTTCACGAAGAAATGAGGTTGGAGGCTAGGCTGAGATTTGAGCTTCATTTTCATTCTCTCTCTATAAACATTGTATTCCTTCATTTTTGTATGCCTTACAGGCAAAATCATAGAAATAGTCAGTGAGCAATAAAATAACAGTGGATGTAGGAGTCGCTTGTTGCATCCGAACCACTATAAACACTCCCTCTTGCCAATCTTTTATTTATTTTTCTGCAAAATATATAATCTCAGCTCTATATTCAAATCTCATGGATCCATCACGTATGTCTCCTAAGTCAGCTCAGCGTTTTCCACGTGCGAGTCTTTGGCGTCCAAAATCAAGCGTCAACAGTTTGGTGGCCCATGCAGGTCCGATTCTCAAACCTGCATCCAAGTTCCCTGATGGCGTACTTAGATCTCAAACCTGCGTCAGAATTCTCCAATCGTGTGGCCAGATCACAGATCGCATACGTTAGAATTCTCCAATTGCGTGGCCAGATCGCACGCGACAAAGTTCTCCGATCGCGTGGCCAGATCGTAGATTGCACGCATTAGAATTCTTCGATTGTGCATCAGAATTCTCTAATCGCGTGGCCAGATCACATATCGCACGCATCAGAGTTCTCCGATCGCGTGGCCAGATCGCAGATCGCACGCCCATGCAGTCCTGATCCTTGGCTTCAGATCGTTGATCTTTAGCTTCAAATCGCGTGTTCAGATCGCTGATCACACGCTGAGATCGCTGATCTCTTGTGCTCTTAGGTAGAGCTCGTTATGATCTCTCAGGTCGAGCTCGTCATGACCTTTTCAGGTCGAGCTCGTTTTGTCCTCTCAAGACGAGATCGTTTTGACCTCTCAGATTTGAGGTCGTTTTGACCTTTCCAGGTCGAGCTCGTTTTGACCTTTCTAGGTCGAACTTGTTTTGACCTTTCAGGTCGAGGTCGTTATGATCTCTCAGGTTAAGCTTGTCATGACCTTTTCAGGTCGAGCTCATTTTGACCTCTCAAGACGAGGTCGTTTTGACCCCTCAGATTTGAGGTCGTTTTGACCTTTCTAGGTCGAGCTCGTTTTGACCTTTCAGGTCGAGGTCGTTATGATCTCTCAGGTCAAGCTTGTCATGACCTTTTCAGGTCGAACTTGTTTTGACCTCTCAAGACGAGGTCGTTTTGACCTCTCAGATTTGAGGTCGTTTTGACATTTCCAGGTCGAGCTCGTTTTGACCTTTCAGGTCGAGGTCGTTATGATCTCTCAGGTCGAGCCCGTCATGACCTTTTCAGGTCAAGCTCGTTTTGACCTCTCAGGATGAGGTCGTTTTGACCTCTCAGATTTGAGGTCGTTTTGACCTTTCCAGGTCGAGCTCATTTTGACCTTTCAGGTCGAGGTCGTTTTGATCTCTCAGGTCGAGCTCGTTTTGACCTTTCAGGTCGAGGTCGTTTTGACCTCTCAGATTTCAGGTCGTTTTGACCTCTCAAGTTAAGGTCGTTTTGCTCATTGAGCTCGTTTTGACCTCTCAAATTGAGGTCGTTTTTCTCATTGAGCTCGTTTTGACCTCTCAGGTCAAGGTCATTTTGCTCTCAAGTTGAGCTCGTTTTGACCTCTCATGTTGAGGTCGTTTTGACCTCAAGTTGAGCTCGTTTTGACCTCTCAAGTCGAAGTCGTTTTGACCTTTCAGGTCGAGCTCCTAACAGATTTCAAGTCGTTTTTCTAACAGATTTCAAGTCGTTTTCCTAACAGATTTCAGATCTTTTTCCTAACAGATTTCAGTTCGAGACTGCAGCAATTCAGATCAAAGACTTAGTTTTTGAAGCGCAATTAAGCACTTCAAAAACTGGGGGGCTTCTTATATGCCTAAAAAGTCACGCTTATGTCAGCTCATTTAATGTCTTCTTGTACCAACTGCCAAGCCCATATCTCCAAAGATATTCTCACCAACCATATCTCATTTTAAGAGATGAATAGACGAGAGTCTTCCATGTGTCAAGGCAACTTGCAAAACACTAATTACATTGAGTGTTTAGGTGAATAAATGGGCATTTCTCTTCACGAAGAAAGGAGGTTGGAGGCTGGGCTGAGATTTGAGCTTCATTTTCATTCTCTCTCTGTAAACACTGTATTTCTTCATCTTTGTATGCCTTACGGGCCAAATTCATAGAAATAGTCAGTGAGCAATAAAATAACAGTGGATGTAGGAGTCGCTTGTTGCATCCGAACCACTATAAAAACCCTCTCTTGCCAATCTTTTATTTATTTTTCTGCAAAATATATAATCTCAGCTCCATATTCAAATCTCATGGATCCATCACGTGTGTCTCCTGAGTCAGCTCATCGTTTCCCACGTGCGAGTTGTTGGCGTCCAAAATCAAGCGTCAACAGTTAAGGGTGGTCAAACCCACGACCCTTCCGTTGAGAAACTCGAACGACGCCTTTCTCTCTCTCAGCATTAATTGCGCCCCACGCCGCATTTAATGATGTGATAAGAGTTGTCGTTTCGAGCGTGTCATGCAATTAATGCTCTGTCAAAGCAATAACGCGTCAGCACACAACGCATTTAATGCGCCTGGCAGACGCTTAACATGCGCAGAGCGCCTGTCAATGCAAAAACTGTTTCATTAAATCTCCATCCCTAAGGTACGGTAAGGAACACCTTATGAAGTCAGGTCGCTTGGGCTATGGTTGTCAAGTCGCTTAGGCAAGGGCCGTCAGGTCACTTGAGCGATGGTTGTCAGGTCGCTTGGGCAAGGGCCGTCAGGTCGCTTGAGCGATGGCTGTCAGGTCGTTTGGACGAGGTTCGTGCGAGGTCGTGTTCGCAAAAGGCCCTATCCTGAGCTTCTTTCATTCAGGTTGAAATTGTCAAAACCTCCAGAAAACCTCCAATCACGGCATGGCTTAGTTTCCAAGGTTCGATCCTCAAATCTTAAAAACTAGGGGACTTCTGTTATGCTTGGGAAATCAAGGGCTGACGTGGGAAATCACGTGATGGAGTGTGACTTGCTCCTGTCAGAACGGTAAGCGCGCGCCAGACCTGCCAGATGCTGTAGAGATCCCACGTATCCATTCCCTGCTCCAAATCGCGTGAAATCAGTTTGGAAGGTGGGCAATGTGACATAAAGCCGGATTTTGTTCTGACATTCACACCAACCCACAGATTTGATGATGATTACTTGCACTCATCTCACTATAAAAAGGAGAAAACCCCTTCATTGAGGGGATTCGGCCATTTTACACTCTGAATTAGCTATCCCTCTCTCTCTTGTATCTTTGCATTTACTTTTCAATTGTAAGTCAGTCCGCTGTTGCGACCTGATCTACAATATTAATACAACTATCAGTGGACATAGGACTTGTTACCTTAGCATCTGAACCACTTTAAAAGACTCTCACTACTACATTTACTACACACTTTATCTATACTCACGTATGTCTCTTAGCCAACCAACGTTGCGTACGTGTCGATTAGTTGGTATCAAAAATCAAGCGTCAACAATAAGTTTAATGTTTTAATAAAAACATGTAAATATTGTTAAAAAATATTATAATAATTATGACATTAAGATACATATAATTTAGAGAAAAATGAAATCTAATTTATTTATTAAAAATTGATTGGAGAGAAAAAGTTGAATTAACTAAAACGTTTTTTAAAAGTTGAATGTTGTTGACAAGGACGTGGCATGGTAGGTCTTTTTGGGAAAACTCCATTTATTGTCAGGTGGATGACAGACAAGCCTGGACTGACTCTTGTTTCTATCTACTACTATCCAAAAATAGTAAGTAATTACTAATTAACCATTGGACGAAACCAACAGACGGAAGATTCTTGGGTTCAAACAAAGTGTTTTTGTCTTATTGGAGGGTTTTTCGTGGAATTCCATGTCAGAAGCTGTCCAAGTTGTACGTTGTTCTAATTAAATAATCTACGCATGATGATAGCATCGTGTTGTGTTGAGAGAAATTAAGGTAGAAGAAAAAAGTTGATGGGGGAGACTCAGACGAGAAGCGTACCGACGATCGATCTACAAGATTTTCCGGCGGAATATAAGAAATTGAGAGAAGCAAGCGAGGAATGGGGATGTTTTAGAATAGTTAACCATAAGATTCCACTGACGCTGATGTGGGAGATGAAGCAAGTGGTTAGATGTCTTTTGGAGCTTCCTGTAGAAATTAAACAGCGCAACACAGATGTGATAGCCGGCAGCGGCTATATGCCCCTCACCCAACTCAATCCTCTTTACGAGGCGGTGGGTCTTTATGATGTGACCTCATCTCAAGCTGTTGATACCTTTTGTTCTCAGTTAGATGCCTCTCCTCACCAGAGGTAAATACTCTATTAGGGTATGTTCATTCTATCCCATGGAATACTCCGATCCGATGCAAATCTCCAGTTAGAGAACATTAATTAATTTCGGAATCTTAATTTACTACAAAAGAAAAACTGCGCCTTGTTATAATTAAGCTAAGGCAAATCGCTATTCCTAGTTCCTGTCAGTTGGTCTTTAATTGATAAAAACAAATTGCTTTGGCTGACACAATTTAGTTTCAATCTTTTATACAAAACAATTGGTTGTTTGAGTTGCACTTTGATTTCTGTTTTACTTCGCATTAATAAGCAGACAGATAATAAAGATGTATGCACAAGCAATACGTGAACTGGCTGTGGATATAGCGGAAAAGTTGGCTGAAAGTATGTGGTTGATTGGTAACGTGTTTCAGGGTTGGCCTTGCCAGTTTAGAATAAACAAGTATCACTTCACTTCCCAAACTGTAGGCTCCTCTGGGGTACAAATACATACAGATTCAGGTTTCCTTACCATACTTCAAGATGATGAAAATGTGGGTGGTCTTGAAGTGATAGACAAATCTGGTGCATTCATAGCAGTTGACCCCTCGCCAGGCACCCTCCTTGTCAACCTTGGAGACATTGCTACGGTGGGAATATGATCTTTTATTTTTTTTTTCATTAATTATTTTTCTGATGCATATATATATATATATATATATATATATATGTGTGTGTGTGTGTGTGTGTGTGTGTGTGTGTGTGTGTGTATTGACATGATTTAGGCATGGAGTAATGGAAGGTTCTATAACGTGAAGCATAGAGTACAATGTAAAGAAGCTAGAATTCGTGTATCAATTGCTATATTCCTCTTGGGACCAGTGGAGGGAGCAGTGGAAGCCCCAACAGAACTTGTGGACTCAGAGCACCCGCGTCTCTATTTACCAATTATTTATGAAGATTATAGGAAGCTCCGGGCCTCCAAAAAACTTCAGGCTGGTGAAGCTCTTGCTCTTTTACGTTCTCACTCCTGAATTAACAAGCAAAGTCTATTGCAAGCTTTTGGAAATCATCTCTTGAAATAAACGAGTTGTCATTGGTGTTAGTAATTAAACTACAAGTCGGGTCTCCTCTCCTGTCTCTGTCTCTGTTGATTAAAATCTTTTTTATTTTTTATTTTATTGAAGAATATAGAGTTTTAATGCTTAGGGTAAATAAATCAAACCCCTGCCTGGTTTCTCATTATGTAGATGTGACGTAAAGTAAGGGTAGTGCCAACCCAGTTCAACGATTAAAAAAAAAAAAAAAAAAAAAAAACTGGTTCAATCACTGAAAATGATGAAGTTTAATTCAAACATGTTCTTTCAAAACAATACTGTCTTTGCCTCTTTGGTGACATAATACACCAGTTCTAAAGTAATGTAGATAAATGACTGTTGATGATTCATTTTCTAAATCATTCAAAAGAAAATAGGTGTTTGAATTGTTGATTCTTTTCTAAAAAAGACAATAACAGAAAAACAATAATAAAACCCAAGTAGAATCAAAAGCATTCAAATCCTAGCATTTAGTATACTATAGTACCAGTACCAGGTCTTTTGTCACTATACAAATTCTTAACAGAAAATAATCTTTTTTAATGCACACCACCTTCCCTTACAATATTAATCAAATGATAAAGGAAACTCATAGGAGGAAGAATAAGAATGGGATGAAAATTTTTAAAACTAGCAGTTGTCGTGTTTGAGGAAAGTTGTTCTCAGTCTCACACAAGAGAGCTGCTGTCACTGTAATCTCCTCCCCCTTGGTTATAGTGCGGGGTCCAGCCAGAGCCAGAGCCAGAGCCGGATATCCTATTAGCTGTGCTAGAAGTAAAGCTGAAGCTGCTTGGCCCTGGCGTTGAAGGCCACACGAAAGCAGGCTTGAAGGGTGGAACATGAGGCACAGGCACAGATCCTGATATGATCTGAAGGATGGTCTGTGTATTAGGCCTTTCACTGGCAATAGGATGTGAACAGGCCAGGCCAAGCAACAGCAGCCTTTCCGCTTCCTCACAGACGAACTCATTAGCCAGTCTCTGATCTACAGCTTCTAGTATTCGTCCATCCCGATGTAACAACCACACCCAATCTACCAAGAGTTGGAAGCCAGCAATTTGGGTCCAAGGCCGCTGACCGCACACCACCTCCAGTACCACAGCCCCAAAACCATACACATCCGACTCACGGGTGGCCTTGCCTGTATGGAAGCATTCTGGGGCAATATATCCCATGGTACCAGGCACTCCCTCCAGCTCCGCATAGGAGGTCTTTTCGTTGTCCAAGGCACGTGCCAGCCCAAAGTCCCCAAGTCGAGCATTGAAGTTTGAGTCCAGCATTATATTACTGGCTTTGAGGTCCCGATGTACCACTTTCTGGTCGTACTCATTGTGGAGGTAATGTAGCGCGGATGTTACTCCAGATATGATCTTGTACCTAAGCTCCCACACTAGAGTTTTCTTTTCTTCTGATTCATAGAACAAGTGATTATCCAAGCTCCCATTTGGCATGTAATCATACACCAGAAGTAGCATACCGTTCTTGTGACACCATCCTAGTATCAATTCATGAAAATACATAATGAATGAATATTGCATCCATCCAATTGGTAAACAGAGTCAAATTTGAGTAAGGCTGTGAAACCTAGCTACTAAAAACCATCTACCAATTATTTGTAAACACATTTCTCCAACTTAAAAAGATAACTGAAAGCATTTCAAATAATCATAGAGAGAGGCGATCCATAAATAATGATAAATGCAATCTATGTAATCGTGCTTGAAGTTTATTAGAGTATGGATACTCTATAAATGTTTCTCTCGTTTTTTTTTTTCTTTTTTTTTCATGTGCAAAGATACGTTTGGTAGGACCACTTCCCAAGGACAAATCTTACGCAGCACATAACACAAGACTTGAGAGAGTTTATGATATCGATTGAGAATATCTCGGAGTTACAGTATTTGACTGAGAGCAGAAAGTCTAATCTCAAGCATTGGTTGAAATGTAAAGCTGAAAGTGTAACCCGAAAAAAGAAACTTACCTTGAAGGCGAACAAGATGTTTGTGGCGAAGACGATTGATAATGGTAAGCTCAGCTAAAAAATCATCTTTGCCCTTGAGGTTGTCCCTACAGAATTTCTTGACAGCAATTTCGAGATTCTCCTTGGGCAGGACGCCTTTAAAGACCACACCAAAACCACCTTGACCAAGCTTATGTTTGTCGTCGAAGTTGTTGGTGGCCTTCTTGAGATCCCTAAAGCTGAACTCCCTTGGAGTTCCTGGGAGGCTCTTTAGAGTACCCAGTATATTGGGATCATCCGCAGCCCGTTTCTTATGCACATAATAACCCAACCCTGCAATCCCTATCACCAGCAATACCAATACGGCTATACCTACTGCCAAACCCATCTTCAGCCATTGGTTATTCCCGTTCCCACCGGGCAAAAGTTCGACCGTCAGATTCCATCTGAGGACACAGTTGAGTTGTGTGACACTCCCCGTGGAAGCAGCAAAACCGAAATAGGAGTTTTGGTTGACAAGGGTGCTAAGGTCAAGATCCGCAGTCAGGACTGGCGTGGACGGCCTGGAAATGATTGGCCCCTGGGGACCCTGCTTCTGTTCCGCCATATACACCTCCAGAAACTTGTTAGCTCCATCGTACTGCACCCAGACCATATAAAATTTGACACCAACAGGGGCGATCTGGATGCCAAAGTCGGACAAGGACACAGTCTTGTTAGAGCGGACGCTGTTGATGTCGAGACCTATATGGTTGTCATCAGGATCAAAATCCTGTTTAAAAGTGTCAAGCTCAATGGCAACGATGCGGTTTGAGGGGAGACCATCAGTGGTGGAGTTGGTCAAACCAAGGTATTGACCGTGGCTGTTTGGTGGGAGATTAAGAGTAGGGGAAATGAGGAAGGCAAAGCCGTCTCCAGGATGTGAAGAATTAGTGAGGCGGAAGATGTTGATAAGAAAAGAAGAGTTGAAAGAAGCCAAGTTTGTAGCTTCCCAAAGCTTGAAAGAGTTTTTGAAAAATACACGGCCTGACCTGTTGACAAGGGTAAAGTTACCAGCGGAATCAGGAGTGACTTGTAAGGCTTCATTGCTAATAGTAGCGGGCGATATGACTGAGAAGGTGTTGTAATAGGAACTGTTGAAGGGCCCGAATTCATATTCTGATACAGTAAGCTTCTGAGTCTTAGCCTCGGAGTCGGAGATCCAAATCCCGACGACCAAAAGAATTAAGGTAGCAAGCTTTATTGCAGGAGCAGGAGTCATTACATGCGATTGCCAGCCTTATTCCTACGTCCTACACTGTCTACACACAAAGATACGGCGAGGACAAACTCTTAATTATATATCATATACTTAATGGAGCTCACTGGGAAATTTTCTATGAGAAAATTATATTATATTCAACATACATCAACATCAGCATTCACACCTTATAATAGCTCAAATTAAATATTATATTAGAATAAAACTATCTGATGATCAAATTAATCAACCATTAGAGATTTATAGTACATATTTAATGGTCAAGATAATAGAAACAGTTCTACGTCTTCCAAGAATCCGAATTATTTGAAAACAAGTTGGCAACCTCAATAGTCCAAAGCGTTAGTTATTGCAATCCAGCGAAGACGGACATAAACATGCATCTCTTTACAGATAATTAATTAAGTTTAAGTGGGCCAACAAAGCACATGATCCAATATTTTTTTATCAATTCTTTGCTGGGACTTGAGACATAATGAAAACAAAATCATGATTTGAGTCATGGATCATTAAACTAGCGTAAAAATTTGGCCAACCAATATTAGTTGTGTTCTGGGCCTTAAGCCAAGTCCATTTATGAGAGCCCGAACTGAATTTGTCCTTTTTATTTTTCTCTGGTTTACCCTCAACATACATAATCATCTGTATTCTCCAGTCAAGTGAATGAGAAGTTGTTTTACGTTGGCCGAGATTCACAAGGTAATATTTCTGCTTCCTCTTCGATTTCCTTGTTTTCTTCGTGTGCTTGTATTTAATTTCAGTAGTTGTTAGGGTTCTTCCGTTGAATTAGGAGTGGATTTCTGCCAATTTTAGTCCTTTTACTTTTCCTTTCCGCGATTCTTCTTTTATAAATCATCTATCTATCTATCTATCTCTGTATGTTTAAACTTTCCTTTCAATTACCTGGCTGTTGTTTGTTTCAAAGCGAGCTATAACGGGCACTCTACCTCTCTCTTTTTTTATTTATTTTAAACAATCAGTCTTTATCTTTAAATGTTTTTGGAATTGAAATCCAGAGATTATTTCTTGTAAATTTTTTAACTTGCTATGCCATTTCTAATTGAGGGTATGATACAAATGGTTATGCAGTTATCTGATCTTCTACGACTATACAACTATCCTGATTTTTGTAGCTAAGCCATATTCTTTGCTCTTTTCTTTTTTTTGGGGGTGGTGGGGTTTCAAATATTGTGCTGTTGCCTATTAAAAGATTTTCACCTACATTACCTGCGCTAGATATGCAAGATCGGAGCATGCCATCATCTGAGGAAATTTTAAATCCTAAGCCACGGAAAAAGAAAATGTCATCTCAAAAGGAAGAGTTTCAAAAAGGGGAGGAGCATCTGCCATTAAGAACAGGGCAGAAGGCCTCCAAAAGGAACTTGAAGAATGAAGTCTCTTCTTCATTTCAACTACCAGAAAGGTCCAACTCTGATTCAGTGCAGGACTCCTCTACATCTGGAAATGAGTACCGGGTATTAAGAAGGAAATATTTACTGCTAGAAGAAGAAAGCTATGCGTTGGGGAGAGAGTTGAGGGATGTTGAAGATGAAGTGAAGACTCTTGAAGATGATAAGCATGCACTCTTGGACCAACTTGTTGTGTTAGAAGGTCTGATTGATCCTTTAGAAGTGCAGTCACAGGGGCCTCAATTTCCTTAGCTCCTAATTTCTTTACCTAATTAGAGGTTTTTATGATTGTATATTGTTGTGATCAGTGTTGTTGGAAAATTCTCAAATTATTTGAATAGAAAAGAGGAAATGATGCGTTTCAGTATATGAGTGTTACCACATTCTTTTTATAAAAATTATTGTTATTGATATACTTTTGTTGTTGCATTGGTAAGTATGCATGGTTCCTATGATCTATTAGAAGATTTGGTTCGACTCTTGTTAGCTCCAGGTGAGTTTTTGATGAAATGCTACACATATTTGAAGAGCTCCTGGTGATGTGTTATACGCATTCAAGATGGCTTGAACTCCTATTTCTTATTTGAGTAGCACTAATGCTTAAAATTAAAAGGTTTGCACATCAGAACCATGTCTGTCATCGTTGGTCCTGTGGATCTTGTGTTTGTACTTTGGTCATGTCATGCAGATGGGAGATGCTCGACCTTAGCTTGGAATAAGTTGGATTAAATGTCCAGATATCTCCTTACAAGGAGATTCAAAGAAACCATTTCTATTTGATACTTACATCTTATGCTCCCCAGATTAAGTTTGAACCATGGGAGCTTCATATTAAAGTAGAATTGAAACTGATTTTCATTTGTATTTGGTAACAAAAAAAAGTGACATGTGCTGATTTAAAGTTGTTTGGAGATTAGTCATTGCTTGTATCATCCAATAGATGTGTATACCAGCGCTTCCTTAAGAGCCCAACAGAAAGCAGAGAGAAAGGATACACTACAATATGTTAATGTTTCATTGTTTCTTGTATGCCAATCCACGCATGTACAAAGAAGAAAAGAATAAAGAAACCAAAAAACATAAAACCTCTTTCAAATCATATATCCTATTATATGTTGCTTGTTTGATGGATGATTTTACACTAATTCTATCGCTTGCTACTTCCAGGCTCAAAGCATAACATTGTAGGTAAGCATGACTCTGCATCCGCATATGTATGTCTGTTGTAACTGTACGGATCTCAAAGTTACTAAGCTGATATATACATATTAGGCATTGTTATCTCACCAACCCCATGCTGGAAGGTGCAACCCGGACAACAAGAGGGCTAGTAACCCTTATTTTTCTATTCTTCCATGACAAAAACCCAAATTTATAACCCATTGATGGCGAATTCAACTTGAAATGCACAGTGAAATTCATCCTTTGGCCATAGCTATTGAAGATTAGTCGCTTCGGCACCACTGTAACATTGATTCCAACCGGTGAAGACACTGTAGCTTTATAAATACTTCTTGGCTTCCCAACATTTGTGACAGTGCGTGTTACTGAGAAATTGTCCTTAAGATTGGACACTGTGATGGATGGATAATTAAGGTCAGACGCCGTTGTGAATGTTTGATCACATGTGCTATTGTCTCTTGTGATCAGATGGAGCGACTTCTCATCATAACCAATTGAGCATAGAAACACTTTATAATCTATTGGCTGCAGTTCATAGATGAGACCAGGATCAAGGACTCTTCTTGGCTCCACAAAGCCCGCCCCATAATCAAAAGCATTACCCCTTCTTCCTTCAGGATCCACTGTGATCGGTTCATGGTTCTTATCCAGGACAGTGGCTGCATTTTTCATTTAAAATGGAATGCTTAAATTATAAGGTTTTAGCAAAATATTATTTGATCTAATGGCAAAACAATTCCCAGGAAGGAGAAACTGAGATTTAACATTGTTATAGACCGTTTTCTTGATGCTTGACTATTAAATGAACAAAGTTGTACCTTCAAACAAGTTCATAGAAGGTGGTTTACGAACCGCAGAAGCTTTAATAATTGAAGAGAAGTATGAGGGTCAAGTCATTCAAGAAGCAATTCCAAAAAGAACAAGATGGTATAGAACATAAAGCATACCAGTTGTCATGATAGCCGATTTAATAGCTGATGGGGACCATGATGGATGAACAGCTTTAATCAAGGTCGCAATCCCTGTTACATGGGGGCAAGCCATGGAAGTCCCAGAAAGAATGTTAAAATGCAGTTTTCCAACTGCTGGTGACCAAGCTGCAAGAATGTTCAATCCAGGAGCTGTGACATCAGGCTGCAAAGCTCAATAATCAGATGGCAAGGACCATTGAGACAAAGCATGAGAAAAGAATCAAACAAATAATTACGAACTGGAGTCAGCAGAATATTCCCAATTTCCCAACAATTCAGTTATGACTATGGAAATATCATTGATATTCCCCAAATATGAATGAGCTCAAATTCTCACTTAGTCATCCGTTGGAAAAATAGGATATCTAATTAATTGGAATAATAATTTCAGACTCAAATGGTGGGTAAAAGTATGATTAGAGGACTTACTGGAGTTTCCTATTTCCTGATTCTAAATGGAAATATTTACCTTCAAAATTTCTGGGGTCAAGGCATTAGGACCTTTTGAAGAAAATGATGCAATACGAGGTGCAGGTTGAGATCCCAACACAGTCTTTGCAGGGAAAATCTTAGAGGTTGGTTTGCTGTTAAATAACAGAACAGCCTTTATCAGAGAAACTGAGAAAACTTGAGTACTGAGCACCAAAATCTCCATCTACAGAAGTTTAGAACAAACCGTGTATGACTAACATAAGATAAAATTCTGTTCCCTATCTCCTTTCCAGTGATAGCTGAAGGAATCAAAAAGGGAATAGCAACATCCTTATCTGCCTCATCAATAAGAATCATCCCAACTCCACCAGCTTCTTTCACTACCACGCCCTTTCCCAGCTTTGACTCGGTTGAACTCTCAGCATGTCGACAGACCAAAACTTTCCCTCTGGCCTTGGTACTATTCAAGGAACTCTCCAAACAGTAACTACAGGAACATATAGAAGAGCCAAAAAAAAAAAAAAAAAATTAAGGTTTTCAGACATGGAAGCCACAGTAGCACTCACTTCAAGTACCTGCTGCTTCACCTGGATTGGTAAGGTGTAAAGTATCCTGCATTGGCTTCAGAAGCAGAGATGATCCTTGCAGAGGCATTCATTCCAAAGAGACTCAGACTTTCTCCCTATTTGATGACAGAGAACCAATAAGAGGCTTGAAATACTAAAGGAAATTCTTTAAACAAAGAAAAAATGGTTATACCGTGAAATTAACACCATTTGGTCCATTTCCAAGTATGATATCAGATGTAAAATCTCTGTCTGTTGAACTGGCAGCAATAGTGAACATCCATGGGGCAAGATTTGTTGCAGAGCCTTGGTTCCCTTCATTTCCAACTGAAGAAACTACCAAAATTCCACGGCTTGCAGCATGGAAGGACCCAATGGAGATGGCATCATTGAAATAATCTCCTTGGGGAGCATCAGGACCAAGAGACAATGACAAGATATTAACCCCATCTCTAATTGCATCATCAAATGCAGCTAATAAGTCAACATCATAGCAGCCAGAGTCCCAACATGTCTTGTATGCAGCAATTCTTGCCATAGGTGCACCTCCCCTTGCTCCTCCAGCTGCCAATCCCATATAATTCATGTTTTTCACGTACCGACCAGCAGCCGTTGAGGCTGTGTGGCTGCCATGACCAGAACTGTCCCTTGGAGATCTAAATGACACAGTCTCTACTATATCTTCTTCAGCTTCATAGCCGCTCATATAGTACCTTGCTCCAATCACTTTTCTATGTCATAAACATTTTACCAACAAGGAGAATCACTATATCAATAGTACTCCAATGAATAAATGAATGAAAATAGAGGAATGGCTATGATTAAACCTGTTGCAAGAGGAAGCATTGAATGCTTCTCCTGACTGGCACTGCCCCTTCCATCTAGCTGGCACTGGAGGCATGTCAGCATCACTGAAACTTGGGGACTCAGGCCAAATTCCTGCATCAGTAGGTAATTATAAGTAAACCCACAACTTGTGTTTTATTCAAGAAAAGAAAGCCCAATACAAAAGATTGTAATGTGGCGAGGCATACACAGGAAAAATCAAGTGTTATACTAAAATGAATTAGTAATTCAGTATCAGCTGAAAAACACCCATCTGATCTGACCTATGAATTGCAACTATAATGAAAGATAAAAGCCTAAAAATCAACTCAATCTTCAGTAAAGTGGATATTATTCAGGAAAAGTTGCTTCAAATTCCAACAGAGAGCATTAATTATATTTGCTTAATTATTACTGCAATTCCTAGGTAGTACAAGATCGAGAGTGAGAAAAGGGCTCCATGCACATAGGCATTAATTGAAAGGAAGCAGAACTGGTCCAGTGCAAAATACGTAGTATAGCTGACTCACCAGTATCAATGAACCCAATTATAAGATTGACTTGATTCATGGTAGAGAATCCAGGTATCTCCGTGGTTTCGTCACCCACAAGACCAATGAAATCCCACGAGTGAGTAGTGTGAAGCCTTCTTTTCAAATTGGGAAACACGGAAACCACTTCCGGCATTTCTGTCAATGTATATATGTTTTTTTTCTTCTGTAAAACTTTGTGTGGACATAATATACTAAGTTCCTAATTATAAAAAATTTACCGGAAATTAGGGACGCTTGTTGGTCTGTCAACTTGGCTGCGAACCCTCTGAACCCGTGTTTGTAACTATAAACGTGAGATGCTTGTGCTAGCTCCATGCTTTTGTCACAGAGCACACATTTCAGTAACTATATATATATATATATATATATAAAGAAGAAGAAAAAGAAACGAAGAAGAATTAATGGCGTGTGATTAGATGAAGAAGAAAGAAAAAACCTTCCACCGTGAACAGCAGCAAGTATTTGGTGGTCATTTCTCAGAATGTCATTTTGGTCTTCACCACTTCTGCTTCCCATGTAAACTACATAAACCTGCAATGCAATGCAACAACAGTAAATCATAAGTCACCTAAATCCAATATCCTCAAAAACTAAAACAAATTACGCACCTTAGCTGAAAAGCAACTGTTGCTTTGTGCAAGAAAAAGAACCAGAAACAGAATATAGAAGCAGTAGCAACAACTTTTAAAATGAACTCCTCCAACGGAAACCATTTTTTTCTTTTCAGTGTTTCAGGCGCGGCCCTGATAAGGAAAAGAAGAGGTTTTTATAAACAAAAGAAAGAAGATTAATGGTGGGTGCGGTGCGGTATGGTGTGTACTTGATATATAAAAAAATAAATAAATAAATAAATAAAGGTGAAAATAAAGGCAAGACACAGAGAGAGTGCAATTCAGTGCTACTTGTTAGTGCGGGATGCATATGAAAGAGAAAGAATGACACTTTAACTTTGCTTTTGAGCCAACCAACAAACAACATTTTACCCTAAATTCCGGAGACCGTTAGAATTTTTATTGAACCCTTTGTGTGTTGAGGAGAGAGTATCACCATCAAGTTTTTCCAAAATCTCAAGTTGCCAGAAAAAACATATGATTTCAGCATAATATTGTTTATCGAAGAGATTGGAGAAATAATGCAAAGAACATGTAAGGCCAAATTCACATTGTTTACGCAATGAAGGTGGATAATAATTAAATGGTAAAAGTAAAGATAATTGATAAGGGAAATGATAAGAGAATGAGAGTAGAAATGAAAAAAAAAAAATAGTGAACCCAGTCACTATTATTTGTCTCGTGATTTGTGATGAAAAAGTTGACTACAGCCAGCGCTTACGGTGCAAAAGGACAGGGCCGTTGGTTGAGTTGACTCTAGTTCTAGGATCATGTGATGGTAATTATTATTAGAATCCTTTTGTTTTAATTATCATCAATCTCATTGCTTCCCCTTAATAATTCTTACAAGGCAATTCACATCCTCTATTATTGATGAATAATGATCATTTTGATTGACTACCCACCAAATCATCATACACCTATCTTTCTATTCTCAATCAATCAATTCCCTTAATCTTTATGGAATTACACTACATTAACAAAACAAAGTGGGTTGTGTATACCACAAGATCCAGGCCCAATTACTATCTTCAGGATTCCATAAGATATTTTATTAGTTGGGTAGGAGAAAACAACAAAACCAATGAGATAATTTCGTAATATGCATATGTGGCTGTGGTAGCTACTAGCAACTCCCTCAGACTCAGTACAGTCGCCTCTCTAATCCCTTTCTCCTCACTCCTCCTCATTTACAACTTTACAGGTAACATGTTAAACATTCTCTGTTTTATTTAACTAATAAGACAATTTTCTTGGTTGAAAATATGAATAAAACTCTAATGCGCAACTTCTTTCAAATTCCCATCTTCAATTCATCTTAGTTAACTTCCAGAGGATGATGACGAGGTTGATATAAGTGGGGTTTATTTGCTAAAGAATTTAACATTTTAATTTAATGGTCATACTATTCGTAAAGCAAGCAATCCAGTATTTGATGGTATTAATTTTTACATTTTAGGTCTCAGAAACAAGAAAGGGAGTGATGTCTGCAACCATATGCAATTCTAATCTCATCTGCTGTTACACAAAACAAACTCCAATACACCCAGCTGTTGGACTCAGGATCCAAAATCAACTCATTTCAAGAACCAACCAGAGCTATCCCAAGAAAAATTTATCTCGTAAATTTCTTGTATTTGCTGTAACGGAAGGTTCAGCTAAATCAAGTAAGTCTGAAGAAACTATCCCGTCTTGGGCTAAGCCAGATTCGGAGGAACCCCCTCCTTGGGCTAGGCAAGAAGCCAAAGACTACTCATCACAACAGGGCTTTGAGATTCCCTTTTATGTATATTTACTTGCCTCAACAATCACTGCAATTGCTGCTGTAAGCATTCCTCTTCTTAATCTTTACAATCCAAAATTACATTTTATATTAATTGTTTTAAAAATTTTGTGATTTGCAGATAGGTTCAATTTTTGAGTATGTAAACCAGAAGCCCGTTTTTGGAATTCTCAACTCGGACAGCATTTTTTATGCTCCATTGCTTGGATTCTTTGCGTTTACTGGCATCCCTACTTCTGTGAGCTCTTTTAATCGCTTTTCTCTCTTTTGCAGTAGAAAGTCATGTATCTTAACTTTGGGCCTATGAGAGTCTGGTATTAGATATTAAGTTACTTATAGACTAATATCATGATTCTAACGTTTTGGTGGAGTGGAAGATCTGTATAATATTTTTAACTAGGAGCATTGGTCAAGAAAGAAACTCGTCAATTCATATAATGGCTATTGGTCTGCCGAAAACCGATGAGAAAGAAAAAAAATTAAAAAATTAGAAGCTTCTTATGGATGTATGTTAATTATAATAAAAACATTCAACTCTTTTATTCATCCAACTTGACTTTACGTGCAGGCTTTTCTTTGGTTCAAATCTGTTCAAGCTGCTAACAAGGAAGCTGAAGATCAAGACAGGAGAGATGGTTATATGTAACATTAAATTCTCACTATAAGTTATTTACGATTATTATCCCTGGGAGATGAGTATTTCTCCTTAATTATTTGAAAACTTTTGTTCTTCAATTCAGTTTTGCTTTTATAAAGGTATAGTAAGACTACATCGCGAAGAACAGTCCACCTGTGAAGTTTAGCTTATAATTGGCAATAACTTGGGAACTTGCTTAGATAGCTTATGGCACCAGTCTAACTCTAACCCAACTCTCGGGTCATTTCATAACTGGCAAAAATGAAATATATTGGGTCTAAGAGCAAATTGATATTTTTTTCTTATGTAAAAGTATACCATGGCAGGTTAGAAGACTATTCTGCTCATTCTGCATTATTGATGTTGGAAGAAATACTTGATGTAGAAGTAGAGAGTTTGATTTAAGGGTAATTAACTTAGGTTTTTGTAGCCTTGGTGTTGGGAGACCAAAATCATGCAAGCTTGTGCATATTTCTGTTAAAGAGATTTAGTGAGGTTTAGGGGTATCTTCTTCAGATGACTTAGGTTACAATTGGATGTTTATCATATAAATGAGCTTTTACTTTTTGTTGCTGAGGATACGGCATTATATTGGCAAGATCATCTGGATAGGTGCTTTCTGTTTTCTGAAAATGCTAAGTTATTCTCTTGCTTGTAGTTGATGAATGATTTATGCTATTACAAAGATTGGAGATCAAGTTCGTTGGACTATTGTACTCTGTAAAAAGAGGCCTTCAAACATATTTGGGTAACGCACTATGTATTTAGAGTAATGAGGAGTTCATTATCCTTTCTGGCCTTTTCAAATAACTTAAACTATCAAACTGTAAAGATCAATTTCCTTCTGAAAGAGATATTGTATTTGGATGCGCAGATCTTTTTTAGGAACTGTCTTAGATCTGATTAACATGGCAGAGAACTGTGGACTGGGCACATTTTCTAGTTTGCCAAGATATTAGCATTTGTATAAGTGTATGATCATACCCAATGCTCATAATTGACAACAAAAGTTGGGTAAGAGAGGAGATATTATTCTGTGTATCAAGATTCGGCAGTTATCATCCTTTTCTTATATTGCGGTAGTATGACATTTTGGTATTCTTTGCAATCATGAATAAGTATATTGTGAATAATGCCACTACAGTGAGTTAATGAATTAAGTAATGCTCCATATGCGAAATCGTTTATGATCGACACATTATGTATTGAATACTGCATGTATTTAGTTATGACTCCTTTAATTACATCATGTCACGTTTGTATATTGATTTGATAAAATTAATTCATTTTATGTTGGAGGTGTTTGGTTGATGCTGATCATTCCAATTCTTATTTGTTTTCATGTGCTTAGCTTTTTTCTGGTTGCGCACCAAGTTCATTTGTCAGTGATGATATCAAGGTTTTATGTTTGTATAAAAAATTCAGAAGAAACAGTGAAGCTTGAATGAGAATTAAGCTATTAATCACAAGTCATTAGTTGGGGGGAAATGATGTTGTCAAAACTCTGCTAGCAGGCTGAGAGTATTAGTGGGATTTCTTGAGAAAAGTACCTGAGATACGAAAAAGGGTCAGGCTAATGAAGACGTTTAGACTTTAGAATAGTCATTGTTAACTGAGGGTAGAGTCGTCTGCTGCTCCTTAGACCTCAACGTTCCTCATTGTTCCTGTTTGTCTTGTTTGTAACTTTTCACGGTACCACCTAAGCATCTCTATATCCTAAGATCCCCCATTCTGTTGGAATGGAATGTAATCCAGCGGCTCACCCTCAACCATATATATATATATAAATATATCACCACGTGCCATGAGCGTGTCTCAACTTCAGAAGCCACACTCCAACCACCCTCTTTCCATGGCTTCCCCACAAACACTTCAATCTCATATAGCTGATCATAAAAACTATCAAAGAAAGGAACGAGTGCGACAAGGTCAGTGGATACGAGCTGCCATTTTAGGAGCTAATGATGGGTTGCTTTCCACAACATCACTGATGCTTGGTGTAGGTGCAGCAAAGGAGGATCGGCGCTCCATGGTCCTCTCTGGACTAGCTGGAGCTATTGCAGGAGCCTGCAGCATGGCTGTAGGGGAGTTTGTTTCCGTTTCAACCCAAAGAGATATCGAAAAGGCGTCTGCTGCTCACTGCAGTTCAGAAACCGATATTGCCGGACAAGATGACCATGTGATCAAGCTGGATATCACTGCCAGTTCAACTACCATTAAGGAAACTAAGCTAAGTGAGACAGATTTGGGCATCTCAAATGTGCTGACACCCACAAGAAACATTTGTTGTCAAAAAATGTCATCGGATATGATTACTGAGTCCAGGACCTCCAGGTTGCCCCAAATTTTCTCTCCTGGACGATCTCCTATGATGAAAGTGATTATAGAAAACTCTACTAAGACAAATACAACAAAAATAACTTCTCCAGCAGTCAAATCGTTTTCAAAAGATGCTGTAACAAATACTGTGCAATTGTGGGAGGAAAAGGGAGAGGAAGTGCTACCTAACCCGTTAAAGGCGGCCACTGCATCAGCTCTAGCATTTTTGTGCGGTTCATTTGTGCCTTTGGTGCCGGCAATACTTTTTGCTTCATATCTCATCAGGATTGTGGTAATTGCAATACTTAGCTCGATAGCATTGGTTCTTTTTGGGTGTTTTGGAGCTCACCTCGGTGGCTCATCCGTCAGAATATCTGCCACGAGAGTTCTGGTTGGAGGATGGATTGCCATGGGAATCACTTACGGTTTGCTTAAGCCTTTTGATAGTAGATCGTAAGGGCAGTAATGATAAGCATTAGCATTATGATTTGTTGTATTAAATGCATTAATTACCTAAAGTGAAGATGATTGTGCTATCTGGGTATTATATAATTTATCTTTGAAATGAATATTTCCATCAAATAATTTCATACTTGCTCTTTTATATTTTTTTCGATAGATTTTTGGGTATTTACTTTTTTATAAATTACAATTCATTTCGATAAAGCAGGCTTCAAGAAATCGGGCCCAATTTTCTACATCCCATGAAAAACTGAATCGCAATTTACAAGGGATTTTTTTGGATAATACCAACACTAAGGGGGCGTTTGGTTCAGGAATGTTAGATTACTGGGAATGTTGAATTACTGGAAAGATAGATTACCTTGAAATATTACTGGGAATCTTTAAGAAAATGTGTTTGGTTAGTTGGTAGGTATATTATATTAATATGGTTGGTTATGGGGAATAAATTGGTGGGTATGTTATTTAAATTACTAAATTGTCCCTTTTACAAATATTAATATAATATTATTTTTATTATTAATTTTTGAATAATTTTTTTTAACCCCCAATATTTCAGATTTAGTTAAAACACATCTGCTTATATAAAACTTTAATTTATTACGAAATCACCCCCACCTCCTGCTGCCACCGCAGATCACCGTCGGAAGTCTCCAAAAGTCCCCATCAGCAACTCACTGTGACCAAAAGGCTTCGATATGGCCGTTTCTGGCCATATTGATGGCCGAAAACGGCCATATCAGGCCAGATCTGGCCGTTAATGGCCAGGGATCTGGCCATTAATGGCCAAATCCACCGATCTGGCCGGAAATGGCCAGAGTAGATCTGGCCATTTTCGGCCAAATCTGGCCTGATATGGCCGTTTTCGGCCATCAATATGGCCGAAAACGGCCATATCGCTGACTCCCGGAGCCTCCCACTTAATATCGTTCTTTTTTTGGACTCCGGCGGGTTTTCGGAGGCGGTCCATGGTGGTTGGCTGCTGTAGGCGGTGGTGGCTGGGTGGCAATGGTGGTGGTGGCTGAGTGGCAGTGGTTTGTAAATTGTTTTAAATACAAGGACATTATTGTCCAAAATTTTAGTTAAATAAGGGTAAAATTGAAATAGGATATTAATGTAAATTTATTTTAAAATGAGGGCATTATTGTCCAAAATTTTTATTAATAAGGGATAAAATTGTAACAAAAAAAGATAACCCTGGTAATCTCAGAATACCTAAGAAAATGGAGGTAATCAGATTACCTCCAATATTACTAATAGTGACTACTATTGGTATTTGAAGATTACCGGAATCTTATATTACTTCACAATCAAACGTGATAATCAAGTAATATAAGATGACATTATCCCAATAATCTGATATTACCGTCAACCAAACGCCCTCTAAATGGATTGCGGTGGCGAACTGGAATGGTGATTTGTCACATTTGTGAAGTCAATGAGCTATATCTTGTTCATTTATGTACAATACAAAGGATAATGAAACCGACTACTAAAGGAGATAAAAGACGTGCAAATAGTTAGATAAGCATAAAATATGAAGAAATAAAAAATGTGTGAATGGTGACAAGAAGTTATGGCGAGATGGTTATCAATTAAGTTCCCCTATCAACAGCTTCTAGTTGGTATTTTAATTATAAGCATGTTGTACTTGTTCACATCCTCATCACTTTGGATGAAACTTCTCTTTACTCTCTGATCTTGCTTTGGTATTTGATAGAATGTGATTATTACAGAGTGCTGTGATCCAGACTTAATTAAAGACTGAAACTATTCTGGCTTGATTCATGGCTTGACTCATGGAATTAGAGTTACAGATTTCATGTAATTACATTGATTGTATTTCTATATTTTACATTTGTAATCTTGTATAAATTGAACACATTACGATACTGAAATATACAGAAAAGAAACATTCTTTCATCTTCTATTCATTTATCTTCTAGGCACTTTGTCATCTTTATTCCTCGAGCTCTTTTGCCTCTCTTCTTGCCATACTCTGACATGGTATCAGAGCCACTACACTTCCTTTAGCTTCCGCAACTTTATCTTTATTTTTTTGTCCCTACAAAGGCAAATACAAACTCTATTAGTTTCTCTCAAAATTCCACTCGTCAATCACCAAAATCAATTTCCAGAAAGTTATCAGATCAAACACTTCAATGACAACCAACACATGTATTGCTGAACCAACGCACAATGAAACAAATTCAAACACCACAACTACAGGCCCAAGCCCAAACACCACAAATCCCACAAATGGCTCAACCGCAACAACCAGCCCAACTCTCACAACAGGCCCAAACTCATTTCCCTATGGTATGTTGGTCACAACCTGGATTCACATCAACCCACGGGTCAATACCGTATCCTTTCACCTTCCAAATGGTTCAACCCACCGGTCACCGCCCTGAACCAGGTGATGTCCTCTTCTCCCCAACCTCCAATGGATCAGAAATTACACTCATCAAGCAGCAGTTAATCGGATCCAAAAACTACTCAACGTGGGCAAGAGATTTTCAGCGAGCCCTCGTCATTAAAGACAAAGAAGGCTTTGTCAACGGCACCATCCCACCACCACCTCTGGATTCACCTCTTCATCATCACTGGAATAGGTGCAATTGATGCGTGTTTACTACAACATGCAAAAATGTAGCAAGTATACTAGTCGCTCAAGTAATAAAATTATGAGTAGGATATCGTTCCCACGAGGATTGTTAGCAAAGCACTAAGTTTCCTAATGTTATCAAGTTGAAGCAATCGAATTCTTTGGATTGGTGGGAGCAAATTTTAATTAAAAACAACAATGAATTTTAAACAAGATTTAAAACTTAATTAAGAAAGCAATATGAAAACACGGAATATCAATTCAAGCAAAACGGGTAGGGTTTTGACTTCGTTTGGATTTTTATGGGTTAAATCTAAAAATTACACTGCATTCACATTCATGCGCAATGGTTGTAAATCGAATTCACTAATATGTTAAACATACCCTCTCGGGCTATGTTTTCCTATTCATCTTTATTAACTTTTCGCACCCAACAAATTGAAGGTTAATAATTCTAAACTCATTAAGCATAAGAATCCTAATATGATTTCATTAATTCTTGAATCTATCTCTAGCATCCAATACTATAATGGTGATTACCCAAGAAGCCTAACATGAATTATTTCTCAATCTCATCATGTTCATCACATACAGCATTAAAAATCAGAGTAACACACAACCACATCATATTCATATGAAAATAACACAATCAAATACTTAACCCATTTAAAATCCAAACTACCATCAAAACCCTAACCCAAAATAGATTAGTTCATAGCTAAATCAATAATATAAAAACGGAAATAAACAAGTTCAACATAATGAAACTGAGATGAAAGATAAGAAATCTCCCCAAAAGATGAATCCTTTAGTCAAAATCCGAATCTTCTCCCTTTAACAAACCAAAAAGCTCAAAGTTTCACTAAGAAAAATGTAAAAGCAGCTAACCCTAAAAAGATGAAGACCCCTGGGAAAAAGGCTAAGTTTTTCTTTTATACTTAGTCCAAATAACCCAGCCAAAACACGCACAACACGAAACTGTGCGTTTAACAAAACTGAATAAAATGACTGTCGTTCTTCTTCGCCGCGGCGAAGAATGAAGCAATCCAAATCGTCCCTGGCTTACTTCGCCGCGGCGAAGACAATTCCTTCGCTGGGGCGAAGCTTCTTGAAAAGTTCTAAAATTACAGAACTGCCACTCTGCTTGCTTCTTCGTTCGATTCTTCGATTCTCGGTGCTCTTCCTTGGGAACAAGCTTCATCGTGCTTTATCCTGCTCTGGAACTCTCCTATCTTCTGAGATCCACTAATTTCTGAGTCAAAACTATCCAATTTTGTCCTTATTTGCTCAAAATGTCCATTTTAACCTGAAACACGAAAAGTAAAGAATTAAGCAACAATTCAGGTCAAAATGCACTAGAAAGTACCTGAAATCCGACAAAAAGGTCTAATAAAAACTGTATAATTTACGGATTATCAGCAATGTGCTCGTGAGATCTTGGCTCAACAACTGTCTATCTTCCAAAGTGGTGGCTGGACTGCCCCTGACTGAAATAGCTATAGAAATGTAGCAAAACATTAGAGACATGTATGGAAAACTCGATTTGGCCAAAGTTTACACTCTCCGGCAACAACTCGTCGAAATCAATCAAGCTAATGCAATTGTGACTTTATATTTTAACAAACTCTCTTCAATATGGCATGAATTAGATGTTGTAGAAGAAAAGCTTGAAGGACCGCCAACAACCCTCACACAATTTCAGAGGATTCACGCAAGAACGACTTAGTTGTTTCCTCTTGGGTCTCAATGAAGATTTTTTGGCATTTCAGACATAGATCCTTGCCGCAGCTCCCCCACCAGATCTTCGTCAGGTTTTTCAGCTTGTTGTGTAGGAAGAGAGCCAACAACGTGTTGTCGTGAATGGCTCTCGATTTGGCAACGTTGTTGCCTTCGTTGGCTCTCACCAGAATGGCTTGAGTGCTCCAATTGCAAAGAAAGACTTGCAGCTAGGGTTCCACAATATTTCTCAAGCTCTTGTTTTATATGAACCAACCAAAGATCCAAATCAAATGCATCAATCCAACGGCTCTCAATTGATCTCTCTTCATAACCAATCCAACAGCCCACATGCTGCCACATCATCATTGGGGTCCACTGGGTCCAATACACTTAATACTTCAAATTGGCAAAATAGGCCAAATGGGCTAGCTTGGTACAATAGTCCAACCGGGTCAACATGGCAAAATGGGTAAAACGGATCAAACTAGTCAAATGGACCCAGGTCACACAAAGCTAGGAAAAAAAAAAAAATTGTGACTATTGTAAAAAACAAAGTCACACCCGAGATAAATGCTAGAAATTACATGGGCCTCCTACCGACAAATCTAGTGATTCAACTATTCAACTATTCAACAAGTCAACACCATTCCTACTGGAAATGCAATTTCTACACCCATGATCAGCACAGAACAATATAATCAATTGTTTCAAATGATGAATCAACTCCCACAAACGTCCTCTACTTCCTACGTAGGTACATCTTATTGTTTAAATTCAATTAAAGATGATATTTGGATTATTGATTTAGGGGCTAGTGATCATATCATTTGTAACCAAAAATATTTTACCCACAAATCCAACACATCATCCATTTCTGTTCACATGCCAAACGGGAATATAGCACCTGCCACACGTATAGGAACAATTCAACTTAGTAAACATCTCATCCTTAAGAATGTTCTATTTGTTCCAGATTTCCAACTGAACCTCATATCTGTCTCAAAAATTTGCACTAATAATCATTGTATTCTAAAATTCCACTCTAATACATGTGAATTTCAGGGTCCTTTGATTGGGACACTGATGGGCTTGGGTAGAGTAACTAATGGCCTGTATTATTGGCTTTCCGATAGTTCTTCCGATAAATTTCTGCATTGTATTACAAACAATAAAACTTTTTAATGTGATACAAATATCAATAAAAATTCGTTTAGTCTCTATCAAAGACTAGGTCACACTGCATCCATTCCTCAACCAAAATGACCATTATGTCCTTTAGCTAAACAATATTTCCTTCACTTTTCCTCATAGCACTTCTACTACCACACAGCCATTTCCCCTCATCCATATTGATATATGAGGTCCATATCACACTCAAAATCATGATGGGTCTAGGTTTTTCCTCACCATCGTAGATGATTTCTCCAGGGGCACATGGGCGTTTCTAATGTAGTCAAAATCATAAACCCTCACTCACATTAGGAATTTTATATCCATGGTGACCACCCAATTCAAATCATCAGTTCAAAGGGTTCGAACTGATAATAGTCGGGAATTTTTTAGTCATTAGTGTTCCTCATTGTTTTTGTGACTAGGCATTCTACACGAAAGCTCTTGAACATACACTCCTAAACGGAATGGGGTAGTAGAAAGAAAACACAGACACCACTTAGAAGTAACCAGAGCCCTAAAACACCAAGCCAACATTCCCATTAAATTTTGGAGAGAATGTGTGATCACTGCCACATACCTGATCAATCGGATGCCAACCCGTATCCTTGGTAGGAAAAGTCCTTATGAGGTATTGTTTGGTAAAGCACCCAACATTAGTCATCTCCGAGTTTTTTGTTGTCTCTGTTATTCTGCAATTGTTGGGCCTCATGACAAATTCGGACCACAATCTACTTAGTGTTTTTTTATGGGATATCCAATGTTACAAAAAGGATATCATCTCTATGACCCCACTACAGATAAATTTTTTATTTCTAGAGATGTCATTTTTCATGAAGACAGTTTTCCCTTTGTTACAAATGATGACACTCCAACTCCATCAACTAAGTCACCCATGTTTCTTGAAGATGAATCTCCAACAGGCCTTCAGTTTGCAATACTTCCTATCCCCACTACCAATTTACCATACTAGAAACTACACCACAGCATCAGCACCAACCTACTCCCAAATCTCCACAAACAGTCTCCCTTCCATTTATTGAATTACCGTCAACCACACAAACAGAATCTCCTATCCCACCTCCAGTTTATCCTCAAAGATGGTCAACTCGTTCCACCCAACCATCTATCTGGACATCATATTATGTTTGCCCCACCATGTTAAATTCATTAGGTACACCATATCCAACCTCCAATTATGTCAATTATGATTGTCTTTCTCTAAACACAGTGTTTGTATCAACCAAATTTTTACCGATCATGAATCGTCCAGCTATTCAGAACCTGTCCAACATATTTAGTGGTAGAAAGCAATGACAGATGAACTGAATATCTTAGCTCATAATAACACTTGGGATCTGGTACCTCGCCCCACTCACAAGAAACCCATTGGCTACAAATGGATGTTCAAACTCAAATATCGAGCAGATGGTTCCATCGAACAAAGCTCGACTGGTGGCAAAAGGTTTCACACAATGAGAAAGTTTTGATTACCAAGAAACATTATCACCCGTTGCCAAACATGTTACTGTAAGGTCATTTTTATCCATTGCCTCTGCTCGTGACTGGTCCCTACACCAAATGGATGTTCATAATGCTTTTCTTCATGGTGATTTACATAAGGAGATATATAAGGATCTTCCGCTTGGACTTCGCAGACAGGGGGAGAACACAGTATGTTGTCTGCGCAAGTCTCTTTATGGTCTAAAATAAGCATCTCGACAGTGGAATGAAAAGTTCACAGAGGCTCTTACAAACATTGGTTTTGTACAATCCAAGCATGACTATGCCTTTTTCTCCTAGTGCAAAGGTGAATCTTTTATTGCACTCATCATTTATGTTGATGACATTTTAGTTACAAGAAATAATGAAGAAAGAATCAAAAGTTTGAAAGTGCATCTCAATAAGCATTTTCGAATTAAAGATCTTGGTGAGCCAAAATACTTTCTAGGGATTGAAATTGTTAGATCTTAAGCAAGCATTTTCTTAAGTCAATGAAAGTATGTTCTTGAACTCATATCAGACTCTGGGTTAGCAGCATGTAAACCAAATGTTATTCCAATCGAGCAGAATATCAAGCTTACCACTCAAGAGTATGATAAAGGGACGCCATCCTCAGAAATACATTCGCCACTACAAGATCCCTCACATTATTAGAGACTTGTTGGGCGACTAATTTACCTTACCATGACACACCCTAATATCAGCTATGCGGTCCATATTCTCAGTCAATTTATGCATGGGCTAAAACAATCACACATGGATGCAGCAATGAAGGTACTCAAATACTTAAAAGAATGTCCTCGCTTGGGACTTCTTTTGCCTCGAGATGGAAACTTAAATGTCACAACATATTGTGACTCTAATTGGGCCACATTTCCCATGACAAGGAAATCTCTCACCGGGTTCTGTATAAAACTCGAAGGTGCACTAATCTCCTAGAAGACAAAGAAACAATCAACAGTATCTCTCTCATCAGCAGAGGCTGAATACAGAGCAATGGTTAAAATGACATGTGAGATCATCTAGATCCTTGGGTTACTAAGATATTTGGACGTACATACTAAGACACCTGTTCATTTATACTATGATAACAAAACTGCAAATGATATTGCAGTCAATCCAGTATTCTATGAAAGAACAAAGCACATAAAGATTGATTGTCACTTCATTAGAGAAAAAATTCAAGAAGATATAATCAAGACTTTACATATCCGTACTTCAGAACAACTAGTGGATGTCTTCACAAAACCATTGTACAGTAGACAACACTCTTATCTTCTTCTCAAGCTTGAAGTTTATGACATTTAAAATCACAAGCTTGAGGGGGAGTGATGAAATGTGATTATTATAGAGTGATGTGATCCATGCTTAATTATACATTGAAACTATTCTGGCTTGATTCATGGCTTGACTCATGGAATTATAGTTACAGATTTCATGTAATTACATTGATGGTATTTGATTGTATTTCCATATTTTACATTTGTAATCTTGTATAAATTGAACACATTACAATACTGAAATATACAGAAAAGAAATATTCTTTCATCTTCTATTCTTTTATCTTCTAGGCACTCTGTCATCTTTATTCCTCGACCTCTTCTGTCTTTCTTCCTGCCATACTCTGACAGTATTAGAGTCCCAGATTTGTTCCACTTGTAGAGGAGGTGAAATTATCATTATTCGAAGAGATTCAATATCATGGAACATCAAGAAAAGCCCGTTCTCTCAATATTGGATCGCCTTGATCGCTTGGTAACACATGTTTCTTTATCATTCAAGTAATAATCTTTTATAAAGTCAGATTTGATGGTAGTCATCTTGCTGATCACATTACATATGCAGGTATATTTGTTGGAAGAAAGGCATTCTTCAAGTCCTGTGATCACAAAGTTGAAGAAGGAAGACGAGTGCAAGAGTTTGTCATCTGCACTTGATGGAGCTACTAACCATGCTCGAGTCTCGAGTATTACAAGTTACGTACCATCAAAATACATTGCTTTTACTATAATTGAACATTTTTTTTATCAGTATTGCAGATGGTCATGGTGTTCAAATGATTGTTTTGTTTTTTCCATTCAGTTGAGCCCAGAGATGGAAGTAGGAAACACATCAAAGTCAAGTTGTTCCACAGTTGGACCTAAATCAAGTTTTGGCATAGTGACAAGGGATGATAAGGACATATTTGACACCCACCAAGTCCAAGAAAAACAAGTAAGTTGGAATTGGGATAAATATGTTTTAGTTGTGTAATAAGCATTCTAATTAAAATATTGCAGGAGAGCACCCTGGAATTAAAATCACGAGGATACCAAAAAGGCAGAAGAAGAAGAAGAAGAAAATGGGATGTTGATGCTAGTTGCTCTGCTTTTGATGAACAAATGTCTGGCTTATAAGTAAATAAAATAGAACAATGGAGAATAGAAAAACCAGTCAAACCAACATGTAATCTACTGGGATTGTGGGCACATGGGTTTTACCCTTTTTTTTTTTAATCACGTGGTGTGAAATCAAATCATTGAGAATGGGAAACGTATCATCTCAACATAAATTACGCCGCACCTTACCAATCACTAAGTCGAGTATTGATTATCGAAGAATCGAGATTTATCTCTATTTAATAAATATGATATGTGTATCAATTGAACGGTGATAAGGTGTACGTGTAGGGAATGATATGGTGGTCTAGCGTGTCGGTGATTATTTATTTTATAATTAATAAATTAAAAATGGGAGCGGAAACCTCGAGAGAGGACGATGACGATGATTATCATAAACGCGTAAAGGACAGTAAAAGTGGATTTGGACTTTTGAAGAACAGTTATGAGTTTTCAAGACTGTTAGTTGCAGTGTTGTAAAGTGAGTTTCAGTTTCAGTTTGAGATTGAGATTCAGGTGATGGCGCAACGTGATGGGCAACAGCAAGAGCAACATTATCGGGAATTTCGAGGAGACGAAATATTTGAATCCAATTCAATACATTCCACTTTTGCTTTGGCTTTATGGCTGGGAGCTATCCATTTCAATGTCCTTTTGGTTGTTGTCTCCCTCCTTTTCTTCCCTCTCTCCATATCGCTTATGTACGTCCTCTCTCCCTACTTTTCCTAATACTGATTTTAATTTAATTAATATTTTAATATGCTATAATTCTTCTTCATCTTCAGCGTGTTTGGATTGCTATTAGTCTTTATGTTTGTTCCCATTGATAAACATAGCAAATTTGGCAAACGCTTGTCCAGGTACTTTTAATTCCATCAATTTCAATTTAATTTTCTGTTTATCAGCTATTTTCTTCAATTTCAGTTTCAATTCCAATTCCCAGGTACATCTGTAAGCATGCATGCAGTTATTTTCCAGTCACTCTACATGTTGAGGATTTCAATACCTTCCATCCCGATCGTGCTTATGGTATTCTCCCTTTACTTCAATCATTTAATCAAACTGCTAGGTGTTTCGTGCAAGAAAATTCCCCCATATAAATTTAATGATCAATTAATCAATGAATTTTCATATAACATCTAGCTGCTAAAGAGAGTCATACAAGATGTCATTTAAAATGATAAGGGCCCAAGCTACAACTATCTTTAGACAACATCTACCATTCCAGTTGGCTCGCCAGATACTTCAAAGATTTGGTAGTCTCCATTAACTCAAGGTGTAAGCATCAGCAAAAGATTAAACCTTTTAATTTTCCTTAAAAATCAGGATGTAACCCAACTGCACGCTAAAGGGTAATCATGACCTAGACTAAACTCACTTAGTTGAGGTGCTTCATTTGGGCTGCTTTGAATTAGCAATTCAATCATGAAACTTTTTTTTGTACAGCTCTAACTTTGTAGTAAGGCTAATAACTGATGTTAATTTATTTCTTGTTTTAGCAATTGATAGTCTCACTTTGTGCTTCACGCAGTTTTTGGTTATGAGCCTCATTCGGTTTTGCCAATAGGGGTTGTTTCACTTGCTGACCATACAGGGTTCATGCCTCTCCAAAAAATAAAGGTCCTTGCTAGTAGCGCTGTAAGATTTCTTTTCCCTGTACTCTTGTAGATGTATATGTTTCATAGAACATTCATTTACCATCTGTGACTCCTAAAGTGTGTATGAATCACTAGGTATTCTACACACCATTTCTGAGGCATATATGGACATGGTTAGGCCTTACACCAGCAACAAAGAAAAATTTCACTTCTCTATTGGCTGCCGGTTATAGTTGCGTCGTAGTGCCTGGTGGAGTACAAGAGACTTTTCACATGGAACGTGATTCGGAGGTATTACTCTATTAGATCTTCTCTACTCTTACATTTTATGTATTATCATTCATTTTTGTGTCAGGACTTAGGATAATTATATAATGTTCCTTGTTACTTGGCATTGGCATCCTATGGGGAAAATTCAGGTGTTGTAATTTTACAAGTTTGGTTTAAGTTGTTATGTTCTCGTACTACTATTATTAGCCTCTTGCTATTGAAACCTCCAATAGGCTTATTTAACATGTATACCTTCCTTTAGAAGGAAGAATAGCCATTTCTCTTAGTATTACAGCTTTCTCTCTATTTCTCTCAAACCACCCCATCAAAAACACACTCAGGAAGTGCACATCTCTTACTAATAGTTTTCTTTGTATTTATTAGTTCTTTTCTTGTTTGTAGATTGCCTTTCTTAAGACAAGAAAAGGATTTGTTCGCATAGCCATGGAGACGGGCCGGCCCCTGGTTCCAGTTTTTTGTTTTGGTCAGGTATTGGTTCTGTTTTTTTACCCTCCTTTTTCACTAAGCAGTATTTATGCGAAGTTCATCTCCCTGGGCATTGTTTTTGTGATACCTGCATTATTGTTGTTATGGTTTTCTTCATGAATCCTCATCCTAGGGCTGGTGGTAGTGCAACAAATGTGATCACTTGCTGATTTTTCTTGCCTTTTTAATCTATTTCTTCCTATTACTATCAGAATTTTCTCTTGTATTTGATCTATTATTCATCTGATTAATTTTTCTCTTTATCCCTGTTATGCGTGAGGCATCACCCATGATGTTTAATTGTTTACCTTTTCTCTACATTTGTGCTTCAGTCATATGTCTATAAATGGTGGAAGCCAGGTGGGAAGTTGTTCCTCCAGTTTGCTAGAGCCATCAAGTTCACCCCGATTTACTTCTGGGGACTTTTTGGGTACGTATGAATTCTATATATGTCTATGAATTATAATTGTCACAATACCCTCATTTTGCAATTCATCATTTCGTTGTTTGCAAATGGTATCTGTACAGTAAAAATTCATTATCATTTTCCATTTTCTCTTGCATCAAGTGTTTGTAGTTCAAAATATTAATATGATTTTGTTGTATTAGTGGGTGGACTTTTAACTTTGAAATATTGATGCTTGGAATTTATAATATAGCATCTGAAAGCCTTTCTATCATGGTGTTGTCTGTATTGTACCTTTAACACTCCTTCCCATTATGTATGTTCCCCGGTCTGAAGGTTGTATTACATATCTCAAAGGTTTATCTTTCTTGCCAAATCTTGTGTCTTTCATATTTTCTTTGCATGAAATCTGGGGAATTGAATTCTTTGTACCATGTACATCGAAAATGGAGGCACAAGAAAGTTGTCAGTGTGTCTGTTTCAATGGAAAACATAAATTTCACAATGGATATTGTGTAGTGAAGCTTGAGGAACAATAACATTCCCATTTTACCAAGTTTTGGAAGATTATTCATTTTTTACTTGAATTGGTTTTCTATTATTGAAGAAATGTCATTGAAGCAAAAGGAAGCTATTGTTCTGTCTAATATTATATGGAATCTGTAAGTTGAGGCTAGCCAATTAGGGAATAGGTTTAGGGACTTAATGACTTGACGTTTTGGTTCTACAACTTCCACATTCTCTTGCTAGAGAATGTCTATTAATATGTTGGAGTTTAGCAGGTTGTCAGTTTCTAGAGTTGATTTGAATTCGTGACTTTTGCAGATCTCCTATACCCTATGAACATCCAATGCATATAGTGGTGGGCAAACCAATAGAACTGAAGAAAAATCCACAACCTACCATGGAAGAGGTATGGATGCTGCCACAAGTTGCTGGTTTAATGTAGTTTTCTTCCCTGAGATAACTAACCATTCACACTAAGCAGAAAAGAAAATTACATCATATTTGGATACTCTCAAGTAGTCCCTAAAACAATAGCATGTCGTCATCTAGACTTGCTGATAAGACGGCTGCTCTGTGCCAAAACTAAATATGCTGTTTATGATAAATTTGCTTCTCTTATGGAATTCTCAGGGAATCCATTTCTAATTTAACACAATATTTGATTGTAACTATGTATGTCGTGAACATTTCCTTCATCACTATTGCAGGTGAATGATGTACATAAACAATTTATTGAAGCACTTCAAGATCTCTTTGAAAGGAACAAAGCAGGGGTTGGCTATCCCAATCTTAACTTAAAAATTCTTTGATCAGATTGTAATATATTCAAATGGTCTCTCACCTTTGAATAATTATGTTTATTTATGTGCCACTTCTTTCTTTATACATAACATTGTAGTTTATGCACAACATTGTATTCAATGAGCTAAGGAAGAAAATGGAACTTCAAATGCTCCTGAAAAGTGTTTGATTTGATATATCCAATGATGTGTCTTCACTGATGCTTTGATACGAGGTTTAAGTGCACAGACAACTGCTCCACAGTTTGATCTTGTAAGATTCTAAACGCTTTCTGTGGATAGCCATTTTTGTCTACCACTTTTATAGTTAATGCAATGAAGTTGAGCTCCAGAAGCTTTAAACTGAATATGGTCATCTCTACACAATTTACTGTAAATTTTCCTGCAACCAAACGAATCTTAAAATGCTGAACATCAGCCAGACATCAACTTTTCATTGATATGGCAACTGCTCATATTCCTCAAAGGTCCTATTTCCAAATAATTTCGTGCTGAATGGGTAGATTGGGAGTGTCAAACGATGATCTATTAAGAGAAAAAACATCAAGAAAGGGGCCATGAAAGAAAGATCTATAAAGAGAAGAAAGAACATCCAACTCTATTTAAATTAAGCTAATTATACTTAACCACTGCCTAGAAAGCTAGATGATAAACATGACTAAGCAACACACTATCTTGAACTGCAAATAAACACTTGTAATGGTGATATACACATCTCCCTATTTGTGGGCAACAAGTACTACCTCACTGCTGATGAAGCAAAAGAGGGAAAGCATCACTAGATCTCAATCTTTCATCCCAAGTTTGATGCTTTGAACTTTAACAGACAGCTGCAGTTTCTGCTCCTCAATATCTTTCAAAACTGAAAGCAAGTTAGCTCGATACAATTCACATTTCCTTCGTGCACGCTCAAGCTGACGGGATAATTTTTGGATTTTTCTATCTTGGTCATCCTACAATATTGACATTGACAATGAGAATTTATGAGAAGGTACTAGTAAGACAAATAAGGTTAAGCAGGAATCAAGATAACAGAAGCAAAAATCAGAGAGACAAGCAAATCATATGAGTGGACTGTTATGAGCTAAAAATCATTCTATCGCAAGAAGTTCCTAAAGTAAGTTTGTCAACTAAACGATCTCTTTGAATTCCAACAGTCTCTTGGTAACTATATTAGCTTACTGCTATAGCATTACATTGGTTCCTATTTAGTAAACAACCCTCTTCTCATTTTGTCTGACAACTAGAATGGTGGGTGATACAGGCTGCAATAAAAATTGATCCTTTCTACACTGAGAACTAGCAATTAGAAGACAAGACAAAGATGGCTTACTGTGCAGTCACTGTTATTGCAAGAAGGAGAAAAATATGCAGCTGATAAAAGTAATGTAGCAGGAAACCACTTACAGCTGAGGCAGGTTGCTCTAGACCCCGTTGATGATCCCAAGTGGTAATATTTGTTTGACTTCCCTGAAACTGATGGTCTTCTCTGCTAGTTCTATTCGAAACGGCGATTCTCCCACCATTCTTCTTAGCAAGTGCAACTTTACTTGAAGCATCCTGCAGGGCACCCATTGCCACATTGTAAATATCTAGAGATTTAAGTCCATCATCAACTAGCTTAAAGGCCTCATGACGAAGATTATCGTATCTAACTGTAAGGGATTCCTTTGAACTATTCAGCAAATCACTGGTACGATCCTCCAATACCAGACCACTCTTGGCATTTCTTGTCCATCGTCTCATAACATATTGGGAGGGCAGAGTAAGAACATTTGTGACCCTAAAAACTGTTAATATGTGCCTACATAGGAGGCCAGAAAATTCAAACATCTGGCAACTGCAAGATGCTTTCATTTCTCGAACACTAAAATTAACATTATAAGATTTGTGACTCTCCCCAAATTTAGCAACCTGATATGTGGTGATTTCACCTTCGTCCTCAACTTTTGTTGAGAAAGTTAATGTCTCAACCAACTCCTCCTGAAATTTCATAAACAATTTCCTTGTGTAAAGCTCAGCTGCCTGTTTCTCCATGGGGGATGGTGTTTTCAAAACCGGGGCAGTGTTTATGGTATCATAGTCTGCCTTGACTTCTTTCTCATAACGACTTTCCAGAGCCTTCTCATACTGCTTAACAAACAGCTGAAGGGTTGTTGATGCATTGACATATCCATCAAAATAAGAGTTTATACTATCACTGCGTTGAGTTATAGATATTTCAGCAAAGAATGTGTCCCTCACATACACCGGAACCCACTGCCGCCTATCAGCATAAATTGCTTCTAACCACTCATTTTCCCTAAGATCATATCTATCTATCATCAACAACCAACAAGATTCAAACTCTTCAACTGACTCCGTAAAATTGACACATTTGTGGAGCTCCGCTTCAAAATTAGGATGTTCTAAAAGCACATGAGAAAACTTCTCTTGGCATTCTTTAAAGATGTGCCACTTGCAGAAGCGGTGACGAGTCTGAGGAAAAACCTGGGTAACAGCCACACGAATCACACGATCGTGATCAGTGGTAATCGAAACAGGAGGCCTGCCAGACATGGCCTCAAGCCATGTTTTGAACAACCAAACAAAGGATGCTTCAGACTCATTAATTAAGAGGGCGCAACCAAACAAAATAGGCTGTCCATGATGGTTAACTCCAGTGAAAGGTGCAAAGGGCAAGCGATAACGGTTTGACCTGTAAGTTGTGTCAAAGGTAACAGTGTCACCAAAAAAAGTATAGTTAGTCCTTGCTTTCGGGTCAGCCCAGAAGATATTGCTCATGCACTGATCTTCATCACCCTGAACAGCATAGAAAAATGCAGGGTTCTCAGATTGTTTATTTCGCAAGTAGTCAAGAAGTAGTTGGGTGTCCCCTCCCAGAGTCCTCTGCCGACTGCTCCTCATGTAATTCCTACAGTCACGCTCAGTGAAGCCAACATTGCTGATTCCACCATATTCTTTAATGAGAGCAGACATGATCCCACTTGGTCCAATTCCGGCACCTTGCAAAGTATCAATTAAAGACTTAGCAGAACCAGAGACATGGCGATGAGAACGAAGGCAATGGACTTTATCAGGGGGAACCAAGTCATGGTTGTGATCCTTAACAAAAGAAGAAACGATCCATCTACCAGAATCTTGAATTTTGACAACCAACATGGCCTTACAACCAACACGGGTCTCAGCACGAGGACGCTTCACCCTGGCATCACTTCCAGCTTTGTCTTTATCTTTATCTTTATCAACCCTAAACCCTTCCTTGGCGCAAACAAAGGACCTCTGAATGATGGCACCATCACGGCGAGAACGACGAGACATACTAACGCGAGTGCTGAAACCAACACGGCGAGCGTAAGAGTTGTAGAAGGCCTTGGCAGCCTCTTCAGATTCGAATTGCATACCCTCAAAAGGTTCGAGATTAGAGTCAGTTTGAGGTTGAGGCAGAGGGAGGGAGATAGAGAAATGGGTTGAATCTTGAGGGATGAGGTTGTCATCATACATGTTCATGCTCTCATCTCCAAGAGTGTGCATCTCCATTTGCATCAACTCCATTGGAATTAATCAAACCCCAGAAAATTAAACTAAATATATATATATATATATATAAAAGGATACAGGAAAAGAGCACAACTGACCCGTAAACATTAATCACGTAATCCTTCAGTAGCTTCTGCGGAAACAGGAGAGTGTTCATTCATAATTTTATTTAGTAATTGGAGGATTTGATTTGATTTGGTTTTGGGTCTTTTAATGGGGAATGAGAGGGGATATGTGCAGACCATATCAGGGGACTGAGAAAGGAAAGAATGACCAAAGTCTTCAAATTTGGATTGAAGTCAAACAAATCATTTAATATTTTATTATTAATAACACTCCTTTTCTCATCACACGCTTCATAATCATAATCATACCTTCTTTCTTTCTTATCCACTTAATTCTCAAGAATGTTTCCCTAATATTCTGAAATTAAAATTATTTAAATTTAGAAAAATATAACAAGAAAACATTAATTTGATAATAATATCTACCAGCTGGTGTAGCATATACATATATGATCATTCTATTGCTTGCTTGTATCATGTTTGATGGGGACATATCATTTGATAATTAATTAAACATTACAGAGCTCTTGAACAAGCCGGGGGAGGGAGATGATGAGAAACTTTTATTTCACTAACCACATGAAAAATGTAGACCACATTGTAAGGGAAACCGAGGCCAATGCATAAGTCCATAGCATTATTACTGAACATTCACCCTCACCCGCACCAAACAATTGGGATATTGTACCTGAAGTTGTAAACAAAGGTCAATGTCACAAATGATAAAAATAAAACAAAACAAAACAAAATGATAAGAATTCATACCAATATTTATTGCTGGGGGCAGTGCAAATTGAAGTAGAAGAACAAACCGATATAAAGGGTTTGACTTCACCAAGCCAAAGTGGACGGCCAATTTAACGATGATTACCCCCATTATTGGCAAAGCTATATATCGAATCACTATTATCCCAATTATTAGACTTCGCTGTATCCGTGACCCTTTCAAACCTGAACAACATCCTCAACTTCAACAAGACTGAAAAAGAATTTGATCAAATTAAGATCACTAGTTAGTTACCTTTAAGAAGATTTGCCCCCACAACTATGGTGACAGTTGGAATGGCTGCATCCCTGTGACCAAATTATAGGGAGATCAAAACTGATCCTGAAGAATCAACATTAATAGGAATGACATTTACCCGAGTAGAGATGCAGAGTCTTCAACGACACGAAGAGGAGCACTATCACCAATCAACACCTTCTGAACCTGAGGGATGCTACCAACCATTAACCCAACCATCTGTATAACAAACAATTTAAGTTTTTACTGTCAGTCACCGATCTCCATTGAGAATACATTTTCCATTTATTTCCTATGATAGACCAACACTAAAACTTCACAAGTTTACTCCAAAACAACCTCCCTAGATTCTACTAAATGAAGCCTCTTTCTCTGACTCCAGTAAGGGGAAAAATGTAAGCATATCCAGTAGGATTGTGTCCACAAATTCCTATATAAAATTAAGTAACAGTACTCTTTTTATGGTTTTTTTTTTTTTTTTTAAAAAAACTTTATCTGTTATATTTGTATTTATTAAGCCTACTTTTTATATTCACTTTTCTATTCATTTAGTATTTTGAGAATTTAGAAACAAGCTTTTGTTTACAAAGTTTATATATCTAATATTATCATAGCTATAAGCATACAGCTCCAATGATTGAAGGGGCAAAGAGCTTCCGCAGGTTGATCTTCATAGCAAATGTCTGGAAAAACTGCTTAATCTTCTCTATAAGCGGCACCTGCCACCAAAAACTGGCAAAGTTAAGACGATAATTGCTCTCAGAGTCAGAGAATCCTCTATATATAAAAGAATAAGAATTAAGAAGAAGCTATTGTTTTCAAAATTGGTTCTTTTCAAATGGATAATACAACTGTCAAAACCAAAATTAGGATTATGAAACCATTGAGACCAGTTACCTTTAGCTTCCCTTCATTTATATTAGTCCGATCAAGTTCCTGATGATCCAAATGGTCTTCCTTGAGTGAGCTTACATTTAAAGGAAGAAGTGGCCCCAGGCGAGAATTTGAAAGACTTGCAGCTGTTTCTACTTCAGACTTTGTACTTTCTGTGAAATCATCTAGTTTGGCTCCTTCAGAATTCTTATTTGAATATATCCGCAAAATGTTATAAACGTATGACCAGAAGCAGATGCTTCCAATCTGGAACATCATAAAGACAAGGCAAAGTATTGAAACAGGATCTAGATAAGCAATAATAGACATAATTACACAAGATAGCTAGATTCATACTGCCATAGAAAGTGCAGCATATGCCATTCCCTGGTTATAACAGGTATGACCATCGCCAAATGGACTATCCCGTTCTTTACAAACTGCTGGAATTATAATGAGAGGCATATTCCCCAAGTTACCTGTACACATCAAATGCCAAAATACATGCAGATTGCAAAATGAAAAACATTTTCGAAATAATCAACTCAAATACCTGCAGCACAACATCCTAAAACAAGCCCCCATAAATCAGAAGGAGCTTTAGTAATTTTTAAAAGCATCCATCCAAGTGCTGAGCCAATGATGAAGGTGAGAAGAATATTAAAGGGCATAAACCACCTACATATATAATATACAAAAGTTACTTCCAATAAAATAACAAGAAAATTATGGGTGCAGGAAAAGGAGAAATTTTTAATAGCCACAAACTCACAGCATGCATATACTTTTAAATGATGCGAATTTTGCAAGGCAGCTAGCAACAAGTGCTGGGTTGAAGACAAAAAATGAAACCTGTACAAAATTGAAGGTAGTCAGTCCAAGATGTTTCTTTAAGGCATATTACTCAACATTTTTTAATTCCCACAACTGAGCAAACAGATTGTTTGTCACTTTAATAACAAGAAGCAATTCTATAAGTTGAGCATGCTTTAACCGACTTGTGGGTCGAATAAACATGCAAACAACAGAATGAACATGAATTTTGCTATTAAAAATGCAGCACTAACACTTACATTGTTTAAGTGCTTTCGTGCCTCTTTTCCCAAAATATCAATACGATCCAATCCAAGAAATAATCCAAGAGCAGTGAGCAGTAGTACCTTTAGAACTGGTATAAATGCAACAATAAAGAGATCCAGAAGCTTCATAGTGAAACTCTTAAGCCTTAGATAATCTCTGCTTTTATAAAACTAAAATACATATCCCTGCACATGATAATGCTTCATATAAAATCAAATTTGATGTGGTACAGTAAGATAAAATGTAAAATTTGTTCCTAATCATTGAACAAAACGAAGTACTGAACTTGTAACAAAATACTGCAGTTCAAGAAGCAAGTAATATAATGATAATGCAGGATGAAGAAAAGCTATTCAGCAACTGCAAGTAGTATCTATTAGAAGTTGCGTTTGTCCCATATCACCAAGTTAGTAAACTATTATGGTGTATATATGTGGTTGGGTTCCCTCCTCCCTTGAGCTAGTTTTTGGAAAGGAGTTCTAGTACGTTAAGTTGGTGGGTGTTACCATATATATATATGGTTTGACAGCCACGTTTGTGAAGTTGGTGAGTGTTATAATGTATATATGTGGTTGGACTATTTGTGAAGTTGGTGGATCTTATAAAGTATATATGTGGTTGGACTGTTTGTCAAGCTGGTGGGTGTTACGATGTATATATGTGATTGGAATACTTGGAGTAGTGGAAACAATAATAGTGCAAGTGAGGGTGTGGTGCGGATTTGGAATGATGGAAACACATTTTTTTCCAAGTTGGGATTTGGAGTAGTGGAAACAATAGTGGAAGTGAGGGTGTGGAGGAGTAGACTAAAAGAAGTTGGTGGGTTGAGGTTTGACTCTCTCTTCCCTTAAGTTAGCTTTTGGGATTAGTCCTATCCAAACCTATTTTATCATGGTATGAAAACCATGTTTGTTTGGAGCGATAATGAGTTTGGACCTTGGCCTTACATGCAAAGCGTAAGGAAGATATTAGAAGTTGTATGTATCTCACATCGTAAGTTGATAAGTTATTATGATGTATATATGTGGTTAGATTTTCTTCTCCCTTTATCTAATTGGGATTTGGATCCTCCACATTTGGTTGCCAAGTTGGGATTTAGAGTAGTGGAAACACATTTGGTTGCCAAGTTAGGATTCGAAAACACATTTGGGATTTGGAGTGGTGGAAACAATACTAGAATTTGAATGTTGTTTGGTATAAAACAGAAAAAGAAAATCCCTCTTCAATGAGAGTGCTGGCACGTAGACTGTCCTTCATAATGACTTATTACTATTACACCGCTTATCAGATAGATTATTTCACTGTACTTATTTTGATCACCCAATAATGTTATGAACTAATGCCATGATATTGCTCACGATTAATGGTCAATATTACCTCGAAAATAATGGACTATAGATTTCTTCCAACTAGGAGAATGAAGAATTCAGTCAACAGCTCTTAATTCTTATTATCAAATTAGATTAAGTTCAATACTTGTATTTGTTAGATAATTTGATAAGTATGGGCTGCTTCAGTGACAAACTGATCCCGAAAAAGCTCAAGGCTACAGCAGTATACAGAGAGATAAATTTGCATTCTCTGATACGTATTCGCCTCCAAGTGATGCAAATACCATTCTATATACCGGATTATTAATAGTACATAAAGGATTTTCTCTGAAATGAAATATGCCTTAACAGCTACTTAATTTGCTGAACTTTGGACACAGCATCAACCGACTAACCACATGAAGAGAGTTGACCAAAGAGTAAGAGAAACAGGTGCCACAGCGTATGTCCACAACATCACAACCGAGCATTCACTCTCTCCAGCTCCAAACAACTGGGTAACCGTTCCTGCAGATGGAGATGGGGAGATAGATATGTTAGGTCTCTCCTACTGTGCTTACAGCTCATGGAATTAAATAGATAAGAACAATTTCTCTGGATTTATCATCTATGATACAAAATAAAACTTTGTTGTTCGTACCAATGTTCATTGCTGGTGGAACTGCGTATTGTAGTAGAAGAACAAATTGATATAATGGATGTGAGTGAACCATACCAACACGGACTGCACCTTTAACAATTACAATGCCCAACAGAGGTAGGACTATGTAACGAACTGCTATAATTCCAACGATAACACACACCTCAATACCTGACCCTTTTAAGCCTGAACCACCAAAATCCAGTATTTACTAACCATAATCCTGAATATGCAAATGTTATTCCAAACATACTTTCAATTACCTCTAAGCAGATTTCCTCCCACTACAAGGCTGACAATTGGAATGGCTGCATCACTGTGAAGAGATAAGCATGAAAAAGAATGTGGGAAAGCTTGCTGTTAGAAATATGGATGGATAAAGAAGAACAAGTATGTGTATCAATGGTCAGCAATTAACTAAATTAGTATTCTAGCTAAAAATTTTAGGATGCTTTATTCGGACTATAAAGTAGCATGAAAACAAGAATTTTCATCAAATTTATTTCCATTCTCCGATATTTGCAAGAAATTACCCCAGCAAAGAAGCAGAGTCTGTTATCACACGAAGAGGAGCAGTGCCACCAATCATTAAATTTCGAATTTGGGGGACTACACCAATGAGAAATCCAACAACCTATTCAAGAAACATCAAGAAAGGAATTCTGAGATCTCTTAGCTGGATTTTTTGGCATACAAAGAGAATATTTCTACCACAAAGAAGTATCCTTTAATCATAGCATAGATGGAAGTCTTGTGAAACATAATTCCTTTCGTACATTCTACCTGTTTAACCTACATGTTGGAAAGAAAAACAGGGGAAATATACATTTAGTACACAATAAAAGGAAATGGTTTCAATGGTACCGCTCCAGTAGTTGAAGGTGCAAATATCGCCTTCAGATTGAGTTCTTTTGTGATAACCCTCAAATACTGCTTAGTTTTATCTAATATCGGTACCTGTCATAAAACTCTTAAGATGATCAGATCATGAAGAATCTTTCATATAAACTTGAGAAAATGTAAGCAATATGTTCTTCGAACTTTTAAGTATCTTATGTTTACTAGTTTCATACATGCACAGACAATCTTTTAGACTTCTTACAAAATCAATTTAATTATTTTTTCTAGCAGAGAACAAGATGACAAAAACCTTCTCAATTCCTTCTGTCTTTGTGCAAACAAGAGGAGCTTCTGTGTAATCCCCTTGAAGAAATTTTGGTGTTCCTTCAGCAGAGTTCATCGTGCTAGGGAGCTCCTCTCTGTTGTCTTCATTGTTGACCTTACTTGAAGAAACCCGCACAATGTTGTAAACATAAGACCAAAAATAAACCGCTCCTATCTGCAGTTTCAGGAGAAGAAAATGTAAAATTTAGTCGCCCATAATTAATTAATAAAAAACCTTGAACTAAACTAGTTTCTCAATTAACTATATAATTGCCCTATATGATTGAACATGAAACAGATAAATATACTCAGTGTCCATACCGCCATAGAGAGTGAAACATAAGCCATCCCATACTTATAGCAGGTTTCAGGAGCTCCAAATGGACTGCCTTTCTCTCTACAGACAGCTGGTATGATAATTATAGGCAAATTTCCCAAATTCCCTGTTACAACAACTTGAAGCGTAAAATCCTTGGTTTTACTTGAAAGTGAAGGATGCATAACATAGATCATGTAAGCACGTGAAGTTTGTGACAACAAATAGTTGCAAGAGCAGATGAATTTTTGTTTACATGAAGAATAAGTGCAGCATATGCATATATCATCTACTGAGCAATGGATGGAGAGATCCTTAACATATGTCATCTGCATGTATCTCCTCTTAAACTAAGGATGGATTATGATCTATTACCTTAATGTTTTTCCCTTATTCATATGTCCTGCTTTATGATGTTATCCGATAAAATGATTTTGTTTCACCAAGAGGTATGCACTACCACCTTCCTTGCTTTTCAAGTAAACCACGAATAATGATGAAAAATCGAATTAAATGCAGATGGTCTTAACACAATAAATCCCATTGTCATAGCTGGTGATCACACTCAGCGCCATGTAAGCTATTTAATTTTCTGCTTAACATTTGAAAAGCCAGCAGAAGGCCGTTACTTTGTGCATAAGGTTGCTCTGCATCTCTATGCTGAGCAGCATGTAAATGAGCTTAGGTATAAGAGGTTCGCAGTTTTTAGAAATAGATACCTGCAGAGCAGCAACCCAATATGAGGCCTTTTAGATGTTGAGGAGCTCTAGTACATTTTATCAGTATCCATCCCAGTATTGAGCCAATAATATATGTAGCAAGGATATTGAACGGCATGAACCACCTAAATATGCAATAAAATGTTGAACATGTAACTAGGTGAAAAAGAAATACTATGTTGATTCATATTGTGAATGAGAATAGATATATTATAGCACAATCAAAGACAACTAAGAACTCACAACAAAACAATGCTTTCAGAGGTTATTGTTTTAGCCAGGTTGCTTCCCACTAGTGCTGGATTGAACACAAAAAACACTACCTGTTGATTAAAAAAGAAGGTACGACTGTTAGCCCATTTGATTATTGATTATTGCTAGATCCATTTCATAGAGCAATAAGCAATGAGGAACACTGAAATATAGAACTGAAATCTAACAAAATAGCTTACACCATTCAATTGTTTTCTTGCCATTTCCCCCAAAACATTTATTTGATCCAGAGCTAGAAAAGAGCCAAGTGCAGTCAAAAGCAGTGTCTTTATAACTGGCATAGAAGCAATGGAAAATAGATTTGAAAGCCCCATTGTGTCAAATAATCCAATGTTTCAAATCTTCATGGCTGCTGCAGATTTGGGAAAACATTTAACACAATGTTCTTATGAACTAGGGAAAAATATATTCTAAGTTTGGAAAATACATGAAAATATTTGCTTGGTCAAATCACACAAGGAAATGTATACAGGCTCCGAGTAGAAATTATATAGAATGCTTTTTGTTACTTACAAGTAAGAAGTAGGGATATACAAATGAAATATATTAGTAAGAGCAAAACAAATAACTGTCACCTAGTAATCTGTTGGAATATGCAGCAGAGCATTTCACTTAGTCTGCTGAGTCGTGAGAAAGAAAAGGCAATGCAATGGGTAAATAAGAAACAAAACAGGAGTAAGTGAGGAAAAAAAGCAAGACTAAGAAGAATGCGGTGGAGACAAAGCGAGAATATTTTGATTTAATCCAATTTATAAGACAAAACAAAGAAAAACTAGCGGAGTTGTGCATAGATGAGAATATATTTGAGTAATGCTTCAGTTTTGACCCCACAACCACAAGTAAAACCATCACCCTTTTTTTTAATATAAATGAGGGTGTCGTGGAGGCAAAGCATTTTGGCCCGATCTTAAAAGACAAACACAAAGGCGCTGCGCATAAAATCTCCCATCCTACTCCAACATCTGTGGGGTTTACTTTCAAAAGCTTAAGTCCTACTCCACCTTCCTGTTACCTTCCTAATTTAGTACTATTTCTTTTCTTTATTGTCCTCCTCAACTGCCAACTGCTACACACAATTTCCTTTCTTTGAATTTTGGACCACTTTTACTGTTGCTATTGATTTGTTCTTCACCCCGTGAAAATGGACTGCTAAATCATCAACCGGGACTGTTTCCTTTTGAATTTAAAAGCATTGATTTTTAATTTAAATGGCTCGAGATTCTCTGCATCAAAGATTAGCAGTAACACACCAATATATATATTTATATATATGCAAGGTTGTTTCTGGATAAGCAATCCATAAACAACCCACAAGCAGAAATCGGCCATCTCCCTGAAGAATGATACCATACATTTAAAGTATGATGCTACTGCTTGATGTAAATATTAATTGTTCAACATTACAGTTGAAAGCATCTCCACCTATATCCCAAAATAATTATATATTGAACACCTCACCGAGTAAAACTAAAAATAAGCAGGAAAACTGCAATCATCCAATTGGATCAATGTGTCCATAATGTTAAGTCATATTTTTACGGTTGCTATTGTGCCAAAACAATTTAACTCAGAAGCCACATGTAGAAGGTTGTCCAAAGCGTAATAGCTAACGAAGCCACAGCGTATGTCCATAACATAATGACAGAGCATTCACTCACACTAGTCTGAAATAACTGCGTAATTGTACCTGCCAAAGTTGTGAGAGAAACAGTGAGTTCATTATACAAAATTATTAATTCAGAAAGTAGGCTGTTCACAAATTGCAGAGCTCATCAAATTTTAAGAGGAAAATAGCTTCCACCCTGGCCTTAAAATTTTTCCAGTCTTCTATTAAATATATTTGGCATATTGCATGCTTCACACCTGAGATAAAGTTCTTTAAACCACAGGTATGAGATACGAATGCAATGAAACTGGGTCATTTTAACTGAAGCAAACAGACAAGGCTCGGCAACCAAACTAGCGGCTCCAATAACATTTGAGGTACGAGGCATAATGGCATATTACATATTACATTGCTGTTCAACAATAAGAAGTCATCATACCTACAGCCACTCCTGGTGGAAGAGAAAACTGAAGCAAAAGAATAAATTGATATAATGAATCCGATCCCACCATCCCAAAATGATGTGCAGCCTTAACTACAACAACGCCCAAGAGAGGCAAGAATATAAACCTCACTGCTATAATCCCTATAATCACTGAAAAACTTATTCCCGATCTTTGTAAACCTGAAAGTTTAAATTTAACACCAGTTATTTAAACTTTTTTCTCCAAGGAATCTGCATGGCCATCTAGTCTCGGGAAATGGAATCAAAGTTATCAAAATACCTCCAAGAAGATTTGCTCCGATTATCAGGGTCACAGATGGAATTGATGCTTCCCTGTAGATCAGGTTTAATTTCCAGAGTTGAAGAATTTAGTAATGTTAAAACCAGACACGATACATAAGAATCAAAGTGATAAGACGTTTACCCCAGCAAAGATGCAGAGCTGTAAATCACACGAAGAGGAGCACTATCACCAATTATTAACTTTCGGATGGGAGACACTGTCCCAATGATAAATCCAACAGCCTTTAAGAAAAAATAATATCAAACCAACAAATATAGAATAAGAACTCATCGGTCCATGAATACAATATTTTAATCTGAACTTTCTATCATAGTATAAAATGCAAGCAGTTCTTGGCATACCGCTGCAATAGTAGATGGTGCAAACACCATTTTCAGCTTTATCTTTGCCGTAACATTCTTAATTCGGTGGATAGTAGTATCCAGAAATGGGACCTGCCAATAGAAGTAACAAAAAAATCATCTCATTTCAGCAATTTAAATAAAGAAGCAGCGTATATGGATATTGGATATTCCAATATATATGTGTACTGTAGGCTACAGGTTTACAATACAAAAAACAACTCAAAGTAGAGTAAGGAGAAGTCTTCATTTTTACCCCAAATATAGTGTGAGGCAGTTCATCTTGGTTTGCAGAGTCATCAGAGGTAGAGCCATCATCTGAAGGTAGTAGTGCCTCTGTGCAAGTCTCTGAGAACATTTCCGAGGTTTCTCCAGAAGATTTTATGCTCGTTGTAGAATCTTTAACGTTCAAACTCATGAGGACATACACGTAAGTCCATATATAAATTGATCCAACCTTAATTTACGTACCATCAAAAATACATGTTAATTAATTAATATATATATGTATATTACAAGTCATAAAGGTAACTAGTGAAGCAGAGAGAGAGAGAGAGAGATTATACTGCCATAGAAAGTGAAGCATAAGCCTCCCCATTAGTGGAGCAGGTAGATGAATCTCCAAATGGACTGTTTGACTCCTCACACACTGCTGGAACAATTATGAGAAGCAAATTTCCCAAGTTCCCTGAGCACTCGATCATTAAATAAATAAGAAATTTAAACAGTTTGCATCATGAGGTAGTTGCTTGTAACCAAGAAATGTTAATATACCAGCAGAACAGCAACCAATAACAAGGCTTTGGAGATGTGGAGGAGTGCGAGTGATTTTAATAAGAATCCAAGCGAGTGCAGACCCAATTATGAAAGTGAGCAAAATATTCACTGGCATAAACCACCTTCATACGAATGCATGTTAATCCAACAACAATTAATTATCAATAGATACAACAAATGCTAGTAGAAACAAGTCGACTCACAGTTTAACCAAACTTGTGAAAGTAATAGTGTCAGAGAGGTTAGCTACGATCAATGCGGGATTGAACACATAGAAAACAATCTGAACAAGTAAGACAGCAACAAGTAATTAAGAGGTAAAGAAAGAAGCATATACAGTTGTCAACGAGAAGATATCCTAATTACACGTGAACCCATAGTTCTACTGTTTTCAGCCATGCAGATACACAGCTCCTCTATTTGACAAATTAATAATGAATTTGAAAAGATTGTTTCTTCAAGAATATTTATAAGCTATAATCATGTTTGAGATTAGGCTCCAAAGGCCTCTGGCTAATATAATTTATGTAGCTAGCGGTATCTCCGGGCGCTGGCATCTCCCTGAACCTGAATCCATAATACTAGAAGAAGACTACGAGTCTACGACTATCTACTTACATGATTTAAACTGCGCCTGGCATTCGGTCCCAAGAGATCAATGCGATCTATTGCAAGCAACAAACCAACAGCAGTAACCAAAAGTACTTCGACAACTGGCTCTAATGCGGCAATCAACAAATCTAGGAACCCCATCGCTAAAATTTACCTTTACAGCTGCGAAACTCCAAGCAGACACTAAGAGTAAGAATACATGAAAGAAAAGCTCATTCAGAAAAGCAAAAAAATTCTTTTAACTGGAAATATTGGATTTGCTTTGGCAGTGGGAATGGTTCATACATAAATATGATGCGCAGCTTAAACTGAATGCTACAAAACAACAATCACCACATCTATATATGCAAAGAGAACTTAAATGGATTGTAATTTTAACATGTATAAATATTGGTACGGGAGGCCATATTTAAGCTTACATGTGATTGAGTTTCCAGGGTTGTGCAAATTCGCAATAGTAATGAAAAGATACCACTGATCAACTCTTGCTAGCTAGTAAGTAGTATATATATAAACAAATTCGTAGTGAGTGAACATTTGTTAGTTGTATATGCACTTTCAACTGCCATTCTCTCTCTCTTTCTCTCTCCATGTGAACTATTTACATTTCTCAACTTTTATTTTCAGCTTCAGTGTGTGGTCCAAAATGATTGCAATTGAATTGATCAGGATTTCAATGTCCAATATAAATATATCCCAAGACTATCATATATCTGTAGACGTAATAGAATTAAAGTTTCAGGTGGCTGTCCTTGTACTCCATGGTCCTACTGCTCTTCACGCCAACACCGTCATCGTCATGCATTATTGTTCTCATCAATACTCTTCAATTACATTTGTCAGCTTCTGGTAGAAAAAACAAAATTAATAATAATCAAACTCAGAATCATCATCATCATCATCATTTTAGTTTAGACAGCGGAGAAGCGTAGAGGATCATCGGATCTCCAATTAATGGTCTAGGTGGAGTGAGTAATATAAACAAAGCCCTTATTTTATAGGTTTTTGACCCAAAATATAATTACAGAATATGCATATCAGATCCTTCAAGTTGATAATTTTGCAGCAGTAAGTATCATTTGATGGGATTCAGTATTTCAACAATTGAAAGTCATATCATGTGCTTCTTACGGAGTAGGAGTAAGAAACCATATCTGAAATTAGCTTGGCTATATTATTTCTGTCCCCCATTTAATATTGGAATCCCAAGGTCACAAGATTAACTGTGGCGAGAGGACGAAATTAACATGAATACAAGTGAAGATCACTAACCATATACAAGCTTGGAATAGGTAGCAACCAATAAATGAATTAATTTAATGCATTATTATGAAGAACAGGTTGAATAACTAAGTTCTAGCTGCCATATTTTACATGTACATGCCATTTGTTTCTGTCTATAAAATCTCTCCCTTGCGATGAGGTTTTGACTCTTCCATATAATACATTCAATTCGAAAGTCAAGTCAGTTATCGTACAAAAGCATATCCTTCGAGTGATCTTCCTCCGGGATGCCACATGAGGTAAGGTACATCGATCTAATGGAAGTCTTTTCGCAGGTAGAGGAAATTAAGGTACTTTTTATCAACTAATTAAAAGGTGTGTGAAAATTAGAAAAGATGATCAAAAGTATATCTTTGTTTACATTTGTTAACACTTGATTTTCGACGCCAACGACTCGCACGTGAGAAACACTGAGCTAACTCAAAAGATACACGTGAATGGATCCATAAGATTTGAATATGGAGCTAAGATTATATATGTTGCAGAAAACGTAAATAATAGATTGACAAGAGGGGTTTTTATAGTAGTTCAGATGCTCAAACAAGCGACTCCTACATCCACTGTTATTTTATTGATCTCCGATTGTTTCCATGATATTGCCCATAAGGCATACAAAGATGAAGAAATACAGTGTTTACAAAGAGAAAGAATTGAGCTCTTATCTATGGTTAGCCCTCATATGCCCAGCCCCCCTCTTCGGGAAGAGAAATGTCAATTTATACACCTTTGCACTCAATTTAATGAGTGTTTTGCAAGTTGCATTGACACATGGAAGGCTCTCGTCTATTCATTTTTTGAAAGGAGATAGAATTGATAAGAATATCTTTGAGGAGATATGGGCTTGACAACTAGTACAAAAAGACATTTATTGGGCTGACATAAACATGACTTTTTAGGCATAACAGAAGCCCCCCAGTTTTTGGAGTGCGTAATCGCGTTTCAAAAACTAAGGTCTTTGATCTAAATGGCTGCAGTCTCGAACTGAAGAGCTCGACCTGAAATCTGTTAGGAGATCGACTTGAAATCTGTTAGGAGCTCGACCTGAAATCTGAACGACCTCGACTTGAAAAGGTCATAACGAGCTCTACCTAGAAGGTCATAACGAGCTCAACCTGAAAGCAAAACGAGCTCAACTTGAGAGCAAAACGAGCTCAACTTGAGCAAAATGAGCTCAACTTGAGCAAAACTAGCTCGACCTCAAAGCATAACGAGCTCGACCTTAAAGGTCATAACGAGCTCTACCTGAAAGGTCATAACGAGCTCGACCTGAAAAGGTCATAGCGAGCTCGACCTAAGAGCACAAGAGATCAGCGATCTCAGCGTGTGATCAGCGATCTGAACACGCGATTTGAAGCTAAAGATCAGCGATCTGAAGCTGAGGATCGGGATGACCTAAGTGTGGGATCTACGATCTGGCCACGTGATCGAAGAACTCTGACGCATGTGATCTGTGATCTGGCCACGCGAATGGATAATTCTGACACGTGCGATCTGCGATCTGGCCACGCAATTGGAGAATTTTGACGCGTGCGATCTGCAATCTGGTCACACAATCGGAAAACTCTGACACGTGCGATCTGGCCACGAGATTGGAGAATTCTAACGTGTGCGATCTGCGATCTGGCCACGCGATTGGAGAATTCTGACGTAGGTTTGAGATCTGAGCACGCCATTAGGGAACTTGGATGCAGGTTTGAGAATCAGACTTGCATGGGCCACCAAACTATTGACGCTTGATTTTGGACGCCAAAACTATTGACGCTTGATTTTGGACGCCAAAACTATTGACGCTTGATTTTGGACGCCAACGACTCGCACGTGGGAAACACTGAGCTAACTCAAGAGACATATGTGAATGGATCCATGAGATTTGAATATGGAGCTGAGATTATATATGTTGCAGAAAACGTAAATAATAGACTGACTAGAGGGGTTTTTACAGTGGTTCGGATGCTCAAACAAGCGACTCCTACATCCACTGTTATTTTATTGATCTCTGATTGTTTCTATGATATTGCCCATAAGGCATACAAAGATGAAGAAATACAGTGTTTGCAAAGAGAAAGAATTGAGCTCTTATCTATGGTTAGCTCTCATATGCCCAGCCCCCCTCTTCGGGAAGAGAAGTGCCAATTTATACACCTTTGCATTTAATGTAATGAGTGTTTTGCAAGTTGCCTTAACACATAGAAGACTCTCGTCCATTCATTTCTTGAAAGGAGATAGGGTTGGTAAGAATATCTTTGAGGAGATATAGGCTTGGTAGCTAGTACAAAAAGACATTTATTGGACTGACATAAGCGTAACTTTTTAGGCATAACAACATTGTAGCTGAACTTACAACTCATTCACCAACCTGATAGTTATGGAGCACAAAGGAAAGGCTTATCTCTTGCAATTCCCGCCTCCCACCTTCACACCAGAGACCTTCAGTAAACGAAAATCAAATATATTTCCTTGAAGTTAAATAAGAGAAAATTAGGGGTGAGCACAGGTAACGGGTAGAACCAAAACCGGAATTGGAATCTACCGGACTGACACTATGCTAATAGGTTTCGATTCTATATGTTTTGGAACTGGAACCTAGGGAAAAAAACCTGAAGCAAGTACCCTGTTTGGAACATGTTTGTGTTTTGGTTTTAATTGAGAAATTTTATGTGAATTGATTGAATTCAAGTGTTGTCAAGAGATTAGAGGATTTATGAGTCTCATTGGACACAAATGAATGAGTAATCAAAAGTTAAAAACTACTAAATATAGGTTTTTTTTAATTTGTTAGGGGTGTATTTGTAAACTTTAAGATGCTTTTATTATTTTTTAAACTAATAGAAGATAGTTGATTTTTTTTAGGATACTCGGATAAGAAACCGAAACATGTATTTCAGATTTTGGTTTCTTAAATTTAAGAACCGAAACCAACGTGTTCCCATTTGGATTTCTTTTTTTGGAACTATACTATACAATTCCAGTTTTCCGGAAAAATATAATGTACCCACTACCCAGAACCGCTCACCTCATGTTCTTGAAAAAGCCGACATGGCCTTACAATATCGTGATGGGCTGAGGCCTTAGTGAAAATGGAAAGACCAGGCCAACGGGTCTAAATCTTAAGGAGAAGGAACGACGTCGTATTACAAGTACTGTTAATTACAAATAAAATGCACGTGTGTGTTATGAAAAGAGAACTGTCCTTCTCTCCTGTCATTAAAGATTCAAAGATTCAAGAGCGGAAAGGAGGATAAGTTAGGGTTTATCTGATCATCATCTTGAGGATTCACTTAACACTCCCTCAATCACCTCTCGTAAGTTCTCCAATTCACCTATTAAACCTCACTCTAGATTTTGTTTCTTATTCTTTTTATTATTTTTTTTCTTCTTTCCAAATACAACTTAGGGTTTGCTTTTTTCTCTATTGTAAAATAATTTTGCTATTATCAGACATTTCTTCGAGCAGTTTGCGTGCTTTCTCTTACTTTAATATACGTTTGAACGGTGTTAACTTTTTTTATGTTATGCTATGCCTTAGTTTTAGAGACTACGATATGAGTAGTAATACCGTAGATAAGGAGAATGAAGAACCTGCACAAGACCTGCCACTTTCTTCTAATCATGAAGGAGAGAATTCCATCCATCCACATGTTGAAGCTTCTGGCCCTCTGCCCGTTGCCCTGGAAGCTAGTAACCCTACTCCCCCTGATCCTGTAACTGGCATAAACACAGCTACTGATGCCAACAACTTCGAAACAGAGTCCACTTCCCATGAAGAATTGCCGGCCTCTGTTACTTTAGGGGCCACTGTAGGTTCAGAAAAGCCTGATATTCAACTGCCTCCTGCTGATGTCAAAGCTGACTCCAATGAAGTGCCTGGCATTAAAACCCAAGATCAAGCCAATGACGTTCTTGATACTAAAGCACAGGATCAAGCCAATGAAGTTCCTGATACTAAACCCCAAGATCAAGCCAATGAAGTTCCTGGTGCTAAAACCCAAGATCAAGCCAATGAAGTTCCTGATATTAAAACCCTAGCTCAAGCCAATGAAGTTCCTGATGCTAAAACCGAAGTTGAAACCAATGAAGTTCCTGTTACTATAACCCTAGCTGAAACCAATGAAATTCCTGTTACTATAACCCTTGCTGAAAGCAATGAAGTTCCTGGTACTAAAACCCAAGCCAAAACTGATGAAATTCCTGGTACTATCAACGCTATTTCCACTAATTCTGAACCCACTAACAACACCATTCCCACTAGTTCTGAGCCACCTAACAACACCATTTCCACTAATTCCGAACTCCCTATCAACACTGTTTCCTCAGATTCAGAAACCCCTGCAAATCCCGAGGCTGAACCTTCTTCCCAAGCACTGCAAACTAAATTTGAACCTGCTACTCCTAAGCCTGATGTGGCTTCTGCTGACATAAAAGCTGATAATGCAAATAGCACAGAACTCAAAGATGAAGTCAAGAAAATAGAGTTGTCTACACCCACAATAAACGAGAACTCCGACTCAAGGCATTCATTTCTTTTAGATGAAAATTATGAGGGTAGTGAATCAGGGACTGAGGAGGAGCAATCTGCATTCATAAAGGAACTTGAAAATTTTTTTAGGGAGAGGAGCATGGAATTTAAGCCTCCTAAGTTCTATGGAGAGGGATTGAATTGTCTGAAGTAAGTTTCTAGTTGTGAACAACTCTTACTTTAACAAATTGTTGTTTATATATCTATTTCAATGTTGTAAATTTAGACATTTCTATTTCGGGGTTAATGTAAATATTTATGGGAATATAGGTTGTGGAGAGCTGTGACTAGATTGGGTGGCTACGACAAGGTATGCAATGTTTAGCCTGTAATTAGATAAACTTTTATGTCATTTCGCTTGCATTTAGTAATTTATTACTATTTTTATTTGGTCAATTTTAGTACTTTATGATGTAGAACCATGGCTGAAACCTGTTTTCATGGTTTTGCAAATGAGTATTTAACCACTGTTTACAACATTAACCTTTATGTATATTTGTATTAGATACTTAGGTTGTCGTTAGGTCTCAGTTCAACCGGCCATATCATGCTATATGTTCATATACAAATAGCAGCTTCCTTGACACAGTAACAATATTAATCTCTTTTGAAAGAATCTTTTCTTTCCATCATTAAGGCTGTATGCATTTCCATGTTCTTTACTGGTTTTTTTGTTTTTTCATTGGAAAACATCTAGTCTTTGTTCAGAAATCAATTCAAATTTTGAATTCCAAAACATAGAAAATAGAGAAAAGTTGTGTAAGACACGATTAAACATTCAGATAGGGAAAACGTCTTATAGTTGTTTTGCCTATTTTTGTTTTCCCTTTTTTAGGGTTAATGTTAGATTTTTCGCTGTTTAGTACAAAAACATTCTTACTATTAATAGCGGACGCATTTTCTCTGTTTTCATTTTCAAATACTTTTTTCAAAAAATTGATAATGAATGCATATTCAAATTGGGAAACAGAATATCAAGTTTCTTATTTCATTTTCAAATTCATTTTTGAAAAACAAAAACTTTAAAAATATTATTTAACACCGGCTAAGTTGTGTGCATCAGAAGTGTATAAGTATAGCTCAAGGTCATTGATTTTAAGTATTAATTAGTCTGCTGATTGCACATTTGATAATCCAACTTGCATAGGCACTTTTGAAGATAAAAAATTTATTTGGATTATGTTGTGTGAAGAAATAGGAACTTTGATAATGAATTACATGATATTATCTTGCTTTGTAAGTAAGGTTGTATGGCAATTAAAAATGACCTGTGGCTTTTTTAGGAATAAGTTTAGATATCTTCTTTCTTCAGTTGAGAATTGAGATTAGCATTACTCTAAGTTAGATGACGTTTCATGAATTTGCTGGTGTATTTACTAGGCTTCATCTTTCATGCTAAAGATGATTTTTATCAAAAACATTGTCTTGTCTGTCATAATGATTAATTGCATTATTTGTTTCATTGAATTGTTTGCTGGAGTATGTCACATTAGTTGCCCTGACCACTATGGCATATATTGTAGGAATTGATTTTTCCCCCTTTTATGAAAATGCATTCTTTAATCAAATTCTGTATATATAGTTAACTGGCTGCTGATCATGGATAGGTTACTTCATGTAAATTATGGCGGCAAGTGGGAGAGTCCTTCAAACCCCCAAAGTAAGGAACTGAATATGGTCTTGCTTTAAAATCTTGTTATTTGGCTTTTATATGTAGATTCTATTGTGTAATTAAATATATGGTCTTGCTTTAAATCTTCATTATTTGACTTTTATACACAGACTCTATTATGTAAGTAAATATATGGTAAATAGCTCTTCTTATTCTGCCTCAAGAGCAAGGAGTATTTTTTGTAAGAAAATAGATTGTTCAATGTTCAATACATTTGCTGTAAATCATTGATGAATAGGAGATACTTTAGGCTCAACTTCAATATACTTTATATACACTCCATCCACCACTTGGGGCATGCATCTCTCTTATCAAAGCAATTACCCCATCTACTAATTATATCTTTCCCTCCTTTTCTATCGCTTGTGCAGGACATGTACAACAGTTTCATGGACATTTCGAGGTTTCTATGAGAAGGTGATCTTAGAGTCATGAACTGTATTTGACTATGTTATAAATAATAACATTTTCATATTGTATTACACAGAGAGACCATCACACAAATGCTTACGTTTTTGCATTTTTTTTGTAATTCTTATATTGCAATTACTTCACCTCTTTCTGGGGGTGTTCTGGCGCAAACTAATCTTTACTGCTTGTTTACTTTCTTTTATCTGCAATACTGTAAATTTTTTCTTTCAGCTTCATACACTTATTTATTGTTTATAAATTACTTTAGGCACTTCTTGATTATGAGAGGCACAAGACATGTGGTGGTGAGCTTAGTTTCACTGTAGCTTCTCAATCAGAGCCTATGAATATTGATAGTCAGGTGAAATAAACTAAATTCATGATCTACTGTGATTTTCTTCTTATTTGCTTGTAGTTGGTACATATTATGTCTCTCTACCTCGTGAAAATAAGTAAATTTATGGGAAAAGGTTATTTGTTAATATCCAGATTTGTGGGAAAATGTTCTCATTTTAGTCTAAATATTTCTGATTTCACCAATCTTCGGCGCAGCCATTCTTAATTTAGATTCTCCTGGAAAGGTAATATTTATAAGGAGTAGATTATAATGTTGGAACTTCATAAAAAAGAGCCTGTGGTTGGGTTCAAGATATATAAATTTTTTTACTAAAGAACTATGTAAGTGACTCTGATGGTCAAGACTCATTATTTTCCCTACATCTCTCTTTTCTCAGATTTCCCTTGTGGAGTTGAGATTTGCAAAATAAATATATAAATAAAAAGAACTGTTTAATTGGCTGTTGCTAAATTATACTCAAAAGAAAAATATTTATGCTGAGCATTAATCCTGGTTGGCTAATATTCAAGTGGGTCCAAAATTATGTAACTGGAAAGCTACTTGTCAAAACCATTTTATCTTTGAAATAACATAATAATGTCTTAACCTTTTTCAATTCTTAGCATGAGAGCCTGTTGTTGGGGTAAACTGGGTTACAACAGATTCTGTTACTGCAGCTCTATCTCTCTCAGTTATTGACTCTTCTCATCATTATTTGTGCATGCCTGTGGTAATTAGGCTTCGGGATCTGGCAGAGCAAGGAGGGATGCTGCTGCACGTGCAATGCAGGGATGGCACTCACAACGTGTTCTTGGTAATGGTGAAGTCAGTGACCCTATAATTAAGGTCTGGTGATTTCAAATCTTGCGAAGTATTTTTTCAATATATATTTTTTTTATTTGATTTTGTTTTCTTCTCATCATATGATGTTAATGCTATTAATTTGTAATATGTAGGATAAAACCTCTATGTCCATGCAAAAGCGTGAAAAGCAGCTTGGTATGGCCTTCCAACAGAATTATCATCCTTGAAGTGTTATAGTTGACAAATTGTCTCATCTTGAATCTTGCCTATTGGAGCAGGTTTACTTAAACGCAAGAAACCATCTTACATTGAACAACCTGTCAAAGCCGCACGCACCAAAGCATCTAAACCACAGTTAAGCCTCAGTTACATTTGGTTTTACCTATGAATACTTAAAGCATTTGTTGGAGTTTTCAATAGTGATACTTGATAAAATCTGGCTGAATTGAGTGAGTTTACTTTCTTCTTTTTCCTCCCTTATTTTTCATTGCTAGATTGGACATAGCAATAGTTGATATTGGACAGCCAGCTGATTGGGTGAAAATCAATGTACAGAAGACTGTAAGTTTACATTGCACTTGATTGAACCCAAAAAAATATTAATTTCTGTATTTTTAAGTTTCTAATTTTTGGAACTGAATTTAATGTCACAGAAAGATTGTTTTGAGGTCTATGCATTAGTACCAGGGCTTCTCCGTGAGGAGGTAAGTGGTTGTACTCAAACCATATGTATCTTCTTCCCTATTGCCTGACTTTATTATAGTCGACATGATGCCTTATGGAGATAATGTTTTAGAAGCTGTTTCGCAATTATGACTCAAAAGTTCCTCAAATTTCTGCCTTAAGCTCATGTGGGTGGTTGTGTAGGTTGGTGATTGCTGGTAGCTCACAACCGATGTTTTTAGTGGTTATTCATTATTAGCTTTTCTGGTTATGTATATTGTTGTGGCATTTCTTTTTCCATTTTTGGTAGTGGGAAATTAGAGATTATCAGCCTAAATTCAAAATCATGCACAAGAAGAGGGGTAAAATATCTGGAGAGATCTTGATGTAAATGTTTTCGGTACCATATACGTTAATCATGAATCCAGGATTGCCCACAAGCAGCTGATGTGCGTGGTTTGCTGTTGAACATTAGAGCCGTTAAAATTAAATTTTTAACAAAGCATTTTGTTTCATGAAGGATGAGTTGTAGCCTACAACAATATGACTGAGATGAGAAAATTCTTTGAGACAAATTGTTTATTAATTTGAACCCAGAAAAATTAAGATATTGCGTACAGTTTGGTGTAATTTATTCTTATGTCTGATTAGTGGAGGTTTGCTGTGGAAAGGAGCACTCATTACCAGATGGAAATTTGTTATCCAAGCAAATGGGTGGGATATTAAGGTTGTAATTAGAGAATCAAGTAGAAGCTCTTGTAAGTTTATTTTTCATGGCAATAGTATATTTCATTGTTGTGCACTTTAAGGTGGGCAATGGGAAGTTTATTTTCTTATAAGAATGTAGCCATTAGGAGGTTCCTAGAGAACTTTTTTCCGCAGCAAATTGGAGATTATATTGTCAAAATCTGAATAATAGGGAAGTAGATGAATTTTCTTCTCTGCTATTTCTGATCTGCAAATGTTTCTTTGCCTACAAATAGGAGGGATGTGGAGTGTAGAGTCTTGAATCTTTAGGAAAATTCTCATTTAAGTCCTATGAAATGGCTGGCTGTCGATCCTTCTACTCCTTTTGTTTCAGCAAAGATTTGGAAGAAGAGAGTTTCTACCAAAATTTAAGTTTTCTGTTGGACTTTCCACATGTACATTTGGGCCGTACCCAATACCCATAATGAAAAAAAATAAATAAAACTATAAATAAAAAAACTCCATTATAGATCTTTACCCCAATTGCTACATTATGTTCATTGGGATTTAGAAATGCATTGATCATCTTTCTCTTCTTCACATTCTTGCTTTGGACCTGTGATTTTTTGCTGATATGGAAAGAAAGGAATAGAAAATCTGGATGTTGGTACAGAAGATGAAATAGCAGGTTTACAGACTTAGTAGTTTTTGGGCTACATTGTGGTCTATGGTTTTGAAGAAGTTCAATAATTTCTTTTTTTTTCTTGTACCAATCAGGAAGCCATGGCCTCTTAATGTGGTGGTTCTTGTGTCTTTCCTTTGTGGTCTGGTGGTCTTCTAGTTTACTCCGTTTTAATATGATCCTCACTCGAAAAATTGTTTGTTTCTTAATAAAAAGATGATGTATATTATGTCTTGTTTGGACAACTCAGGTGCGTGTTCAATCAGATCCTGCTGGACGGCTGGTTATAAGTGGTGAACCTGAGCATCCCAATAACCCTTGGGGTGTCACGCCCTTCAAAAAGGTGCACATCTGTTTGACAAGGATTAATAAATAATGCATTATTTATTATTGTGAGAACATCTCATGATTTTCAGAGGATAGGTTGTGCACAGCACATTAAGGAATTGTAAATGAAATGGCCCCTTATAGACCAACTTGTGGATGCCATGCCCCCAGAGCTGAGCCATCAATGCATTTGGTTTGAGTAAATAGCATTACTATGCTTTCCCACTACACCATTGAGCAAATTGCTGTGAAAATGAACCTGAACATGGCTTAAAAGTGCAACAATTATTACTTGTTTTGTTGTATATTTCGAATTTTCCAAAGTTAAGTTACTAGAATTTGGTTCCTTTGATGCCAGGTTGTGAGCTTACCTGGAAGAATTGACCCTCATCAAACATCAGCTGTTGTGACACTGCACGGACAATTGTTTGTTCGTGTCCCATTTGAGCCCTCTGACTAGTAGTTTGGTTTGATATGTGGAAGAAAGGGCATGAAGCTTTTTAGCAGAATCCTTAACCCTCAGCAATTGTCGAAATTTTCAGTTAACCCATGTGTATCCAATTTATACTAGTAGGTTGTTAATGTAGCCTGATGCTAGTTAGCACAGCCTTTTCTTTCTTGTCTTGTATTCTCTTTCACTCGCATTTATATTGATGGAGACAGTGAAAGAGGCTGTAATGATGTTATATTTTAGATAGTTAGCTTGCAACTCTTAATTTGGCTTGATGTTCTTACAAGCTTCACGAGTCTGTTAGCTGTGGTGGGTGGAATAGAAATGGAATTTGCAACTTGAAGCCAGGAAGGAATCAACTTAGTAAGTATATTAGTGTTTTCTTAAGTAAAGGAATCAAATTTCTCGGGTCCCTCTCCCTAATAATTGTGCCAAACCGACCCAATTGGATTTGCTCTTCAGATAACCAAAGAGAAAACGGTTAATAATGTCACTTTTATATTTGTTGTAAATGTATATAAATAATAAAAGCTTGTTCTAATTTTACAATCTTATAATAGTAGTAGCATTTCATTAAATAACAGTAAATATGTAGCTAGGCGGCTAGGATAGGTATGCTGTATGCCATCAAAGACAAAAGAGAGGAGTATTAAGAGACAGTTCATATGCTACATCTACAAACAAAATCTGTATGGAAATGTATCAGATGAATTAACCAAAAAGATATCACACTCTATGTTTGAAAGGAGCAGCTACCAAGGGAAATGAAATAAAAAGTATCCCTTGAAGCAATAAAAATAACAAATTTACAATTTAGATANTAATATGATCCTCACTCGAAAAATTGTTTGTTTCTTAATAAAAGGATGATGTATATAATATTATGTCTTGTTTGGTCAATTCAGGTGCGTGTTCAATCAGATCCTGCTGGACGGCTGGTTATAAGTGGTGAACCTGAGCATCCCAATAACCCTTGGGGTGTCACGCCCTTCAAAAAGGTGCGCATCTGTTTGACAAGGATTAATAAATAATGCATTATTTATTATTGTGAGAACATCTCATGATTTTCAGAGGATAGGTTGTGCACAGCACATTAAGGAATTGTAAATGAAATGGCCCCTTATAGACCAACTTGTGGATGCCATGCCCCCAGAGCTGAGCCATCAATGCATTTGGTTTGAGTAAATAGCATTACTATGCTTTCCCACTACACCATTGAGCAAATTGCTGTGAAAATGAACCCGAACATGGCTTAAAAGTGCAACATTTATTACTTGTTTTGTTGTATATTTCGAATTTTCCAAAGTTAAGTTACTAGAATTTGGTTCCTTTGATGCCAGGTTGTGAGCTTACCTGGAAGAATTGACCCTCATCAAACATCAGCTGTTGTGACACTGCACGGACAATTGTTTGTTCGTGTCCCATTTGAGCCCTCTGACTAGTAGTTTGGTTTGATATGTGGAAGCAAGGGCATGAAGCTTTTTAGCAGAATCCTTAACCCTCAGCAATTGTCGAAATTTTCAGTTAACCCATGTGTATCCAATTTATACTAGTAGGTTGTTAATGTAGCCTGATGCTAGTTAGCACAGCCTTTTCTTTCTTGTCTTGTATTCTCTTTCACTCGCATTTATATTGATGGAGACAGTGAAAGAGGCTGTAGTGATTTTATATTTTAGATAGTTAGCTTGCAACTCTTAATTTGGCTTGATGTTCTTACAAGCTTCACGAGTCTGTTAGCTGTGGTGGGTGGAATAGAAATGGAATTTGCAACTTGAAGCCAGGAAGGAATCAACTTAGTAAGTATATTAGTGTTTTCTTAAGTAAAGGAATCAAATTTCTTGGGTCCCTTTCCCTAATAATTGTGCCACACCGACCCAATTGGATTTGCTCTTCAGATAACCAAAGAGAAAACGGTTAATAATGTCACTTTTATATTTGATGTAAATGTATATAAATAATAAAAGCTTGTTCTAATTTTACAATCTTATAATAGTAGTAGCATTTCATTAAATAACAGTAAATATGTAGCTAGGCGGCTAGGATAGGTATGCTGTATGCCATCAAAGACAAAAGAGAGGAGTATTAAGAGACAGTTCATATGCTACATCTACAAACACAATCTGTATGTAAATGTATCAGATGAATTAACCAAAAAGATATCACGCTCTATGTTTGAAACGAGCAGCTACCAAGGGAAATGAAATAAAAAGTATCCCTTGAAGCAATAAAAATAACAAATTTACAATTTAGATATTATTTTGACACATTTCATACCCAATGAAATAAATAGAAACTTCATGCAGTTGTCTCCATTGATGCCAAGTCCAACTCTTCATCAGAATCAATGACATCTTCAAAATCATAGTAGGGTTTCACCTGCAACAGGGTTTTCGCAATATTAAATATTTATCACACAAGTTTATGCAAAACCATAACATTCCAATCACTAAGTAATCCCTCCAACTGATAAATACATTTGGAAAGCTGCCCTGCCCTGCCTGCTTTGACCCATTAGACGGCTACTATCATTGAAAAGAAACTAACTTATCCCCACTTTTCTTAATGTATAGATAACTACAATCTCCTACCTCTGGTCTCGGAGTGACTGCTTCAAAACTATGGAAATCTGGTACATCAAAGTTAGGAGGTCTCAAAACGATATATGCCCCTTTGTTTCTACACCTCTCTTCTGTTGCCTGCATGATAGACAGAGACATTGTTATGGAATCTATAAGTGTGAAGAGCGATCAACTAAAGAAATACAAGCATACATGACAAGGGTGATTGGCTAAAAGAGTAGAAGCACACGCGACACAAATGCATGGAGATCCATTTTCCCCTGTTAGGTTTGCTCTGCTCCATAATTATTTAACTCAAATGCAAACTAGTCAAGAGTTGAAGTCTATTGGTACCAAGAAAATAATAAATAGAAATAAGAATTAAAATCTACCAGCACCAACTGAGAGTTGGATTTTGACCAATTATTAGTAATCTATGGTATATAATTACTGCTGTACTTTATTCTGAGAGAAGAGCTTATATTTGCTATCTGGTGAGAAACATCCACATCATTTCAGAATATCATAGTAAACTATAAGGGTCAGGATTCATCATGAAATCTACAACGCATACCAAAGTTGCAGAACAAATCGTCTAAAGTTGAAAAAGCCGAAGGCAAACAGCCCTAGCTTTCCTACCGCACGTACATGCACCATAACATATCTCTCTCTCCACCCCACAAATTAAGGTCCTCAAGCTATCTCATAATCTGTCTAAGTGGGCTTAATCCTATCACAGAATTGTACTCACAACACTGGTTTAAACCATTCTTACAGACTAAAGGCTAACTGGAATGCATCTCCTTGTGTGAAAAATGTACGCAAGGAAATTGCTTTAACTAGAACACTTTATTTCCCTCCTCAATCATTGCACAAGGGATCTACAGTCCATTACCATACACATAAATTAGCCAACTATCAGAATCTTCAGTGAGTTAATATATTCTTTATCACTATATATTGAAGGGAGCACCTAGGCCTTTACAACCATAATGCAAAGATTTTACTTCCATATGGAAGCCCGAACAAGATCTTAATCTCTCAACGTGCTTAAACAATTATACAAACAAAAATTCCAAGTGGTAATGCAAAGGGTAATTATGATAAGAATATGATACAAAACTTAACAAAACAAAGAAACTGATACAAACAAGATTAAATACAGAGCACAAAAGTATTTATGGTGTAAAGAAATTTGTGTAGAAAATAAAATATGAATTTAGCAGCAATGAAACTAAAATAAGACAGTGAGAGACCTGAAATTGTGGATAGTCTGGGGCACTAAACAGAGTGATCAACTTCCCTGATCCAACTTCATGATCTATGGTGTACCCATTATTCATTCCTGCTAAACCAGGCCTCTTTTCTCTTGCATCTGGACCTTCATGTGATCTGATAATTAACTGATGCAATAAGAATGACCACTGCAATATTAGAACTGCAAGTTTGCAACTCTAACCATCAGCCAGCTTTTTAAAATTGCTTACAGAGATTAGTAAAAATAGCAGAAGAAAGATATTCATTGTCAACATAATATAAAACAAACTAAAGAAAGTTATTCACAATAAAATTAAGCAATTAAAGCTCCCAAATTCCTCTCCCTTTTTAGAATCCCAAGTTAATTTATCTCTTAGATACTAATTCATATATCACAAAGCAAGAAAACACAAGAAGCAGTTTGAACGCTTCGCAGTTGATACATCATCAAAAGGAGAAGAGAATATTGGCTTCTGTATCAGGTAAGTCCTGAAAGAAGGAGGAGGCCAGAAATTTGGAGCATTCCAAAAAATTGGAGATACAAGGGCAAGAAGATATATTTTAATGAAAAATTGTAGAACAATATATGCATAACTCAAGATACTCTACTTAGGAAACAAAAATAGATCAAATTACCATGGCATCCACAAATATGATTCTAAAAAAGTAAGCTCCAAGAAGTGAGGTTGTTAGTATTTATAATACCAAAGGGCAGCAAGACCTACAAACCAATTACTAAGTTATATGTCAGCTTTCATCCCAAACACAGAAGAAACAAATCTAGACAACGTATTCCATTTGAGGTTTAAGCTCAAATCAGTGATAGAGATGTTGTAAATATACTGACTTTAACTTCTCCAACCATCAACCAAACTCTCTTCTTCAGATAAGGTCTAATTTTGCATCCAAAAGCCCATTTCTGGCCAGCCATACATCTTGTTCAAAATGTATTAATTTATAGAACAAAGGTAGCATAGATTTAGAAGTTGGTTTGTAGATAAAAGTTTAAGAGAGCCGCAATTATCATTTCACACTAAATCATCAAATTAATGTGTTACTTAAACAGGAGAGCTTCATTTTAGAAGAACTAAAAGTAGATTAACAAAAAGGTAGATAATCTAGATAACTGTAAGTATAAAGTTGATAAAAACCAGAAAGAGCAAGAGTAGAAACAATCAGATCACCAGCTACTTTACTTCTCCCTTACAATTTGATTTGCAAGTTATTGTCCAAGTATAACAAAATTGTGATGAAGCACTTCTTGAAAAGTAGTTCAAATTAAAATCCCATGCAAAAGTTGAGGGATAACAAATATAACAATATCAGCTTGAAAGAAGAAATTTTGGGTTTTGTTAATACCTTCAAGTCAAACTTTTTCAAGAAATCCTCTGTGCAATCGGGACCCCACAATAGACCGATGCCTCTCTCCTTATTTGGTGAAAGACCATCTTTCATTGATGGATCTGACCATAGTACATCACCAGGAATCAAGTTCAAACCTTCCCATGGAGGATCAAGAACTGATCTCCGAGCTTTAGATAATTCCTCCAAAGAACCAAGAGATAAAGAATTGTCTTCAATACTAAGACTTATCCTGCGGTTCTTCTTTCCTTTTGATCTCCTCGATGGAGTAATAGAAACACTGCGAAAAAGCCCTCCGTGGGCTGTATAAACATTTCCTGCTATTATAGAGGCCAAAGGAAGCCCTTCAAAGCATCCCAAACATTTCCGGTATACATGTTTTCCTTTGTCTCCATACTTGGCTAAAACTTCCTTCTCAAAGCCATAGACAGATGTGCAGTATTTAGATTCATGGTTTCCACGGAGTAGATACACTCTCTGTGGCAAAAAAACCTTGAAAAAGATACAGTGTCAAAACTTATTTCTTGATTAGAAAAATTGGTATAGTAATAAGACAAAAGAAAAACAAGAACAATATGTTTCTAGGAAATTTAGTATATTCTTGATCATCATTGTAGAAACAGTTGTAATCTCATGCACGGCGGAAGAAGAAAACATGAAAAACTATATCTGTTGTATTAACTAAATAAATATGTAAAGATTTCATATAGGGAGCATGTGAATTTACCGACTTGATGCATTTCTGAAATTATAATATAAGTGCCAATATTAAAGCTTCATTTATGAAGTTTTTACATGAAATATATTGATTTAGCAACATATTTGCAATATGTGCTATATATTAAGATTTTCCCAGAAAATTTTTGCTTTGACATTGTGAGCAGTGGCAGTGTGTTAATTATACTTGATATCCGGAGTTTTTAAACGAAATATATAGATTTACATACATGTTTGCATTGCAGATAGAATTAGAAGTATATAAACAAAAAAGGATCTTCATAATCATACCTTCCAAGCTAACAATAACAAGAAGGTTTCAAGACCCCAAGCGCCTCTGTCTACGTAATCACCGTTGAAGACAAAGACGCGATTTTCACAAGGAAAGCCAGCGTCTTTGAGGAGAAAAAGCACGTCATGCAATTGCCCATGAACGTCACCCACAACTACAACAGTTGAGTCGGGTTGAAGAGCATCGATTCTCACACAATTAGGCTCTTTATGAAGAATCTTGGAAGCAGTGAGCACCCAAGTGTCAAACACATCAACAGGTAAAACAGAGGGAAAATCAGAAGGAAGAAGATTTTTAGAAGACCAATCAAAGGTGAACATCAGATGCTCGATCCATTGAATTGATAGCTTTCCATCATGAGGCCATGCGAGAGGGATCTGAGCTTGCTGTGACGACGGAGAAGTGTTTCCGTTCATATTAGAGCAATCAACAGTGGCGGCGGTGGATTCGTCGGGTGGGGGTGGATCCGACGGCGAGTCTGACGACATGATTAATTTATAGTTATAAAGAAAAGAAAATAGTATAAAACCCTGGACACAAGCATAAAGTATGTCTGGGTGGTGGCGGTCTCGAATTACAATACAAACAAGAGGGAATTTTGTTTATTTTTATTAATTATTTGGAAATGCTCTATTTATTTGTCTAGTCAATACTGAAAATGAAGGTAAGCACCGTCTCCAGTATCCACTACTACTAGATTATGATGATGAAGGGCTTTCCAAGTGAGTCAAAATATAATAAATACAAATATGGTTAAGCAAGGTGGTGGTGGGCTGGTGTTTTCCAACTCATCAAAGTTAAGTGGGGATTGCATGGATATACACCCATGTCAAAGCCAATATCACCAAAAGCAAAAGGATAGATACACTTGCACTCAATTTGTAATATCTGGAGTGGGGATTGCTTGGTTGGATATACACCAATGTCAAAGCCAATATCACCAAGAGCACACTCAATTTGTAATATCTGGAGAAAAGACAAGTTTCTTCAAGGCATAACAGTTAAGACATCTTCTAAAATCAAGTGTAAAAACAAGAATGGGTAAAAGGAACTTGGCATATGCTTCTCGAGTATGCCAATACATGCATCTTCATCCTTTCAAGATGCATTTTTCTATCCACCATTTAATTGGCAAGGTCTCATGTGAACATAATCTAATTGGTAGTAGAATAGACTAAACCACCCCAAATAAATGACAGTTGGAGTGCAATTCCAAGAATTTCAATGTCACCTAAAATCAAGGCAAGACTTGAAAATAAAAGTTGGACTGCCTGTGCACCTAACCCTCTTTCCCTTTTAATATTATATATTTGATAAACGCCACATAGGAAGAGAATAGTTACCAAACAAATTTATGAAAATGTAGCTAATCAACCGGACAGAAATCATATATATACTAGTAAAATATGAAACCACACCACCAACATCAACAAAAGTGGTCAGTAAATTATAAAATTATTATAACATGGGATTGATTGAAAACGTTGTGGTTGTGGTTGTGATTTGTGAAAGAGATGACCGGCAGCTGTTAAGAGTGTGCAGGGAAGGCTGAAGACATCTGCGGCGCATTCTGCATCGCCTGAAATTTCCTGCCTGCAGTTCCTACCTACTCTACTTTTCTTTTCTTTCATAAAACAACAAAACCTTATATCAATTTTGATCTCGACACCAACAAGTTTGATAACCAACTAGCACTTTCATGAAAATGGATTGCAGGGAGCACCCACCAGACCAAAACACATATGAAAAGATTTAATTATAATTACTCGTTTATCACCACAAAATCATGCTTAGATACCAATCCAGTCTTTGTTACAAGGCCACTTTATTCACCTAATTTGAAAACAAACACTCGGCAATTGCTTTTGTCTTGTCCCTTACGGTCCTACCATTACAATTATTGCTTAACTTTCTTTGTATTACCTCACTTAATCACACTCCCATCCCGATTAATAAATCAACAAATGCCACGTTGTTATATAATATTTACTTATACGTTTCATCTTCAAATTCACCTCCCATTCATTTTCCAAGTTGTTTCTTTCTTCTTGTTCCACACCATTAAATGGTTAACCTTTCCATTACCATAGACCCCAAAAGTCCTCCTTCACCCTTATATTTTTGTATTTATACATATACATATAACAAACACAGAGATACTTTCTAGCTTTCCAGAAAAGATGAGACACTTGACCTACATGAGGGTTCATGGATCACGGAGAGGTTTTAAGCTCAACTCCAAAAGATTTTCAGTTCAAGGCCTACGCGCAAGGTTTGTCTACTTGTTCAAGCTCTTAAGCAGGTGGAGATTTTCATATGGGCAAGCTCTAAAATCGTTGAAGAAAGGCATGACAAGAAGTAACAGCAAGAGAAATTGCAGCGGCCGGAGAAGTTTAGTGGTGGAGTCTTCCAGGTTCTCATCTTTTGGAGGCACCAATTCTTTCTACTCAGAAGCCATTGCAGATTGTTTGGAGTTTATAAAGAGGACTTCTATTTCTGTGGATGAAAGGCCGGAATAGTACCTACCATTTATATATATTTAGGATTTTCTAGTGTAAATAATAACAAGCATGTTGCAGTGAGTGTTTCTTCTTTCATTTTGATTTGTTTTGTTTTTGGCTCATTCAAGGATGCCTGCTTCGGCTTGTTCTTAGTTTGTATTTTTTTTGTGAGATAAGAATGACAGAAATGAAAGTGCGAGGTTAGATTAGATTTGTGTTTTGTATTCTTATGCACTGATGAATTGTAGGAAGAAGACGGTGAGGGGTGGCGGAGTTTTCATTTAAAAAAATCTAATCTTGGGAAGGTTCAGAGTAGGTAGAATCAAAGATTGTAAACTTTGAATTACGACCTAACCCATTTGTCATTATTTGACTAATCAAAATAAAAGGCAATTGAAGAGAAAATTTTATGTTCAACTTTAGAAGCAAATATCTCTGACTTCAAACAATCATTTTGCTAATCTCCCTTCATGTTATTTAATTTGAGGTTGGACTATCTTTATCATCCCTAATGATGTTCAATACCCACTTTTCAGATTCCTCTAATGGGCTCCTATTTTTCATCCCCATTTTAGGCCCAAACCCAAACTAACCTTGCCGACCTTCTCTCTAGAAGCCCACGCACACCATACTTAGAATCATTGTGTGATTCTAGGAGAAGTTTGATAATGTGATACAAAACTAACCCACCCAAGGTTTGCCTTAATAACACTTACCCGCCCAAAAACTTTCAAAATATCTCTTTTCCACCCAAAGTTAATATTTTGTAACTATCCAAAGCCGATTTCGGTTGATTCCAATAGCAAAAATTCTTTCTATCACCATCATTTGAATCTTCAGTCTCCTCTCTACCAAACCCTTCTCACTTTAACACCTGATTTCTTACCGATTGTCGATCACCGTAAAGCTAGGGTTTTCTATTCTTAGCTGATTCTAACAACAAATATTTAATCAATCACCACTATTTCATCTATCGACATTCATTCTACAAAACTCCTCTTGTCTTGACTACTGGTAACTCATCGAACGTTAGTTAAGAAAGTGAAATATATTTTTGATAGTAATGAAATAAAAACTTTTTGGGTGGCAAAAAGTCATTTACTCGTGATACAAATTAAAACTTAAAAGAATGAGGTAAAGAATATAAGGTTGGCTTGTGACAAGAACAAAGATATGTCATTACTTAAAACTATGATTTAAACTCTAACTTTATATACAATCTTTCAAAAGGAACAAAAAAATACATAAAATTCTAAAAAAAGCTCGGCGAGGATTGCACTATCCCCTCTCCTAGCCCGGCCTGGCCCGTCCCCAAGTGCGGAGATTTTTTTGAGGACCATTTTCAGCCCTATTCTTGAATTTTTCAGGGATTCCCTGCCCCATTTGGGTCGGGGCAAACGCTCATCTCTAGAATGAGGTAAAGAATACAAGGTTGACTTGTGACAAAAACAAAGATATGCCATTTCTAATGGAATGTGGTGTTCCATTTGCTTGACAACAAGGAACGTAATGAAGTACGTAATAAAAGCCACGAAACAATGGGAATCGGAAGAATGAAGCTGTCATGTGAACGTATTGTTAATTCAACTATCTGGTTCACATTGACCATCGTGAGCTTCTAGAGAGGCTGGCTCAGAACGTGTTTTGGCGCCTATATATATCACATAACGGAAACGTTTCTTCAATTAGTATGACCTATTCTACAACGCCCACTAAACTTAAATCACTCTTTAGTAAAGCTCGTTCTTTTCTCCGACTCGCAACAACCACTTCCTCCGCTGCCACAGCCGCCGCTTCTCTTTCCACTTCCACCACCACCACCTCCGCCATGGACGATCTCTCCTCATCCCTCAAGACCAAAGTTTGCATCATTGGTAGTGGCCCTGCCGCCCACACCGCTGCCATCTACGCTGCCAGAGCTGAACTCAAACCCATCCTCTTTGAAGGATGGATGGCCAATGATATTGCCCCAGGCGGACAGCTCACCACCACCACTGACGTTGAAAACTTCCCTGGGTTCCCTGATGGCATTCTTGGCTTGGAATTAATGGACCGCTGTCGCAACCAATCTCTCCGTTTTGGTACCAAGATTTTCACCGAAACCGTCACCAAAGTCGATTTCAAGTCCTTTCCTTTTAAAGTCTTTACAGATTCCAAGTCTGTTTTGGCTGATTCTGTAATTGTTGCGACTGGTGCCGTCGCCAAAAGGTTGGAATTTACCGGTTCAAGAGATGGGCCGGGAGGGTTTTGGAATCGGGGAATTTCAGCGTGTGCGGTTTGTGATGGAGCAGCCCCGATATTTCGGAACAAACCGTTGGCCGTGATTGGAGGAGGTGATTCAGCTATGGAAGAAGCAAACTTTTTAACTAAGTATGGATCAAAAGTCTATATAATTCATAGGAGGGATAGTTTTAGGGCTTCTAAGATTATGCAGAACAGGGCGCTTACAAACCCTAAGATTGATGTAATTTGGAATTCTGTAGTGGAGGAGGCTTATGGAGATGGAGAGAAGGGAGTATTGGGTGGATTGAAGTTAAAGAATGTGATGACTGGAGAAGTTTCTGATTTGAAGGTATCTGGGTTGTTCTTTGCCATTGGACATGAGCCTGCTACCAAGTTCTTGGATGGCCAATTGGAGCTTCATTCAGATGGTTATGTTGTCACTAAACCAGGAACCACACAGACCAGTGTGCGTGGGGTTTTTGCTGCAGGAGATGTTCAGGACAAGAAGTACAGGCAGGCTATTACGGCTGCGGGCACTGGTCAGTTATCTCTCTTTGTTCTTACTATGTTTTTAGCAATGTTAGCATTTGTCTATGAGTTTTGCTGTAGTGTATTTGTGATTGTAAGTGTTATGAGTTTACTGTTTTGTATGAAGATAGAACATCAGAACTTGATTGATTTGCACTACTCACACAATTGGTATATGCTAAAGATTTTTTTAGGTGATTAATGATGTCAATTTGGAGTGACTGCATTATATTGAGCTTAAGTGATGCCCTGTACCCTGAAGTTTTTAAGATACAATTGACTGAGAGCTTCTTATGTTGTTTATTTCTCATTTGAGCTTATCAGCTAAGGGCATTTTAGCATTTTGAAATGAAAAATAGTGCATTTTTCCTTCAACCTTGTTTGCTAACTCTCATTACACATGATACACATGTGATGTTTTATCTTGTGCTTTAACCAATGAAACTGTGTTCCTTGTTAGCGGCATATTTGAATAGTCACTTATTTATTATGTTGCAGCACTCTCTGGGTTGACATACTGAACGCAATAGTTTTGGATGATTAGAATAGGCAAAATCATCTTTTTTTCAAATGAATTCCTTGTGTTTAATCAGTAATCAGCTTGCTGAACAACTTCATTTGTTTTGTTTGACATTGTAGGGTGCATGGCAGCCTTGGAGGCCGAACATTACTTGCAAGAGATAGGATCCCAGGAGGATAAGAGTGATTCTTCACTGTAGATGTCCCAGGGGTATGGAAGCTTCTCTGCCGACAAGCAAAGTTAAAGCTTTCTGTGGAGAAATTGAAATGTTGGATTGTTAGTTGATTTATTAAGTATTTGGAAAAATGGATTGGCAATATGTCTTGAGTATGTTTTAGTACTACATTTTAAAATGTAATCAGTGGATGGAATAGAACTTCATCTTTTGTGTGTGTTTTCTTGGTTGACTGAGTTTGAGGGATCGTGTAATGCACCAGTAGTGATATTCATCTTCAGAGTCGTATGTAATACTCTCCAACTCTTTATTTACAATAGTAAAATTCTCCCTTCATCTTCGTATTCCTTAACAAAGATGGTAGTAATTAATAATAAAACAAATTACCTACTAACAGTAACAGCTACAGCGCCGCTCCAAGCCGTCTAGTTAGAGAAGCACATGGCTTTTAACCATGTGGTGGTGTGGTGGACGGTGTTTCCGAACAGTCTTTTACTGTCTTGTGATTATTTAATTTGTTTTCACATTTAACCCACCCACCTGATGCCGCTATTGCGGAACCTTTAATTTGAATATACACTTGTTCTGTTCCATGCAAGACAGCTTTGGCCTTACCCAGCACCAACACCGCTACTTCCCAAAATAAATTAAGTACCAAATTAGCAACTTCAACAAGTTACTAACATATGTTTAGTCTCAGATTAATACATAAAATGGAACAATGAGATTTGATCTGCATGCATGCACATTAAATTAAAAGTTTAAAGTAGCTAGCTACAAGACACCAAAACACAACAGATCAAGATCTCATTACAAGATGCTTTTCTGTGCATTAATACAAAAATGGACTTATTATCACCTGCATTTTATGATACCGAATATTGAGTTTATGAGCAAGACAAACTGAGATTTGGAAGTAAAGACAATCCTAAGGTACAGCCAACTACTCTACTTCACAGTCAGATGCCCTTACATTTAAAAGAAATACGAGTAATTTACAACACCAAGTACCGAAAATGATACAGGCTTTGGATACTTATTTGGTTATTTTCTAGCTTATACATCACACATGCCTCTCCTTCTAATGAGCACTTTCCCACTTACCTAACACTACTACTACTGCAATTACTACTCTTTAACGTTGGCCATTCAAGTTGTGAGTGGATATGTGAATGTCCTCTCTCCTTAGGACGCAATATTAGTGAAATCTTTACTAGATCTGTTGTATTTCATGTGGCTCTTCACCAGCTGCCCAGCTGCAATTGCTGACATTAGAGATACCTCCCCTGCCAGAACCGAACCAGCTACTATGCTCGCCAACGCCCTTGAATTTGAACCTGGTTTATCTTTGTTAGCACCCTTTACACCAAGTAGGTTCAGGCACGCTGACTGAGATGCTAGTTGGGTGCCACCTCCAACTGTACCCACCTGATATAATATTATATTCATTCAAATTAAACTCTCATTCATAACCTGAAGAAGAATACATGTGTAGATTATTTAGACAGAGTGGGTCAAAGTGTTTAGTGGAATAGGGCTGACTGAGAGTTCAAGGGATCTTGGCTTCTAGTTACTTGCCATTGAAAACAAGGCTTGTGTTGTCTTTCACTGTAATGGGACAAAATCTACCTGTATTTTTAATATATCCTCCTGTTCCTTTCTGTAACATTGTGTTGGGACGACATCTGATTCTTTCATTATATTTTACTCAATTTTAAAATGAATTAGATCTACTGAACTTTGTTGTTTTCTAAATCAACATGTCAATCTTGCTACTTCCCATCTTATCAAATATCTTAATTAAATAAACGATACGATAGCAAGGGAATTAAGTGATTATTACCTCAATGGAAGGCATGGTGACAGAGATATGAAGGTCCTTGCCATCATTTATAGGTTCCATCATGGTGATACAGTGCGAGCTTTCCACATTCTGAGCAGGATCCTGCCCTGTTGCTATGTAGATTGCTGAGACTATATTGCTAGCATGGGCATTGAACCCACCTAGAGCCCCAGCCACCGCTGATCCTGTTAGGTTTTTAAGCATGTTGAGCTCCACTAAAGCACCCACATTTGTTTTCAGTACTTTCCTCGCCACTTCTTCTTTTATAATTGCCTCACATACTACTGACTTTCCTCGCCCTTCTATCCAGTTTACAGCAGCAGGTTTCTTGTCCGAACAAAAGTTTCCTATACATTTTTATATATATAATTCCACTCAGTAATTAAATTTTACTCAAATTCTATGTAGTTTGTTAAAACAACAGACTTGAAGTTAATAATTAAATATACCAGAGATGCCAATCACATCCATGTCAGGAAAATCGTTGTGCAGGAAATCAAGGACATTTTGGACGCCTTTTGAGACCATGTTCATTCCCATGGCATCTCCTGTGCTGCAGCTAAACCTCATGTAAAGATTCTTCCCTGCTACTGCACATTGAATCCCTTGTAGTTTTGCAAATCTGCTCGATCTGCTTCCACCATTTACAAAGGTTAAGATAAAGATAGAAATTCACAGAAACAGCTACAATAAAGGGGAAAATCTTACCGAACTTGTAATTATTCTACCTAAAAAAATAAGAATAATCTACCATTATCAACAGAGAGAGATAACGAATAAATGAAAATGAAAGCGGGCCAATGCCCTTGTCCAATGACTACTAAAGTGAGAATAGAATCTAGTTAAAGTGGGGTAATTATATATACCAGCCTCTTCGGCGGGTAGAATTTAATTCATTAATATTTTCATTGACAAAATTCAGTATATTCAACCACCGTGAAAGACTGGAAAGTGTTAAAAAAAGGTTTTAAAGATAAAAAGAAAAACACTAATAACGAAAGAAGCAGAAGCAAAACCTGTTGAAAACAGTAGCAAGAGTGTCAAAATTGAGTGGATCCACCACGAAGAACTTCAACTCAGCAGCTCTCTTGGCAGAACCAAACCTTACAACAGGAGCTCTGGTCATTCCATCTTTGAACAACACGGAAGTGGCTCCTCCTGAAGCGTAGATAGCCTTGCATCCTCTGTTCGTACTGGCCACCAAACACCCCTCAGTGGTGGCCATTGGCACAGTATACTCCTTTCCATCGAGCAACAAAGGGCCTGCTACACCCACTGGGATCTGAACGTACCCAACTGGCATCTCACAACACTGACCCAATATCGACTCATAATCAAAACCTTCTAAAGGCATTCCCTCCAAAGACTTCCCTGTCATTTTCTGCAAAGCCTCGCGTCTGATGGCTGCAGCTCTTTTACAATCTCCAAGCTTTGACTCCAGAGAGTAAGAAGGAATGGTCCCGGATACTACCGATTTGATGATCTCTTCATCTTCCTCGGACAAAGACAAGGGTTTGAAACTAGAAATCGGAATGGGTGCTACACTGAGGTGATGATGAGGAACCACCTGAGAGGAGTCCAGGGAAGCTGGACAAGGTCCAGGCGGACGACTGTCTTCCTCGAGAATATATTGTTCATCGTCAATACTATTAGTTTGATGACCATCATCAAGCCAAACATGGTGGTCATGTGAAGTGGGGCGAGAGATAAAGGACTGAACGAAATCAATGCCAAAGAAACCAAGAAGGTAGATGACAGAAGCGAGCAAGCAAAACAAAGCAGAGATCTCGGAGAGAGACAAGACATGGAGAGGAGTTGAAGTACGAATCTTGTCGCGCCATCTATGGAGAAGAAAGTAAGCAACAGAGAAGAAAAGGGTGAAGAAGATTCCGTTGGTTAAATAAAGAGGAAGTGGCAATGCGTCGGAGGCGCGCTTGAATTTGACGTCCTCGTGTGGGGGGCCGGTGGAGGCGGAAGTCGAAGTCTTAGTGTTAGGTGGGTGACGAAGGTTCATGTCCATGTGGGATAGATTTTGGTTAAAAGAAAGCAAATATTTGTTTTAATGAGAGTGGAAGAAGAGGTTCTGGATTGTATTTATAGGGAAATAAGAAAGCATGGCGGGGTGGAGCTGGATCAGTGGGCAGTTGCCAACACCTATATAAGCCGTGCTAGCTAGTATTTAATACTTTGTGGGGATTTTATATATGAATTTTCGTTTGCATTTAATTAGCTCGTGTAAGATGTTTATCAAATTTTTGTTATACTTTTATCATATCATTAATTACTCGATAAACATGCATCTAGCAGTAACGGAGTAACCTATGTAATTGTAACAACATTGTTCAAGTTTTTTGAGATGAATTTCTAATAAAAAAATTACTATAGATGAAGCATTGTCTAGTGTGAACTCCACGGTTGGGGTGGTGGTTAGTACTAGTTTCAGTACGATGATGAAAATATTGAATTTAAGAAGAAAGGTTTTGGAATCTTCTACCTTCTTAACAAGGTGATAGACAGGAATAGGGTATATTGACTGGTTATCTAAAGAGATCAATACAATATAACCTTACAAAGATTAATGGTTAAAGAAAAAACTGATGAGGATGGTATAGAAGGAGAGCCTGCCAGAACCGAACCAGCTACTATGCTCGCCAACGCCCTTGAATTTGAACCTGGTTTATCTTTGTTAGCACCCTTTACACCAAGTAGGTTCAGGCACGCTGACTGAGATGCTAGTTGGGTGCCACCTCCAACTGTACCCACCTGATATAATATTATATTCATTCAAATTAAACTCTCATTCATAACCTGAAGAAGAATACATGTGTAGATTATTTATGCAAACCTGACAGAGTGGGTCAAAATGTTTAGTGGAATAGGGCTGACTGAGAGTTTCAAGGGATCTTGGCTTCTAGTTACTTGCCATTGAAAACAAGTCTTGTATTGTATTTCACTGTAATGGGACAAAATCTACCTGTATTTTTAATATATCCCCCTGTTCCTTTCTGTAACATTGTGTTGGGACGACATCTGATTCTTTCATTATATTTTACTCAATTTTAAAATGAATTAGATCTACTGAACTTTGCTGTTTTCTAAATCAACATGTCAATCTTGCTACTTCCCATTTTATCAAATATCTTAATTAAATAAACGATACGATAGCAAGGGAATTAAGTGATTATTACCTCAATGGAAGGCATGGTGACAGAGATATGAAGGTCCTTGCCATCATTTATAGGTTCCATCATGGTGATACAGTGCGAGCTTTCCACATTCTGAGCAGGATCCTGCCCTGTTGCTATGTAGATTGCTGAGACTATATTGCTAGCATGGGCATTGAACCCACCTAGAGCCCCAGCCACCGCTGATCCTGTTAGGTTTTTAAGCATGTTGAGCTCCACTAAAGCACCCACATTTGTTTTCAGTACTTTCTTCACCACTTCTTCTTTTATAATTGCCTCACATACTACTGACTTTCCTCGCCCTTCTATCCAGTTTACAGCAGCAGGTTTCTTGTCCGAACAAAAGTTTCCTATACATTTTTATATATATAATTCCACTCAGTAATTAAATTTTACTCAAATTCTATATAGTTTGTTAAAACAACAGACTTGAAGTTAATAATTAAATATACCAGAGATGCCAATCACATCCATGTCAGGAAAATCGTTGTGCAGGAAATCAAGGACATTTTGGACGCCTTTTGAGACCATGTTCATTCCCATGGCATCTCCTGTGCTGCAGCTAAACCTCATGTAAAGATTCTTCCCTGCTACTGCACATTGAATCCCTTGTAGTTTTGCAAATCTGCTCGATCTGCTTCCACCATTTACAAAGGTTAAGATAAAGATAGAAATTCACAGAAACAGCTACAATAAAGGGGAAAATCTTACCGAACTTGTAATTATTCTACCTAAAAAAATAAGAATAATCTACCATTATCAACAGAGAGAGATAACGAATAAATGAAAATGAAAGCGGGCCAATGCCCTTGTCCAATGACTACTAAAGTGAGAATAGAATCTAGTTAAAGTGGGCTAATTATATATACCAGCCTCTTCGGCGGGTAGAATTTAATTCATTAATATTTTCTTTGACAAAATTCAGTATATTCAACCACCGTGAAAGACTGGAAAGTGTTAAAAAAAGGTTTTAAAGATAAAAAGAAAAACACTAATAACGAAAGAAGCAGAAGCAAAACCTGTTGAAAACAGTAGCAAGAGTGTCAAAATTGAGTGGATCCACCACGAAGAACTTCAACTCAGCAGCTCTCTTGGCAGAACCAAACCTTACAACAGGAGCTCTGGTCATTCCATCTTTGAACAACACGGAAGTGGCTCCTCCTGAAGCGTAGATAGCCTTGCATCCTCTGTTCGTACTGGCCACCAAACACCCCTCAGTGGTGGCCATTGGCACAGTATACTCCTTTCCATCGAGCAACAAAGGGCCTGCTACACCCACTGGGATCTGAACGTACCCAACTGGCATCTCACAACACTGACCCAATATCGACTCATAATCAAAACCTTCTAAAGGCATTCCCTCCAAAGACTTCCCTGTCATTTTCTGCAAAGCCTCGCGTCTGATGGCTGCAGCTCTTTTACAATCTCCAAGCTTTGACTCCAGAGAGTAAGAAGGAATGGTCCCGGATACTACCGATTTGATGATCTCTTCATCTTCCTCGGACAAAGACAAGGGTTTGAAACTAGAAATCGGAATGGGTGCTACACTGAGGTGATGATGAGGAACCACCTGAGAGGAGTCCAGGGAAGCTGGACAAGGTCCAGGCGGACGACTGTCTTCCTCGAGAATATATTGTTCATCGTCAATACTATTAGTTTGATGACCATCATCAAGCCAAACATGGTGGTCATGTGAAGTGGGGCGAGAGATAAAGGACTGAACGAAATCAATGCCAAAGAAACCAAGAAGGTAGATGACAGAAGCGAGCAAGCAAAACAAAGCAGAGATCTCGGAGAGAGACAAGACATGGAGAGGAGTTGAAGTACGAATCTTGTCGCGCCATCTATGGAGAAGAAAGTAAGCAACAGAGAAGAAAAGGGTGAAGAAGATTCCGTTGGTTAAATAAAGAGGAAGTGGCAATGCGTCGGAGGCGCGCTTGAATTTGACGTCCTCGTGTGGGGGGGCGGTGGAGGCGGAAGTCGAAGTCTTAGTGTTAGGTGGGTGACGAAGGTTCAGGTCCATGTGGGATAGATTTTGGTTAAAAGAAAGCAAATATTTGTTTTAATGAGAGTGGAAGAAGAGGTTCTGGATTGTATTTATAGGGAAATAAGAAAGCATGGCGGGGTGGAGCTGGATCAGTGGGCAGTTGCCAACACCTATATAAGCCGTGCTAGCTAGTATTTAATACTTTGTGGGGATTTTATATATGAATTTTCGTTTGCATTTAATTAGCTCGTGTAAGATGTTTATTAAATTTTTGTTACACATTTATCATATCATTAATTACTCGATAAACATGCATCTAGCAGTAACGGAGTAACCTATGTAATTGAAACAACATTGTTCAAGTTTTTTGAGATGAATTTCTAATAAAAAAATTACTATAAATGAACTCCACGGTTGGGGTGGTGGTTAGTACTAGTTTCAGTACGATGATGAAAATATTGAATTTAGGAGGAAAGGTTTTGGAATCTTCTACCTTCTTAACAAGGTGATAGACAGGAATAGGGTATATTGACTGGTTATCTAAAGAGATCAATACAATATAACCTTACAAAGATTAATGGTTAAAGGAAAAACTGATGAGGATGGTATAAAAGGAGAGAGCATATTGGGAGTACGGATGGAGTAGTGAAGATCAGCACTGAATAAAAGGAGACATATGGGATATCCATATCCTCAATAAGCCCTAACTGCCTTATCATCCATGATTATCCTTTACTAGAGGTCATGTGATTTGCTTCCCTTGTATCCACAAATGAAGCACACCACAGCCTCACAACATATATGGTAATTGAGAACAAGCTTTAGAGGTGTTAGCATTTTTATGTCTTTCTATGCATATGCATGTACAACCATATTATAAAGTTGGTAGCTAGAGACGGCACAAGCTTCAGCTTGTTTTGGTAATTAATTGGATTAACTCTAAATTAAACCTACTCCAATTGTCATGTCAGTTCAGTTTGTACTTTGGTGATTGCGCCCCCTCTAACAAGACAATTAGATTGAATTGGTGGCTGGGGTATGAATGAAAGGCCAGGCCCATGAAATTGATTAAGAAGAGTGAAAGCGACATATTTGTAACGGTGTTTGTTGACAAGGGAAGTACCCATCTAGTCTCTTTCACCTCCTTTGTTAATGTTATGATTAATAATCTCACTTCATCTTTATCCACTTCATTCGTTCACTTGATTAGTTTATGATGGAAAATGGAGAGTTTAATTTAGTCATAGAATGTCTTGTCTTGTCTTGGTTTTGCTTTATGGAGATATGAGACTGAGTCTGACTTCTGACAACTCTGACTGACTACCCAAATAACAAATAGCCTTTACTCTTTTTTTTTTTTTTTTTTTTTAATTTTATTTTCCTTTCTTTCTTTCTTTCTTGTGAGTGTTGATCGGTCTGGTGGTTTGGGTTTTGGTTTGGGTTTTGTTTTGAAGAAAAAAGAAGAAGATGGCTTATGGAAATGCTGGAGATGGAGGTGATGTTACTTACAGAAAAATATTCGTGGGAGGACTTGCCTGGGAGACGCAGAGTCCCGCCCTCCGCCGTTATTTCGAGCAGTTTGGCGACATTCTTGAAGCCGTCGTCATCTCCGACAAGAACACCGGCCGTTCCAAAGGCTACGGTTTTGTCAGTACTCCTCTACTTACTTTTAACTTTCAACTATACCTCAACCAAATCACTTTATGCTCATCGTTTTTATTTTATTTTGTACGGTAATTAGGTTACATTTCGTGATCCACTCTCTGCAGAGAGAGCTTGCTCCAACCCCAATCCCTTGATTGATGGTCGCAAGGCAAACTGTAACCTAGCCTACTATGGCCAAACTCGGCCTCCTCCACCTTCTCCCGGTACTCTATTTCATCTCCTCATACTGTTCATACACACTGTTCATACACACTGTTCCTTGACCTAACTCTCTTCAAAATGAGGGAATTTAAATGAAAAGTTTGTAAATTGGTGTTTCATAATTGTGGAAATTATAGTTTACTTTGTGTTTCATGGATCTCTTATGTTAGGGGCTGGGCGTCTGAGACCTACAATTCCTGGCATTGAAGGGGTTCCCAACACACCTGCCAACTATGGTGGAAGTGTTGCTCACTATCAACCTTTTCCTTATACTCATCCACCTGGGTTTCTGTATCCTCCTTACGGGTATGTTCTGATTCTGGTGATGAGTATGTGAATTGTGTTCCAGCTTNGGACTTGCCTGGGAGACGCAGAGTCCCGCCCTCCGCCGTTATTTCGAGCAGTTTGGCGACATTCTTGAAGCCGTCGTCATCTCTGACAAGAACACCGGCCGTTCCAAAGGCTACGGTTTTGTCAGTACTCCTCTACTTACTTTTAACTTTCAACTATACCTCAACCAAATCACTTCATGCTCATCGTTTTTATTTTATTTTGTACGGTTATTAGGTTACATTTCGTGATCCACTCTCTGCAGAGAGAGCTTGCTCCAACCCCAATCCCTTGATTGATGGTCGCAAGGCAAACTGTAATCTAGCCTACTATGGCCAAACTCGGCCTCCTCCACCTTCGCCCGGTACTCTATTTCATCTCCTCATACTGTTCATACACACTGTTCATACACACTGTTCCTTGACCTAACTCTCTTCAAAATGAGGGAATTTAAATGAAAAGTTTGTAAATTGGTGTTTCATAATTGTGGAAATTATAGTTTACTTTGTGTTTCATGGATCTCTTATGTTAGGGGCTGGGCGTCTGAGACCTACAATTCCTGGCATTGAAGGGGTTCCCAACACACCTGCCAACTATGGTGGAAGTGTTGCTCACTATCAACCTTTTCCTTATACTCATCCACCTGGGTTTCTGTATCCTCCTTACGGGTATGTTCTGATTCTGGTGATGAGTATGTGAATTGTGTTCCAGCTTTCACATTTATAAATTTAGTATTATTCCATTTACCTTTTCATGATGCGTGTTTCACATTTTTGATCCAGACACTTTTAACTTGGTCTTGCTATGTTCGTCCCCAACAGTTCATTTTTTGCGCTTCACAACACAAACTTGTTATAGAATTAGGGCCCTTCTTTAAGTGACAACTCAACAATTGCCACCATTTCTACACTCAAAAATCAGTTTCAGATTTACTAATTCATGATATAGTTATAGAATTAGTTAAACTTTTGTACTATTGTATGATTTTTTTTCCTATTTACTTTATAAACAGTCAAATCATTATTTTAATGCAGATACATGCCATACGGCCCTGGTTATGGGTATCCTCAGGTAACTATTTCAAATGTATTATTGTTAGATGTTCTAATTTTATTAAGAATTGGAGGAGTATGCTTACTAATTTGCCATTTTGTTTCTCTGTTTTGCAGGATGTTTATCATCGTTATCCAAGTCAACAGTACCTTCAAGGATATGGGGGTCCCTCTGCTACAGTCAACTCTCCATACCCATATGGACAATTTGGTCTTCCACCTCGTCTGCCCACTCATAGTCATCAAACCTTTCCTCCATATCCAATGCCGGCTCATAATATGGTGCCTTATGGTGGCATTCCTAGAATGGCATCACCTTATTATGCTCAGTCCATTCCCAGGTATGAATCATTGCTTCTTGCTGACAGTAATTTCTGTCAATGAAGCTTATGTTACTTGAGTTTGACATATCTTTATATATCAATATACAATAATATGATACGTATGTAGTAAATTTAAAAGCAGTTTCAGTGTTGTATTAGGAAAGTGATGATGCCCTTTGAAGAAAATAACTCATTAAAACTAGTCTTTGTTCATCTTCATTATTGACATCTAGGTTACTTATTGCATCTTGATTCTGTTTGTTTATGTTTTTTTTATAAATATCTTCCAAGGCCCAGACATGTATATACATACTAAGAGTAATTTGTATGGTTGTGCTTGCAGCAGCTCAAGGACACATCCTATGTAGGATGTACTACTCCTTATCATCTAATTCTTTCTTAGCAGTGAAGCTTGATTCGAACAATCATACGTCGAGGTAGAAATCGTCATATTAACTTTTCTCATGTATGTATTGGATATAGGAGCAGTACTTATTTAGAGGTATTCATGTTTATATTCTAGTTGTCCATAGATTGTATTACAATATATTGCAATATGAGAATTAAGCTTCAAGATTATCCTGTAATGGAGAAAAAAGTAGCATAAAGGCGGAGTTCTCTCTTTGTTTAATGTTGCAGGTTCATCTGAAAGAGTATTGCAAGATGTCAAGAAGATGCACAAAAACTTGGGAGTTGAATATTTGCTTGGGTTGAGTTGAACTTGAGGCCACCATTGCAAGGATTTGTAAATAATTATTTTTATTTCAAATTAAAAACTCGTAGTCTTCAATGTACGTATATATTATTATTAGCCTTGTAAAGTGTAAAATGCATATTTGTCCAATCAATTGTTATCTTATTTCTTTCCTTTTATAACACTATAAAATTGATTGATCTGTTGAATATGGTGTTGCATAAGTGTATTTTATAAGTTTTANTTATCATCTAATTCTTTCTTAGCAGTGAAGCTTGATTCGAACAATCATACGTCGAGGTAGAAATCCTCATATTGACTTTTCTCATGTATGTATTGGATATAGGAGCAGTACTTATTTAGAGGTATTAATGTTTATATTCTAGTTGTCCATAGATTGTATTACAATATATTGCAATATGAGAATTAAGCTTCAAGAGTATCCTGTAATGGAGAAAAAAGTAGCATAAAGGCGGAGTTCTCTCTTTGTTTAATGTTGCAGGTTCATCTGAAAGAGTATTGCAAGATGTCAAGAAGATGCACAAAAACTTGGGAGTTGAATATTTGCTTGGGTTGAGTTGAACTTGAGGCCACCATTGCAAGGATTTGTAAATAATTATTTTTATTTCAAATTAAAAACTCGTAGTCTTCAATGTACATATATATTATTATTAGCCTTGTAAAGTGTAAAATGCATATTTGTCCAATCAATTGTTATCTTATTTCTTTCCTTTTATAACACTATAAAATTGATTGATCTGTTGAATATGGTGTTGCATAAGTGTATTTTATAAGTTTTAAGATTTAATTTATACATCCGCCATTTAAGTAGGGGGTCGTGGCGGTGGGTTATTACGTTAGTTTTTCTTAAAGATTAGTCGAGATATGTGTAAACTGCCACAAACATCTTATTAAAAAAAAGAACAAAAGATTTAATGACAAGTTTTACTCTGATACATGAACATGAATAGCAAAATCAAAGGTTGAAACAAAAAACCTAATATGGGCTATGAGTGTAAAGTAAATGGGCTAAAACTGAATGGTCCGACCCAGCCTGGATCTGCAAAATTACGGGTTAAAAGGAGTTTTGAGTTTTAGATGGAGGGGATCGAGCAGAGAAGAAGAGAAGAAATGGAAGAATACCCAGAAGAGTGGCGAACACCACCAGTGAGTTTAGTATCACTGGTTGGTTGGTCAGAGCATCATCATCTCATCTCAACACACTTGCTCTCTCATCAACCACCAATCAACACCTTAGCCTTACCTGATTTATCTAAATTATTACTCTTATTACCCAAATCCAATAAACCCCCTCTTGACTCATCTCCCCAACAAGGAGGCATTCTCAAAAGAGATTGGCTCATCAAGCATCGCACTCGAATACCTTCCGTAGTTGCCCCTCTTTTTTCTTCCGATCAGGTCTCTGGAGATCCCACCCAGTGGCTTCAGGTCTGCTCCGATCTCGACAACCTCAAGGCCGTTATTCGTCCCAGGAACATTAAATTCCTTGTTGTTATTATCGTCAAAGATGGAGATGATATCAATGAAGATCGTTTTATTGCTCTCCGTAAGCGTGCTGAATTAGATGCCAAATACATTCTTACTTTCAATCCTAATGATGCTTCTCAATTGCGACATTCTCTTAACAGGCATGCCACTCCGCTGCCCTTCTTTTATTTATTTATTTTTTATTTCAAGTTTGTGTTATTAGTATTACTCTGAGGTTGAAGCTTTTTCTTTAGGCTGGGGAGCACGTTTGCAGAAATGGCAATTACTTATTACAGAGATGAAGGAAAGAGGATCAAAACGCGAGTCGAAAAGAAGAGCATCAATTCTATTGATTTCAATATTCGTCATTGCTTCAAAGTATGGATCTTTACTTTCCTTCCATTACTTCATTGACAGTGCTTAATTTTGTTGCTTGTGTTTTGTTCTTCCATATTAACTACTTGGATAGATACTCAAGTAGGAATTTCCTTTTCTTCCTGCATTTAATGCGTGTTAGGATAGATGATTGCTTATCAACATATTTTCTATTGCTAGGCTGCTGTATATGCAGAGTTTCGAAGAGATTGGGCTGAAGCTTTGAGGTTATACGAGGATGCCTATCATATACTGCGGGAGGTATTTTTCATTGTTGTATACTATACTGTCTCTTTCATTTAAATTATGCGATTCATAGCTGTAATAGATATTTCTAATTCATTAGACTTTTCTTAATTTTGTATACAGATGATTGGGACATCAACAAGGTTGCCTCCAATTCAACGCTTGGTCGAGATAAAAACTGTGGCTGAGCAATTGCATTTTAAAATATCAAATTTGTTATTGCATGGTGGAAAGGTCAAAGAAGCAGTTACATGGTTCCGTCAGCACAATAATTCTTACAGAAAGCTTGTTGGAGCACCAGAAGTTGTCTTCCTTCACTGGGAATGGATGAGCAGACAATTTTTGGTGTTTGGTGAATTGCTGGAGACAAGCTCTGTTTCGATTCAAAACATTTCATCTCTAGTTTCAGGCGGTACAGACAGACCTTTGACTGAGTGGGAACTTCATCCATCTTATTATTATCAGGTCAGCGGCCATCTTTACCTCCTAACATCTTAGGCTTTTATATGTATTATGCTTAAAAATATAACGTATCTCTCTTTGTGGTGCTTATGCTATATGTATTTATTGTTGTCTTTGCCTCTCCAATTAGAGTAAATGCAAATTGCTTTTGTGGATCAATTCTTCCTAGGAAAATGTATGTATTGTAGTGATTTTAATCAGTGTCACTATTCAAGTGTAAAGGTTTCTACTTTGTTGGCTATTGGGAAGTCTTTTGTGGATGTGATAACTATCCCTTGTGTTTAAGGGCTTTTTGTGTGTGTGTGTGTGTGTGTGTGTGTGTTTTATGACAGTATTGCTGGGATTTAACAGCAATTCCAAAGCCTGAAATTGTGATATTAATCACTTAATCTCTTGCTTACTCTTATATTATACACAATTCAGTGCAATGGATTCAGCCATATATTATTCTACCATACTGCTTTGCCAAAAAGATCTATTCATGGCTAAAGCATAAAATTTAAAATGTTTTTCCTCCAATGCCAATACCTTTATGTCTCTGCATCGTTGCATGGTAAACCATTCAACATAAAGAATGCTTCAGTTTGCTATGACTACCAAATTATTAGCAAGAATCATCATGCTTGACTTTCTTGACTGTATATGCCCATCTGACTGCATGCTTTGTGTAGAGTGATTAATCTAGAAGTTCATTTAACTGTTTCCTTTAATTAGGTTATACTTTTTATGGAGCTCAATCTCAACAATTTATCTTGAAACAGTTAGCTGCAAATTACTTGAAGGAGAAGAGATCATCTTTGGAACTTGCTCTGTCAATGTCAGAAACTTCTAATGAGATTGATACCAGTGCTGAATCCGTTGTACCTTCACTTTATGTGGGTCAATTTGCTCAATTACTTGAGCAAGGGGATTCTGCTACTATGAAACCGTAAGTCTTAAAAGTCAAATATGTTGAATTTACAGTTTTCATTATTTTAAACCAATATCTTATATTTTCTTTTTCTCTCTTTGCAGTCTTACAGATGAAGAGTACACCCACTACGCTATTGCAGAAGGGAAACGATTTCAAGATTCCTTTGAAATTATTGCTTTGCTCAAAAAATCTTGTGAATCATATGGTAATCTCAAAGCCTGTAGGATGGGTTCCTTTTGTGCATTCCAGATGGCAACTGAGTATTTTGCAGTGGGGGATTTCAGCAATGCAAAACAGCTTTTTGATGGTGTTGCAAGTCAATATAGACAGGAGGGATGGGTTACTTTGTTGTGGGAGGTATTGGGTTACCTGCGAGACTGCTCTAAGAAACAAGGCGCTGTGAGAGATTTTGTTGAATACTCCCTTGAAATGGCTGCACTGCCAGTATCATCTGGTACCGATGCCAAGCCTTTCAGATTTAAAGAATGTAGCCCAGCTGGTCCCCCAAGTTTCTCACAGAGAGAAGTCATACACAAAGAAGTTTTTGGGCTTGTCAGCAGGGAAGCAGGGTCAGCATCAGTTGAAGACGATAATGATATCAAAATAACAGGAGATACTCCACTTCATCTTGAGATTGATCACGTCAGTCCCCTTAGAGTAGTACTTCTTGCTTCAGTTGCTTTTCATGAACAAATAGTTAAGCCTGGTGTATCCACATTAATTACAGTGTCACTTCTATCACAATTACCCCATACTGTTGAGATCGATCAATTAGAAGTTCAGTTCAATCAATCTGAGTGTAATTTTGTCATCATGAATGCTCAAAAACCTTCATTAGCTGCAATGACTGATGGGGAACAGGGTCATCAAGTAGAGAGTGCTCCTCTTGTACTTGCCACAAATAAATGGTTGCGGTTGACATATGGTGTCAAATCTGGTATGTCAGCTGTTCTCTTTTGTTTCACCTGCATAAGCATGATTTCCTCTATTAACATGATCTGATTGAGTCAGATCCTGTTGGGGTTTGCAGTCAAAATTTTATTAAGGCCTCATGATTTTTTGATATACCATTAGTGCATTTGATGTAAACCCAGTTCTCATACTGTATATGCAACAAACTCTAACCACCTTGGTTGATTTGCATTAATCACTAGGACTTTGGTTTGGTGGCTGCTAGATATACTTTTTTCTTGCACCAATTATCTTCATTTAATGCAAGTATATGGTCTTCTGATTAGGAATTGCAAATCCTTCCTATGCCAGTTTAACCAATGATCCTGGTGCAAAGGCAATGCTTGCCATTTAAAATCTCGCTAATCTCCTTTCTTCTCTCCTTGCACTGCTAGTTGAGTCATCAATAATTTTGTTTTTCATTCCCTTACCATTTCTTGTCTAAAATAACTTCTATATTCATCCAGAGAAAAGTGGAAAGCTTGAATGTGTCTCTGTAATTGCAAAAATGGGACCCCACTTCACTATCTGTTGCAGAGCTGAAAGTCCTGCTTCAATGGATGATTTGCCTCTTTGGAAGTATGAAGATCGCGTGGAAACTTTTCCAACCAAGGATCCTGCTATAGCATTCTCCGGTCAGAAGGCTATACAGGTTGAAGAACCAGAGCCACTGGTAGATCTTAATTTAGGTGCTTCTGGCCCTGCTTTTATCGGAGAGAGCTTCATGGTACCTGTTACAGTGGCCTCCAGAGGCCATGACATCTACTCTGCTGAGTTAAAGATCAATCTGGTGGACGTAAAAGGAGGTGGTTTGTTTAGTCCAAGGGAAACAGAGCCGTCCTCTATGGATAGTCATCATGTTGAGCTTATTGGCATTGTTGGGACAGAAGGGGAAGATGAATCTCAGTTGGGTTCTGAAAAAATTGAGAAAATTCAGCAATCCTTTGGATTGGTTTCTGTTCCATTTCTGAAGAATGGAGACTCATGGTCTTGCAAATTAGAAATCCAAGTGACAGACCCAAACCAGTTATGCTTTTCGTGTCTTTAGGCTATTACCCACTTCGCGATGAGTCGGCCGCAAGAAGGTCAACATCCACAAGAGCTGCAAATTGAAGGAATAAGTGCCATGCAATAAGCCATCGCTTTATGCTGCCTTTCGCCGGGACCCCTGTTACTCTCAAGGATCAAGCCGGTCAAGGTTTGAGCAATCGGCATCACTGCCCTGAATGAAACTAGTTTGCTATTGTTTCTGCCAAGAACTGCACTAGGTCCCATTGCAGTTACAATCCAGTCTATTGACAATGAGGACAGCGAGTGTAAGTTCATGTTCTGTACAAGACGGTGGCAAAGACTTTTTAAGCCAGCCCTTCTGTGCCAGGTGAAGAGTTCAAGAAGTATTTACTGTAGTTCCCAGGGTGTTTCTTCATGTGCAGGCTGGGAAAAGTGTGTCTGAGATGGAGAAGGGACTCTGAGAGTGTGATCCTTCAAGTTTAACAGACAAGAAGCTTCGGTTGTGAGTAGAATAAATTACCTGATGTAGAAGTGGAGGTATCACCATTGGTTGTAAGTTTGGAGTGTCCCCTATGCCATCCTCGGAGATCCTTCACATACTTGGTTAAAATTCGAACCAGACGTTGCTTCAAGAGGTCAAGTTCTCTTTGGCAGATTCACAAAGTTTTGTGTGTCTGGGTCTCACAATGATACGGTTTCCATTTTCCAAAATCTGAGCACATCCTCAGTTACAAAACTGTGCCACTGCCTCAGGTTCCCAATCACTGCCTAAAGTTACAGTGAGCTCAGTGAGATATTCAGCCGAGTTCAGCCGTCTAACGCAGCATCATCTGTGTTTGTATTTCCTTCTAAACCTGATTTAAGATGGATGATGTGGGTGAGAGAAGAATGGAGTCGACTGCAGTGAATAATCCAGTCCCGGTGCTGCAGCATGGAAGCCACAAGGGAAGTAGATGGCATGTTGAAGAGGGGGAGCTTTTCGATTAGAGGAGTTACAGTTTTGCATTCATAAGAAAGTTTTGGTTGTGTTGGAAAATCATTAATCAGAAGCAAGTGATGGAAATGTTTGAAAGTGTCTAGATAGGAAATTTGTACAAGTAAATAGGTGTATAAACAAATGATTTGTGTAGTAATGGAATTAGTAAGTGATTTTGATACTGTTTTTTTAACCAAATATTAGTCTATATATAAACATTACAAATATTTGTTTAAAATTGAATCATAAAATATTGTTGATAAATTAATTGAAAAAGAAAAGATATTTAAGAAAATGATAAAGAGGCGAATACGAGTCAACTGGAGAGGTAAAGGAGAGCAAATAGGTGTTGGCATAGTCTACCTTACAATGTCTTTCTTTGATTTAAGGTTCCATTAGATTATTCACTTTGTTCTTATCTGAAACCAGTTTAATTTTTGGCCAAATATTAACTTAACAGGAGTGTTAACAACAAGATGTGTTAAACTGGTACCATTATGGGAAAAACTGTTCATTGAACTCTGGGTCGCTGTCAGTTGGAATGGGAACAGATTGAACTTGATTGAGTGGGTTTAGAGTGGATTTGATTTTATAGTTAAATGTTTGTTACCGTATGTTCAAGTTTGACTTGAAGTTTCAAGTTCCTCTTTCTAGCTGTTATTGGAAGAAGATAAGAACATCAAGCAAAGTGGAAGGCAATATTGAGCATTATGATGATGATGATGAAGACATAGCCATGTGACACCGACAACCATTAAAGTCCAATTGATTTTCGATGTAGGTGGTGGGATGAAATGGAGGTTCTCAAAGAGAGGAGGTTGTAAACAAAGATTTGAAAGCCTGAAACAGATGTGGTTGATGATGTGAAAGGAAAGGACATACAATAAAGTGATGTAGGGGCTCATACGTCATAATAATACTAAAATTTCCCTTATTGGTCCCCAATTTTACGAAATAACCATATTTTTTATTATTAAAATTCTGCAAATAAAAAATCTCCCCGCCAATCCCATCTTCTCTCGAACCCACAATCATCCTTCATGTACTCAGGTAACTTTATTTTTCTTCAATTCCTTTGTTTTCTTTTGTTTCGCGTAACATGGTGTCAAATTTTATCAATTAGGGTTTCGATTCTAAATATACTAATTATAATGCAGATAGAGAAGAAGGTGAAGATATGAACATGCGCTTAGCGTTTAGGGGACGGCGCTCTGTTTACAAGCCAGTCATGCCAACTGATGCTTTCAACAATCCACAACAAACTCCAACTGGAGATATCTTCCTTCATCAACACAACATCAACAACAGATCATCACCAAGCACCAGTTAATAGTCTTAGCGTTAGCGGTTCGATTGAGGCGGGGAAGAGGAAAACGTGGTCGCCCTAGAAAGTACGGTCCTGATGTACTATAACACCACCATAACAATAACAATAATATAATAATAATAATAGTATTAATAATGGTATTGGTGGCTCAACTGACACTACTCCTTCCGCGGTGGCAGTTGCAGTAAGTAGCATCTCTTTCTAATTCCAACAAAAAACCCAGAGAGGCCTCCGGTCCACTTCTTCACGCAAACACTCTGCTGGCTTTGGTAACACTTGCTAACTACTACTTTCTTTTTTTATTTTATTTCTTTCCATATATTTTATGATATCAATATTTGTTTATTGTTTGTTTATCCATGTGTATTACCTTGGTCCTTCTTTCTCTTTGCTGCGCTGACTTTTATGCCCTTGCTGTATTTATTATTTATTTTATTTTTCCTGTTGATTTTCTAATTTCATTGTTCAGGAAGAATTTCTCAATTGCATTTCTTTTCAAAAAAAAAAAAACAAAACAAAAAAAAAAATTGTTTTTTACTATTATATGCTTGGCAAAAGAGGGTTATCCTTTCCTAATTCTACTTGTTTATTTATTTTTAGGGGTTAAAAAAAATTCATAAAATTTTGTTATTGTTTAATTATTACCCTACATAAAGAAAATCCTGATGAATAAAAGAGGATTAAAATTATGTTTGATTCTCTGTAATTTACCAATTGCGGGCAAACTTACTATCTACTGCATTGGTCTTTATCCTATAGACTTGTAATAAAACCACAGGTGCAAATGTGGATTTTACTCCAATTTTATTTATTTTTTCAGCTCAGCAGGGTGGATTTACACTCATGTTATCACTGTGCAAGTGGAGAGGTATCTTTGCAGTTTTCCAATTTCCCTTTTAGGGTTCTTGATAAATCAATTTAATGTAGTCTGTACGTTCATATGTGTAATTCCTGATGAGATATTCTTTTGTTGTACAAAAATTTATACAGAAATTCAAGTATATATGAAAGATTGTCCTCCAGATAGTTAATTGGCACAGATGTCTCATCTAGTCATGCTTGCTTGTGTCTATGTATGCAGTTAGCGATACTGTTTGATTAATTAAATGATGGAGGCCAGCTTTTAATTTAATACATGGTTTAGTGCGATGGTTTACTTTTGGAACATATATACAGATGTATGTCGATGGTTAAAAGTATGATTTGTTTAGCTTATATATAGTACTAGTGTAATTGGTAAGAATATGTCCTAGCTTTCTCACTTTCTTCCGTTTCTGAAGTGTAATCTTTGCAGTTTAAGTTCAGTCGAATCTTTTATTTTGCCTGGAAGATTAATTTTTTTTTTTTTTTGTAACTTACTTTTCAGGATGTATTGGCAAAAGTGATGTCATTTTTCCAAAATGGCCCACGAGCTGTCTGCATTTTGTCTGCAAATGGTGCTATATCTAATGTAACACTTCGTCAAGCAATGACATCTGGTGGGAACTGTGACTTATGAGGTTAGTTAAAATCAAATTACTATATGTTTTATATTTGTGTCCCTTGAGCTTTAGCACATTCAAGGGAAAGGTGGCTAGAGAAAGGTCTTATGTCCAGAATTTATCAATTTGAAAAGACAAAAAAAGTGATAAATTAATAATTTTAAATGGAATACATAAAGGCAAATCTTGATTTAGATACTTACCCAAAAAAAAAAAAAAAGATAACTTGTTAGATACCAATCTCATGAGGAGCTATCATCAGTCACCACAATGATGGATTACATAGTACACACCCATTCTAACAAAGATTATCTCATCATAAATATTCAAACAAATCTCAATAGCATGTCTCATGTTCCTTATTGATCAATTGCTTCGCTGTCACATGGATCTTCCTGCACATAGGATTTGCTTATTGTTCAAGTTTTGATGAACTCCAGACAGTCCTTTCCAATTTGTGCTCTAGGTTAAATTGTTTCTAATATGCACATGGACTATGATTTTGACTGCAGTCTTGGATTTGTGAGATTAGTCTTTTAGTCTTGAACAACATGAAGTCATGCTCATAACCTGGCAATCTTCCAATCACTAAAGCTGATAAATAATTGTAAATTTATGAATTGAATTTTATCATTGAACAAGTTTTTTTTTTTTTTAATTTTTTTTAGCACACAAGGCTCTCCAATACTCCCTCTTACTCATGCAGGGCCGATTTGAGATCTTGTCTCTTTCTGGTTCAATTCTCCTCTCTGAGAGCGGCGGTCAACGAAGCAGAACAGGTGGTTTGAGTGTGTCCCTCGCCGGGCCAGATGGTCGTGTTCTTGGTGGTGGTGTGGCAGGGCTTCTAACTGCAGCCTCCCCTGTTCAGGTTTCTTTTACTATTAGATCATATGGATCTTTCCAACGTTAGATACAATTTACTGTATTTGTGAGCGAAAGAATATTAAAGCATGTTTATGACAGTGTTAGATACAAGACCTTAATCCTCTAAAATAAATTGCTGCAAGTGCACAGTAATGGTAGAGAGCATCTGAAACTGATTTTTAAGTGTGGTACCATGGCAGGTTATTGTTGGTAGTTTCTTGGCAGAAGGTTGGAAGGATTCAAAGTCAGGGATACAAGTAGAACCATTGTCTTCTATGCCAAAACATGTGGGAGGAGCATCAGGAGTTGGAAGTCCACCATCACGTGGAAACTTTAGTGAATCATCTGGTGGGGGTGGAAGCCCTCTAAATCAAAGCACTGGAGGTTGCAGTAACAGTAATCCAGCAGGAATACCAAATATTAGTTGGAAATAAAGATAAAGAGTTTAGGGTTGTTGGTTTTGCATGACTGAAGACATGTTTTGGATTTCTGAAAGTAGGGTGATTAAATATGTAATGTAATTTATGACTTAATGCTGACTTTAGTTGGAGATTGTACTGATATTCCAGGTCAAACACCATGGCTGGATTGCAAAAACTAGGGTAGAAACTACTAGTAGTAGTAGAGGCCTCCCCTCGAGGTGGGTTATAACGTAGAAGAAAGAGTTAGCTAGGTTGGGTTTTAGGTGATTATAGAATTAGAGGTTTATTTATGTTCATCTGTCCATTTTTTGTTTGGTAAATCATGTTTATTATATTTGTCTTATGGCCTTAACATAAAAGTTAATTTGAATTGTTTATTAGNTTGTTGGTTTTGCATGACTGAAGACATGTTTTGGATTTCTGAAAGTAGGGTGATTAAATATGTAATGTAATTTATGACTTAATGCTGAGTTTAGTTGGAGATTGTACTGATATTCCAGGTCAAACACCATGGCTGGATTGCAAAAACTAGGGTAGAAACTACTAGTAGTAGTAGTAGTAGTAGTAGTAGTAGAGGCCTCCCCTCGAGGTGGGTTATAACGTAGAAGAAAGAGTTAGCTAGGTTGGGTTTTAGGTGATTATAGAATTAGAGGTTTATTTATGTTCATCTGTCCATTTTTTGTTTGGTAAATCATGTTTATTATATTTGTCTTATGGCCTTAACATAAAAGTTAATTTGAATTGTTTATTAGTAGCATGTAATAAGTAATATAATTACCCCTTCTGTTGATGATAGAAACAAATATTATATGATAGATTGATAGTATGTTAAAAATTGAGCCTACCTTTCTGGCACAGCACATGAAGTCACAATTACCCTGCACTTTATGAATATTTAATTTGACTAAGTCTAGTATACAAAAATAATGGGAATAAATGTCTTGAGTTGAGACTTGTAAGATAATTTATATGTCAAAAAAAAATCATGAATGTTACTTTAAGACGCATACAATTTGATTCAGTATCTTGGTCTATCTTAAATCTTAATGCCATCGTTTTACTTTTACATGAAAACAAAGGTTTGGCTTCGCTAATTTGCTTTCTCTGACACTTAAAAAAGACGCAAATTGTTGTCACTGAAACAATATAAAGAATGATAGTTGATAAATAAATCTATATAACATTTTCATTGGCATTGATGAACCTTTACGACAAGGGCGTATCAGTGAAAAAATATATCAACTTTTCAATTAATTTTTACAACAAAGATGAATAATTAACTTAGGATACAAATACCATCAAAACTATAAGCACAAACCCCCTCATTTCAATTGCCATACCATGTGCTTCTGCAAAAATAATAGGTCACTTTTTGACCCTAAACTATCAGCACAAAACCCTATTTGACCATCAAACCAACACAGTTCTTAGGTGTTATGGACATTTTGTTCAATGCACTATAGTCAAATTCATCATCACCAGGATCCTCCTCGTCTTCGCTCCTTCCCATCCCATCGTCCCCATTTGCATCCACAAAATCTTCATCAACATCTTCTTCACTACTGTCCACTTCGTCATCATGATACGTGGTTCTAACCATTGTCCAGTACACAAAATTTGGACGGATATAACTTTAGAAACAAAAAGCACAAGAAATTGGTCAATTAGTATTATATATACCAACAAGAATGCTAACTAACTTCACTCTCTTGACAACGTAGAAAAGACGAATGAATAAAGTAACAAGTTGATGTTGTTCAGAAAACAAAGTTTAGTCACTATCACTACGAAGAGTCCAGCAAACATAAGAGGCAGCAGCAACTTTGACTGCTGCTTTTAGAATCTCAAGGGCAGACACTTTGGTCATTGTTCCCTAGCCTCATTTATGGAAGCAGTCACTCAAAGAAACAAAAGCCAGAAAATTTATATTCATGCAGCATGTGAACCTCAATGATACCCATCTATTCATACCTGTCACATTTCTTCAGCAAACATGGGTCAAATGGAAAGAACATGTCCAGCCTTTCCAGGCCACCAAATGCCCTAGAGAGTTCTGACTCCAGAAGATCATTAAAGACGAAGGTTTTAGAGACAGTGAACAGATGAGCTGCTTTAGACTGTTTGAGAAACTCTGACACTACTGACGGAAGGCATACCTGTGAATATAAAGTAATTAACAATAGTCAGAAAAAACATAAAGATATAATAGGCTGGGAATTCTATCAACTATTTCCTTGCAAATGGCCTGAAAAAACACTGACCTTGAGTGGGTTCAATTCATGCTTCAGAATTGTCTCTAGTGGCATGAGAAGAAGCTGAGATTTGAGCCGAGGAACATCCATTATTGATCTCATTCGAAAGCAGAGCACATATATAATGGCCTGTGGTGCAGAATTAACCATCAACACTCCGGTTCAGCAATTGATTCAATTTAGTTAAATGTAACACAAAACCAAACATAATTTGGCAATGATAGTACACCAACATAAAACAAATCAATAAAAAAGCAGAATCATAGGAAAAGAGGATTAAGTTTTTTTAAGCAGTATGAAAATTTCCATGTTAATCAGTTAACACAGCAATATTCCTTTCCAAAGAAATATTAAATTTAGCTTACTACCAAAGCAGCACTTACCTGGCATCCTGAATAAAATACTCTATGTGCTTTTGGGTTAATGTCGCCACCATGGATATTGCAATACTCCAAACACCAATCCACCAACCTGAAAATACCAAATTTAATCTAAAATCAACATTTAATTCTTTAAGCAAACCAACCGAACTGACCTATTTTGCTCAGTTCAGATTTCTAGACATGCAATTCTTAGCTCAAACAATGTAGAACTGATCATATTCTGGTTTCAGTTTCATATGCAGAGCCACCCATAAGATACAAACCAGGCCAGTTAAGCCTATACACCACTAAAAACTAATGACGTAATATAAGTACAATATTATACAATGTTGTTAAATATATTGACATATACGGTTAAGATATCTTGGCCTAAAATTCTTGACTTAAAATGGAGCACAATAGAAAATTTTCATTTATTTAAATCCATGGTTAAGGTCTGAAGTCAAAAATAAAATGTTAATATTGTCAACTCAACGACTCATCCAATCCCAGATTAAGATAGATGAACTCATTTCTCACTTTAATTCGAGAGATGCTGAGTTCAACATAAAATGATTTTAATAGAAAATTAATTTTATTTCCTCTCATTTGAAATAGAGACATAATTTCGGTGTCAGCCAGTCAATTTAGTTATTCAAATCCATTTTTCAATTTCCTGTATCTCTGTTAATGATAAAAACTTGGTTCAGAAATCTTTCAAAAACTGAAAAAAACCAGTGCACACCACTAACCATGTAATTTTTTTCAACAGCAATTTAATAATAAATTATATTATACAATACAAGATCTATACTCATACCTTTTTAACAAGCTAATGACGATAGAAGCTGACAAAAACTTTGCACGAGACAAGAAACTAGCAAGATAAGACACAGCACTCATCCTGCATATAGTAGAAGAAAAAATAACTTAAGACAAAGCATGCCAAAGACAATATCATAAACTATGACACGGCATTTCAAGGAATTTCTAATTTGCAGTAATACATAATACATGTGTATAACATAAGCTCAGATACACATACAACAAGAACACTGGAGCTCGTAGTAAACTTTCAAAATGCAAAAGTCTACATTAGCTATTGATGTCACCTATCTTGTTTAAATCCATGAAAGCAGGAAATATTTAATTACCAGGGGAAGGAAGATGAGCAAGATAATAGTTGGATAGAGGAGGCGGCATTGTTTTTTAAATCATTTAACATTTTTCCGTTAAACTAGGCAATAGACTACCATTTTAGGGAAAGCAATATTAGAAAACGCAGACACCAAAAAGACAAAAAAATATCCAACTGTATATTTGGCATGGAGATCAAAACAAAATACAATAATAGCCGGGAAACCTTTGATCATGGCATACAAGATTGTGTATAAGTCTTGTTTCACAATTAACATGTCCAAACCCTATTATGCTATTAAGTGCCCAGCATTTCACATTTCCAAAGAATGGCTGCACCAACTGCAGTCTGTAGGACCCATAGCATATAAATCAAAGTCTAATGTAATATAGAGAACATGAACAATCTTGCAAATAAATAAAATAAAATAAAAACTGATTCTTTACTAGCAAAAAATCAGAGTCAAACAATCAACAGGATGTTAGGCGGGAGAGTTAATAGCAAGCAACATATTCTTTTTAGCCAAAATAAGAATCAATGTTACCTGGTAATTTGAGAGTGGACACCACTAGCAAATATATCTGCCAACATTGTGCTAAATCTCACCCCGCAATTTTCAGGATCTAGTGCACATGCATAAAACATCACAAACTGCAATCATAAAATAACAGAGTCCTCAAGAGCAGAACAACCAGTGAATCCATGCTATAATACAAAAAACGAAAAAGAAACTGCAGTGTTCAACAAAATTCATACAATTAACGATGGGAAATATTTGAAATAAAGCACCAATATATGCATATTTATATAGACAATAAGTACAATATGAGGACAACTCATACATTACCTGAGCAAATTTCGACTTGTATGCATTCAGAACAGTTATCTGGAATGACTGGAGAAGAATATCAAATACCTAACCAAAACAATTAATGATTCTTTTCAGAGAACATAAGCCAGAGAGTAAAGTTAAAGCAAGTTAAAAGAAATATATAACTTCAGAAAATACCTTAATCCAACGACCATCACCTTTACAGGATTCAAGATGCTCAAAAGTTAGCTCCATCAAGCTATCTAATAATTCAGCAATTAGCTTTTCACGTGAACTCTTCTTACTTAAGGATCCTTCTGGAAGCTGTACAAAAATTCACATTAGTTTAAGAAAAGGTTATTTCCACATGACATAGAAACATAAACCAACTGCCTAAGCAATTATTTTCCATCAAGAAAGAGATTTATCAAATGGGTGAGGCTCTATGCACTCAATAAAGTCCCAACCATTTTCTAAGTGCACAGACCAAAAACTTTGTTGAGAGTAGATGAGAAAAATCATTTCAAAACTTCTACTAATGAATACACTTTGAAAAACCAGTGTGAAGGGTACTTCTATGGGTTCATATAATCCATCCTTAAATCTTCAACTATATTTACTTTACAAGACAGAATTTTATGCTTCCAACTCTTTTGCAGAAACTTCAGCAGAACACAATAACCTATCCCAAGAACCTATTTGAGATGCTCACAGGAAAATAAGGAACTCTGCCTAAAAGGAAATTCACAGATTGTACCTCATCGCCGTCTTGTTCCACACCTTCCAAGTCCATTTCAAATATGTCTTTACCAGATTCATCATGCAAATCATCATCCCATCCAATCTCCACCTATAAGAAGCTCCATTACATAAGATCTTACATATAACTGCAAAAAGCATGTTCCAACAACAGTTTCACAAGGTAATTTCATCTGACTTACATCCAAATCTATCAGCCTATCCACCAGTGCTGTTAGCATTGAATTTCTTACAAGTTCCCCCAATTCACCACTCTCCAACTTTAGCATGTTTTCCACATATATTACAATCATCTTCAACTGAAAAAAACACAGAAGGATGGAAGACATTTTAGAGACAATATTGATAAGTAGACAACTTGTGATAGCAACACACAACAGTACTTAAAGTATAATTCACAGTGATTACGACTACTGACAGCATTCGAGTACGATATAAGAACAGCAAATTCAAACATAATTGTCAACTTAGGTAAAGAGTTCAAATTTGCCCACTTCAAGCTGGCCAAATGTAACTCAGAAAGATGTGCACATCAGACAACCCCAGAACTAATTCAAGTAGAATAACATAAGCGAAAATGACCAAAGATGAACAAATACGTGCATAAAGTATGTCATATGATCACGACACCACTTTACGATGGACTCTGTGAGCAAGACTGTTGAAGCAACTCATACAAACACGTATGATACCACGGAGGCATTTTGAGTTGCATTTTGATGCATCCAAATGAAAAACCGGTGTGACAAGAGAAGTATACAACAAAGATTCTACATGCATGAATCTATATCAACAATAAAATCCAAAATAATAATTATACCAAACAGCAACATATTTAATTGAGAAAAAAACAAATGCCAATTGAGAAGTCATTTAAACTTACACGATCATCCTTATTACGGACTGTTGGCATTCTCTGTAAAACTATGGGCAATAATCTCAACGGGGCCAGGGGTACCACCTTAGTAATATTTTCAAAGGCTTCATGCACCCGAGAAATAACTTGTTTCTTTATTTCAATACCCCACGGCTGCAACAATAAAGTACTGGATGGGGGTGTGAAATTGTTGACAAGCATGGTTAAACACGAATCAACATATTTTCCATCTGAAGAAGCCTGGAATATCACAAAAATAAAAATAATCATAAAATTTGTAATAGGTGTCTGAAAATTTGAAAGAAAGGTGATTTCAACTCACATACCAAGGATATAATCAGGGCTATCATGGCATCCATCTCACCAGGTTCAAAGTTCCAGATGTTGATTTGAAAAATCTGAAGAACATTCACCATAAAAAAGATAATAACAACTCTTATAATGCCAAACAAACAAGAAAAAACACAGAAATCCAGTAACAACTTACAGAAGTGAGAAGGGACTCATGGTGAACAATGTCCAACGAAGAAACTGCTCTAGATAGTGCCTTCAAACTTGTCTGCAATTAGCGTAAAAAGGGTATTTAAGACATCCATGATGAGAAAAACAGTGCCATGAACTAATTGAAGGGTGTGGATGTACCTCAAGCAGAGCCCTATGGTTAGGCTGGTGCATAATAGCAACAAGTAGGTTATAATTGTCGCTACAACCCTGTTCCAAAACAAATTATGCTTATTGTAAAAGCAATTAACAAGCGGAATGATGAATCCAGGCCAATACATAGAAGAAGGATATCTTTCATAGTGAAAATAATTGAGCATAAAGCCAGAATGCTTACCGAGGGCACAGCTGTAAGAGCTTCCCTTACATGGTGGACTACTTCAGACTCGCTAACATTAAAACTCTCCATCTCATTTTGTACCTCCATTCCCATCGTCCCAAAGTCGGACGCTACAAAATAAAAAAAAAAAATTTTTTAAAAAAAATTTGCTCAACAAATATTACCTTAAACCACAAAGCGATGACGACATAGACAAGAAGGAGAAATTATAATGATAATGATGAAATTAAGTAAACAAAGACATAATTGTACCAAATCATGGTAAGTAAATAAATTGAATTCAGAATATTTTAAGTAAAAAAATAAAAAATAAGAAGAAAGAAAGAGTGAAAACAGCATCATGAAAAGAAGGAAATGGAATTAAAATAAATAAATGAACTAACTTACAAGAATTATTGAAGCCCGGGAGAGGTAAAAGACGCCGTGTGCAAAAGAGACGTCTAGTGAATGAGGAAGCTTTTCTTCTTCCCGTCGGCTGGGTGCAGAGAAGAATGAAAACACCGAGCGAGGTTTGGCATAAAAGTGGTGGCCTTTTATACCTAGTACAGTAGTACTCAACTTCGTATATTTATTATTAAGGACTCTTCGTTACCTCTAATTTCTTTCATACCCGATTTGTTTCTCCTAAGCCATAATGGAGTATCTGTATTCTATTAGATTTGAAAAACCTTGATGTGGCTGAATTACATTTTTAATTCCAAACATTAAACTTAACAATTAAAGCCAAAGGGCATTTACGTCATTAAACTATACCCTTGGAAAACCAAATATCTTTTCATAATCTCGTATTAATGAATGATTACTTTGGATTTATATGATTATTTTTACTTTTAATAAGGGTGAAAAGGTCAATCCGTTATCAACCTTTCCTAAACAAGCCCTAATCTGTGTCGACCTTTGGAAGACAGTGCCCAATTTTACCGCCATCTCTTTATATCTACATCAATCGTGCAACATAAACCAGAGTGATAGAAATTGAAATATTTGGTAGAGAAATTACCAAGTTAACTATTTCCTAATATTTCAAAGTATGTTATGCCAAAATATTGCTGGTATCATCACCACCAATCACGACTTAGCAGACATCACCACCATCAGGATTAAGCAGACACTTAAGGATAAAACAACATTAGTTGTCTAAACCTAAACGCCTAAGAAGATTCTGTGTACTTTCTCAACTTCATTAAATTTGAGGATATTAAGAAAGATTTCACAAATCATTTCATTAAATTTGAGGATATGGATGAAAGATCTTCACAAATCAAGATAAGGAAGATCTTCAGACAACTTACAAAACACTCATTACATTGAGTTGAAAATAGTATAAATAAGCAGTTCTCCTCCTCGAAGAGAAGGTTAGATGACACTGATACAGAAAAAATAGAGAAACTGTACTAGAAAGAGATTGGCTTCTTATTCTCTAAGAATTCCTTACTCTTGAGTGATCGTTCTCTTTGTATGTTTTCATTAACAATTGTAACACCCCACTTGAGGTACGTAGTTAAGATTTGATGAATGGTTCGAATGTTTATCGATTTATCCTTAGTTGAGTCTGTATGTTGTTATTATTGTTTGGTTTATCCTTGGATGAAAAGGTGTATTGGTTTGGTTGAGGTGTTTTTCTTGAAGGTTAGTATGATTTAGCAAATTTTAGGGTATATGTCTTCGCCGGGCGAAGAAGTTTTGTCGCCGCGGCGAAGAGGGAGTGCTTCAACCCGGGCCCTCTGTGAGTTTTCGCCGAGGCGAAGAAAATAGCTTCGCCGCGGCGAAGACTCAGCTGAATGTTTCCCTTGAGTTTTTGAGATTTTCTTTCTTTTGAGACTCAATGACCATTCTACCTTTTAGCAAGAAATGGGGAGTGAATTGTAAGAAATTCATGGAGAATGTTTGATTGGGGTTGTGTTTGCAAAGAATGAAAGTTCTTAATGGAATTTCAAAGAGTGAGTAAGGGTATTTTGGGAAAGAGTGGAGAAAAATATGTATATTAAGGGTAGCTTTAGAAACCCCTTCATTTTGTTTTCTCACCACCGCCTCTTTCATCCCCTATTTCTCTCAATTTTTCATCCAAGATCTCCAGGATTCTTGAAGAGCTTTTGACTAGAATTTGTTAAAAATTGATCCTAAGTACTAAAGGTAAGATTCCTTACTCTAGAAGCAAATTTTCATTTGTTGAAAGAATGAATCCTTATTAAGTTTTGTATTGAAGGTTAAGAGAAAGTTTTAACCATCAAGAGTGGAGAGTTTAAGTGGGTTCTACTGTGTCCAAGGTAGTTAATTCATCTAAGTTGTGATTTACTTGATTGAATGATGTGTAGAGTTTTAGATCTATGATTAATCCTTGAATTATTTATGTTGAAATGAGTTGATGAATTCATGAATGGGTTCAATGTTGTTATATGAGGATTTTCCACCATGAGGAGGGTGATTGTGTTGTGAAATTTTGGTAGAGTATGGTGTAGATTAGAAGTAATTGAGAGGAATTTTTGAGTGTGTTTCTCTTTGCAGGATGTGTGATGATTTAAAGGAGTTGAACTCCAATTTTGGACGGTTAAGAAAGAATATGATTAAAGTTAGAATAGAGTTTATGTATGCACACATATTTTTTGATGAAATGCCTAAAAAGAATAAGTAGAATTAGGAACCTTACCTTATGCAACGTAGCTATTGCATGTCATGAATGCATATAAGAAGATTTTAGGCATGAGTCATCCATATGCATAGTTTAATTGAGTATTCCATAAGAAGAATATGAGAAATGAAAAGAAACACTCTATGATAAGATAAAGAAAAGAAAATTCTCTTGTAAAGAGAAAAGAAAGAACTAGCACTAGAAGATAATGATTCTTAAGTGCTATAGAAAAATAAAAGAAACTAGGTTGTACGATGGGAACTCGTGAGTATAGAGTTACCCTCATGTAAACCGTTATGAAAAGAACGTCTCCGCCATGAGAGAACGGAATGCGTGTAAATCGCTATAAGGAGCGATCTCCGCCATGAGAGAGCGGAATGCATGTGATCCGTTATGAGAAAGACGACTCTGCCATGGAGACGGAATACACGTAAACCGCTATGAAGAGAGGGAGCGGTTTCCGCCATGAGAAAGGCGTTATGAATTGAGAAAAAGAAAGATATAAAGAAAAGAAAGAAAAAAATGAGAATTTGAATTAGAAATTTGATAAGAATACAAAGAGAATTGTAGTAATGCACAGGATGATAGCGTAAGAGACTTTTTACTTACTGGGCATCTTTGTGCTCACTCCGTTGTTTTCCTTTTGGTTGTACAGGAAATAGGTGAGGACTTGGTCAGATGGACGTCGACAAGCGGGGAGATTTGGCTGCACTGTCCCTTGTTTCGTTTTGTTTCGAAAGTCCTTGTACATATGATGTTTTGTTTTGTAACGAATGTGATTACTAAGTAAAGGAAATTTTTGGGCCCAACTTGTTTTGATAAATATGCTATCTTTTTATTAATCGATATTACGAATCTGGTAGAAAGAAACTAGTTGTTACAACAATCGAAGAGAAAGTGTTGAAGTGAAACCGCAAAACACTGTCGCATGGTGCTTAGAGTGGCTAAGTGATGTGCTGCCGTTTTGGGTTTGCTACTTGAATGAATCCTAAGCATTGATTTCATCTGATCCAATGGTTGCTCTTCTCCATCTAGTCAACGGTATATAAGCAGCCCCAAAATGCCAGTTTTCATATCAGTCTTTTTCTCTCTTTAGGGTGAATGTTAGTTCTCTCTTAGGTTTTCATTTTCAGTCCAAAATCAGTGTAACTTCAGTGAGTGAGTCATTAGTTCTTAGTCATTCTGTGAGGGTTTTTTGTTTTCTAAAGGATTAGAGATTCCAAGAAGAGTTTCTCTGGATTAGGAGTTACAGAGTGAGTTTTGGTTGTGAATAGTGAGAGATCAGTTGATCTATGTTCTTGTAAACTGTAAGTTCTTGATTAATTAGTGCAGTGAGCCCCAAATATTCTGGAGCTCAATGTGGACGTAATCTATCCAATCTTGGATAGGTGAACCACGATAAAATCTTCTGTTCGTTCTTGATTGTGCTTGTGAGTGTTGTTTTGGTTGTGTGGTTGATTAGTATTGTGAGATTGATTATTAGGCTTGAATCATAATAGAAAGCCATTAATGAAACCACATAGTAGATGTAAGACTTGCTTATAGCATCCAATACGGGTGAGCACGGGTAGCGGGTAGAACCAGACACAGAATCAAAACCTACCCGGAACCAACACTGTGCAGGTAGGTTTCGGTTTCATTTTATTGGAGCCGACACTATGTGGTTTTGGTTTTGGTTCTCATGGGTTTCAGAACAGGATCCTGGGAAAAGAACTTGAAGCGGGTATTTGACTTGGAACCTGTTTGGAACCTATTTGTGTTTTGGTTTTGATTGAGAAATTTTATGTAAATTGTAATGAATTGATTGAATTCAAGTGTTGCCTAAAGATTAGAGGATTTATAAGTCACATTGGACACAAATGAATAAGTCATCAACAGTTGAAAACTACTAAATAGAGGCTTTCTTAATTTGTTAGGGGTGTATTTGTAATCTTTTACGGTATTTTTGTAATTTTTTAAACAAATAGGGGGTAATTATTTTTTATAAGATACCTGGGTAAGGAACCAGAACCTACATTTTAGGTTCTAGTTCCTTGAATTTAAGAACTGGAATTGACAGGTTCCGGTTTTGGTTCATTTTTTGGGAATGCACCATGCGGTTCTGGTTCCGGTTCCCTCGAAAAATGTAGGGTACTTGGAACCGCTCACTCCTAGCATCCAAACCACTTTAAAACTTCTCATGTTAGTTTTTATTTACGTTTCTTCAAACATATATCACCACTCTATCACAAACACTCTCATAATCATCTCACGTGTAGATTCATAGTAGTTTGCAGTACGTATTTCGTTGGTGTCAAAATCACACATCATGAACAGGTAAGAAAGCACTAGGAGGCCTCTTCGGCCTGTTTGGATCCTCAGGATGTTTTAGACAGTCTGGGGGAGGTAAGATTTATCCTATCATATTCTGGGATATCCACCTCTTTAGTATCATCGTCCTCCTCTTCAGTATGATCCTCCACTTTAGTATAATCCATGATGTGATAATGCCAGCCTTTGAAATACATGCAATTCCCCATACACCTAGAGAACACCTCGCCAAAGAACAACTCATCAGCAGAGATAGGGAATGTACAGAATGGCCGCCCCACAAACAAGACCAAATTGTCCAATTCAACGAAACACGGAGACCACTGATGTTTCTCTCTATCGAATTTACAAGCCCTCATGTCTGGATCATTACTATAAATTACTATAACGTTTCTTTATATCAATTTAATGTTTCCCGGTGTCGTAAATGAAGAACAAATCATTTGATGACTCTACTAAGTACTTATTGCCCATACAACAAGGCTCATACGACTGCACAACTTCAGTAACATTGAAAGAATATGGATCAACAATAATCGTAAGACCTTCTGAGCTCACATCCCATAACTTTCCATCATAGCAAATAATATCATCAAAAATTGCATATTCCCTAATATTATGATTACCCTTGTTTTATGCAATAAACTCATGCTCACCTTTTCTCCACCCTCGCATGATTTTTGAAAATGATCCCAGAAGTTGAAAATTGCTCCCATATGTGTAAACCGCAACTTTATTGCATTTGTCAATCAGGCCACCATCAAGCAATTTCATGATATGTCCTTTAGCTAATTCTTTTACTAGATAGTCTAACAAGATGAACGGCCTCATTAACTTTTTTGGCAAGTATGGAAGACTAATTGGAACAGGATACCTTAGTTGGACCACCAGAGTCCTCTTCCATCTCTATCACCCAACTCATGGCATCGATTAGTTGGAGATTGTATGAAGAGATTGAATTGCGTACACTGTTGTTTGGATGAGTTTATGGCAGGTGGAGAGGGAAGGGAAGGAATAGAGAATGCAATTAGCCGAGTGAGGAATTAGGGATTTGGGAGGTGAAAAAGAAAAAGGGAAAAATTTATAGACAGCGCGTATATTTTGGATTTCAATTTTACCAAGGCGTTTTCTGATCATCCTGAGCAAATCAATCGGGAGTTTGGATCCATCCTTATCCAACTCCCGATCCACCAGTGTCATTTCTCTGGTCTCTACAAATTTACGAGACTTATTTCTGGATTTTATTTAGAGTGCTACTAAGGCTGCGTTTGATTATAGAATGTTTTTATGTTAATATATTTGACCATGAATAGATTGGTAGGGATGTTGTTTAAATTATTAAATTATTATTTTTTTAAATATTAATATAATATTATTTTTATTATTAATTTTTGAATAAATTTTTTAACCCCCAACATTTCAGTAGCTAAAACACTCTCGCTTATATAAAATTTTAATTTATAACAAAATCACCCCTACTACCCCAAGCCACTGCCTGCCACAGCCATCTGTCGTCGGAAGTCACCTGGAGTCACCGTGAGTAACCCACCATCATCAGGAGGCTCTGATATGACTGTTTCTGGCCATATTGATGGCTGAAAACACCCCTATCAAAGTAAATTCGGTTAGAAATGGCCAGATTCATGGCATTTATCAGCCATATCTGGATGAGATATGGTCGTTAACTACCATATCTGATCCAGATATGGTCGTTAACGGTCATATCTCACTCAAATATGGGCGATAAAGGCCATGGATTCGGCCGGAAATGGCCAGAATAGATTTGGCCATTACCGGCCACATCTAGCCCGATAGGGGTGTTTTCGACCATCAATATGGCAAAAACAACCGTATTGAAACCTCCCAATGACGATGGGCTACTCACGGCGACTTCTGACAGTGGCCGGTGGTGGTTTGGTTGGCGACAAGTGGGTAGGGGTGGCAGCGACGAGTGGGTGGGCTGCAATTTGTTTTGAATTCAAGGGTAATTTTGTCCAAAAGTTAATCAATTAGGGTGAAATAATAAAGACCAAATTCATGTAAATTAATTTAAAAATAAGGGTATTATTATCCTAAAATTTTAGTAATAAATGATAGAATTGTAACAAAAATAAGATTACCTTGGTAATCTTACGATACTTAAGAAAATGGAGGTTATCAGATTACCTCCAATATTACCAATAATAATTACTATTGATATTGAAAGATTACTAGAATCTTATATTACTTGACAACCAAACATGATAATCAAGTAATATAAATGACATAACCTTAGTCATCTTATATAACCCCCAACCAAACGCCTTTTAAGAATGAGTCTAAGTTACATAATCTATAGTATTGAATAATTTTAAAAGTTTTCAGAATTCAAAATCCACTTTTAAAGAAATCAATTATCACAATATCATAAAATTAAACATGTGTTCTAATTTTGTATAAATAAAATTTAAAATTATATTAACAAAAAAATTAAAAACATAAACTGGTCGGCAAAGTCGCTAGCCAACTCTGATGACGGTGACTGAAAATATTTTTTTGACGAGTTAAATTACATTGTTAGCACTATTAGAGTCGTCGCCTAAGGATCTCAATGATGTTGGCGATATGCACCCACTCGTGGTCGACAGGTTCGCGAGCAATGGCAGTCGGCCACTGCTAGCCAATTTTCTATTTTTTTAAAATTTCAAACTCTTCAATTTAAGTACTTAATTTTAATTATAGGAAAATAACCAATTCAAAATATTGTATACCTATTTTAGTCTTTTTACATTATTAATATGTCATCTCCCAAAAATAAAAATGCTTTTAAAATTAAGAAAAACAAACACGTTAATAGATTATTTCTAAAGTTGATTATTTTAAAAACAAACCATAAGTGATTATGAGACCTAAGCCTAAATAGATATACAATATTATAATAGCAACATAATTATATTAAATTACAATCTTAAAAATAAAATATAAAATAGCATTTATGATAATATTAAAAACGTTTTAAAAAACAGAACATGGATATTAATAACAGTTTTAGAATATTTAGAGAATGTTATGAAAGTCATAGAATAGCTATTAAACGTCTTTTTTTTTTTTTTTTTTTTTTTGTGTTAACTAAGGTGTTCAGACCAATTTACATGCACCTTAATTAATTCTTAGGAGAAATTATCCTACAACAATCCACCGTCGACCACTTGATAAATCATAAGTAAAGATACTACTTTTATGCCTAACAAGAAATCGAACCAAAGACTGAGGGTTGAAGCATTTTTGTTATAGTGTTTTGAGAGTAATTGGTATTAATATGATACAATTAAGTCTAGTAGCCAAATATGTTAATTGTCCCCATCTCAGTCAAACACTCTAATCATGTCTTAACATGGTAATTAAGAAGGTGTAAATAAGAAGAATGTTAGTTAAATGCAAGCTAGGTATAGTTATGACATAATAAATAAATAAAGTATAGATTATATTTAATATGATATGATATTGGGGATTTAAGTAACGATATAGTAGCAGTAGCAGTCATGGTCGGGATTGTAGTAAGGTAAGGGACAGGTAACAACACGGCACGTGACAAGGTCTTACTCATAAAACCTGCCTGCCCCTGCCTATCTCCATCTCTCATGAGACTACATAAAAAAGTTAATCAGCTGTTGCTAGCACAAACGGTTATGGCGTGAGCAGCAAACACTGCCAGCTGGTTACAGTTGGACGGATTTTCTGTACATCTACCAACACGTGTCCTCTTTTCTTCTTTTGACATCTGGACTTTCTTCATTTATTGCTCTTTACTTTTATATCCCCCATCTCATTCAAACATGGGAGCATGGCTGAATCTGGACCATCCCATTGCAGAATACCCGTTTCATCCTACTTCCCTTCTCTAATTATAACCCACTTTCCCTAAAAAGGCAACAGTGGCATTTCTGTTATACTTCTGAGCCGTCAGGGAGATATCTGCGAATCGATTTCACTTCTGGGCACCCAAGGATGAGTAGATCTTGCTGATAACCGATCAGTCATAATCAATTTCACGCTATTTCCATCGAATTATCGTTAAATTGTGAATTAAAAACTGATAAATATATATATATATATATATGTACACATACGTAATATAATAATCAGAATCCGCCAAAGCAGAAGAAGCTTTCGGACTTCGGAGACATAGCATGGGAATTAGCTGGATTTGTGATATAGAATAGAATAGAATAGAATAGAAGAGAAGAAGCTCATTGATTGTTTGAATTCTGTTTGAATTTGGTCAGAAATGACGAGTGCTGTGGGCTCAGTGGATGAAGCAGTTGAAGAGATTATGAAAATTCACAAATCCTTGCCGGCGAGACCTGGAATCGATGAAATAGAGGCGGCCAAAGAGTTGATCCAGAACGTGGAGAAGGAGGACCAGGGCAGACTTGAAGCCATTGGTAGATTGAGCAAGAGTCCGGATGTTCCTGAAGAGTTGTTCATGGTGTTACAAGAGATGCGGAAGAACTTGGTTTATTATCACAGCAAAGAACAGAAACGTGAGGCCTTGAAATTACTCGATCTTGAGAATGTCCATGCTCTGTTTGATGATTTTATTCAGAGAGCTGCTAATTGTATCCCTTCCTCTTCTTCTTCTACTTCAAACTCTAATTATAACACCTCTAAGTCCTCTTCCGCTTCCCTTCCTGCCGCCAAAACCAAGTCAACTTCCACTGCAACTGCAAACGCCGCTCCTGCCACTTTATATTACCCTGAGAAGGCGCCTGTCAAGACTTCAGAATTGGTTACTAGGGATGACAGTTATGTGAAGAAGGCCAAGTCTTCTCTCTATTCGGATGGAATTGGAACCACCGTTTCATCCACCCCTCATATAGTGGATTCCACTCTAAAATCAGGTTAGCTTCATTACTCTCTTTAATTTTTGTTTTATTTCTAAGAATTAAGAGTATTTACTTGTTTTAGAATATTTTTTATGTAGGTCAAGATGGTGATAAATTGAGTTTAATTAAGCTGGCTAGTTTGATTGAAGCCTCTAAGAAGAAAGGTACTAGAGATCTCAATCTCCAAAACAAGTTGATGGATAATGTTGAATGGTTACCGGAATCAATAGGAAAATTATCCAGTTTGATTTCTCTAGATTTGTCTGAGAATCGAATTGTGGCCTTACCGCCCACTATTGGGGGCCTTTCGTCATTGATGAAGTTGGATTTGCATGCAAACAGAATTCTTCAACTCCCTGATACCATTGGAGATCTCCTTAATTTGGTTTCTCTAGACCTGAGGGGAAACCAGTTATCAACTCTGCCTGCTACCTTTGGCAGATTGGTACGCCTTGAAGACCTTGATTTGAGCTCAAACCACCTATCTTCACTCCCTGATACAATAGGTTCACTTGTTAGCCTCAAGAAATTGAATGTGGAAACCAATGACCTTGAAGAACTTCCACATACTATTGGTCAGTGTTCTTCACTTAGGGAGCTTTGTGTGGATTATAACCGGCTTAAAGCCCTTCCGGAAGCAGTAGGGAAGATTCAAACTCTGGAGGTTCTCTCTGTGCGCTATAATAACATCAAACAGTTACCTACAACTATGTCATCTCTGTCAAACCTGAGGGAGCTTGATGTAAGTTTCAATGAGCTTGAGTCAGTACCTGAGAGCTTATGTTTTGCAACCACACTTGTCAAGATGAACATAGGAAACAATTTTGCTGATATGCGTTACCTGCCGAGATCTATTGGAAACCTGGAGATGCTTGAAGAGTTGGATATTAGCAATAACCAGATCCGGGTCCTTCCAGACTCATTTAGGATGCTAACACGACTGCGTATACTTCGTGTGGATCAAAATCCGTTGGAAGTGCCTCCTAGACATATAGCTGAAAAGGGTGCACAGGTAATGTCTCTTTCTCCTTGAACATGTAATTCTATTATTATTCATTAATATTATTATTTTCTATGTCAGGTATACATCTTGTTTCTTTGTTTTGGACAGGCTGTGGTTCAGTATATGGCTGATCTTGTTGAAAAGAGAGATGTTAAGACACAACCAGTTAAGCAAAAAAAGAGTTGGGCTCAGATTTGCTGCTTCTCAAAGTCTAACAAAAGGAAGCGCAGTGGTATAGATTATGTGAATGCTTGAGCTGTACTGAAAAAGAGGCCGATTTGATCTCTTAAAATGTAAGGTCTTAAAATTGTCTTTACGTCTAGTCTGTTCATGAGTTGTATGAAATTTGGATCATGTTATTGTATTAGGACTGAAACTGGGAGCTCAGTTCAACTGATTGTGATGGAGAATGTAGAATTCAATTGTCTGGGTTAGGCTGGAAAGTACTAGAGGATGTGCTATTGAGAATACAAACACTCGAAACATACATGGATTTGATTACCTTATGATGGTGACAAATGACTCCATTATTCATCTTGCAGGGGTTTCTTCAGAGTCAGTGAGATGAAAAGCAAAGATCATTATGCAGCTGATACCATGCATTAACGACAGGTGTGGGTTTATAAAACATGGCATCTGACTTATGTATCCACAATTGTAGATATCCTTGTTCCTCTTTTTAATTTTCAATTTTTGTAATTTTTTAAATTAAATTTTATTCCAACTGTATCTCTGTTGTTGTGAAACTATAATGAGGTGTACAATTGAGCCGGCAAACAGGAGGGGAAAGGAATTGTTGTTCTTCATATCCCTCGTTGTAAAATGAAGTTTGAGTTTACACTTTTCATCACTTCTAATAGAAATTTGTTTATTTTTAAAACTGAATCCAGAATATCCTCTGTTGCTCCTCTCGATTGTTGTGAATTTAATCCGAAATAATTCTCAATGTACTAGTTTTGTAGAAATAGTGTTTATTCGTACATCTGGTGTAAGGTTTCAGAGTGATGCTAGATTTATTACTTAGCAATCTCCAGAAATATCTTGTTAAGCAATGACATTAGCTATGGTGATGCTTTTGACACGCTGCACACATTCTGTGGGTAAATTTATATGTTTATGATTGTTATGTTGCTGGTTTGGTTTGGTTATACAAAGCTGAGTGATTAGTTAGCACATTTGGATGGATACCAAACTTATTTTTTCCCCGTGATAAAGGTATTATTATGATTCATATCCAAACCTGAAATTGTTTATAGTTTTTGAGTAGGGATTTTCTTTTGATTTTCACAGAACAAACATAAGATTGTGATTGTAGCGGATAGTTCATAAAAAAGAAAAAAAAAAAAAAAAAAAAAATCTTAACCACGTATCTATCTATAGAAATTGAGTAGAAAATTTAAATTGTTGCTGGCATTTATGTGGCAGTTGGTGAGATGATCCAGCAATTACTCTTGGTCCGCCGTGTCATGTGTGCATTCAACATGACATGATATGCTGTGCCAGAATCAACCACCACAGAAGTTGTCACGTTCCATGCTGCTAGTGAATGGCTGTAGCTTACAAAAAGATTGATCCCCTCATTAAGTAGATGATTTTTGTGTGTAGCTAAGAAACAGATAGTAAAAATGGGTTCATCTTTAACCAAATTAACAACTTTTTCTCACCCAAATGATTTTTCTCACCCAAATGATGGTTTAATGACAGCTTTTTCACTCTTAAATTTTTAAAATATCATTTTATTATTTAAATTTATATTCCGACGGCAAACTCGGTTTAGGCTATTGGGATTTTTGAAGAGGGAAGACCGATGAGTCATTTGGTAATAGAAAGTTAGATTTTAGTGGTTGAGATTTATCAGAATTTAACTTAGGAGAGGCGACTATACAAACCCTGATCGCTGAATTGTCAACAATTGGTGGGGTTAACAGAAATAGAGTTTGAGAAGTTTTGATGAGTGATGATTGAAGAAGAGAATAATGATGATGTGATTGTATATTGTTATAATGATGCTCGATTGAAAATAAAGTATAAATTTGGATAACAAAATAATATTTTAAAAGTCCATGGCGAAAAAATGTTATTTTACCATTATTTTATTTGAGTGAGAAAGAGTAATTTATTTTACCCTCTTTAACTAGGTAAAATGATTGGTGTCTCAGCGATGGGTTGTAGTAGTGTGGTTACCTAACCCTATGTGGATTATAATATGAATGAGTAACCAATGGGAAAGTTGATAAGACAATAGCACCCCCAATTAGGCAACTTGATTGACCCTAAAGGCTAAATCAATGGATATGGAGAAAGCTGTCATAAAGAAAAGAGGATAAAAAGCAAACTTTTTATGAAGCCTGATGATCCCACCATTCCATAACTTTGTTTGGTAACTGTCACTTCTATAAAACTATTCTTAATTCCGTTTTAATTAAAATAATTAACTATTCTTACATCAAATGAATAATCATTGGTCGTCCCAAAAATCATTCAAACTTGCATTTAATTAAGAAGCAGATCATGTGCTGTGAGGTTCAGGATAAGCATTTCTCACCATTTTTGTCTGCACCTTCTCAATATATAAAAACATATTGACATGCATGTGACTAATGTCCTTATTTTTATCAGTTTGGGTATCAAAAATTTATGTCAAATATCTTGTACGAGATTATAGTAAAAAGTGGTTTTACTACTCTGTAGAGACCACTTTATCTCAAATCAAGAATCTAATTCCAGAATGAGTAATGGTGGTTGTACTGTACTAGTAGGTCCAATTCCTATAATGTTCCAGGAGGATATACCAATAATATTTCACTTTGGATTCTTCATCCAGTCTTCGATTACATTTTTTAATGCTCATGCTGCAACTTGATTATTAAAGTAAATGATAAGAGACAAAGACTAAGGCGAAGGAGCCAATTGTTAATTCATTATGTAACATGCCATCTGAAGAAGCTTTATATGAAATAAAAAGAGCAGTTGCCTTCTGCAAATTGAATGTGAAAATGGAGATTGAGTATCAGGGGTTCAACTACCTTAAAGTGGCTACAAAAATAGGAGGGAGTTCAAAGACAAAGAGGGCATGGAGATTATTTGTGAGGAGAGTTGTATCATGGGCATTTGATAAGCTTAAGAGGAAGATGTGTAGAATCCCAGATGGAAAAGAAAAGGAAGTGAATTTGCAGTATGACATTTTAAGCTACGCAAAGAATTTTGATGATGGAAGATGGCAAGAAGAGGAGTTTGATTTCTACGGTTATGGATCATTTAGTTACAGATTCGTGCAACTGCAAGAAGAAGACAATAATATTTTGGAACTGGAATTGTAATTGGTTTGTTTGGAATCACATGTACAACAAACTTTGTCAAATATATCATAAAGAAGGTTATTGCCGTGATTTGATCTATTTTATGAATAGTTATAATAAGAGAAGGAGAACACTACATGAGTGGTGACATTATATGTATATAATACTTGGAGTAGTGGATGAAAAATGATTACCTAAGAGAGTGGGTAATAAAAGCTCCAAATCACTCACCCAATGCAATAATTGAAGATAAAATAAAATAATTTAACATGGAGGGGGCCTTAGATTTTGGTTGATTGTGATTATGAAAGCAAAAAAAATCACTTTTCCAACTTATACCCCATTTGCATTTGCCCTTTTACAAGAACAAAATTCCTCCATTTGGATGGCTTCACATGCAGCTCCACATATCCATAATAGCCCACCAACTTGACGATGTGAGAATGTTCAAAACTTCTAATACCCTTCATCACACATAATATGATACTGGTTGGGCTTAAGTATAATCAAGAGCTTAGGTAAAAGCCACCTCGCATGATATGACGATGTGGGAACATTCAACTTCTAATACCCTCCCTTACCCATAATATGGTGATGTGGGAAGTTCAACTTCTAATAACATCCATGTTAAGAGTCTAGAGTTTAAAGAATTATCATAGGATGGATTTAGGAAGAAATTAGTTGCCAGATTAAACAGATCTAAAGCAAGATAACCAAGATAATCAAGCAAGGAAATAAAGGAATGAAAGCAAAGAGCAGTAACATGATAATTTATAGTGGTTCAGCTTTGCAGCCTACATCCACTCTCCAAAGCTCAAAATAGGACATCATTGATCATCAAGAGGCCAAGTATTACAGAGAATTTAACACAGGTAAGAAAAACAAAGAAAGAACACACCCGAATAGAAACCCCTAGGCTTCTCTATGAATGGTCTATCTTTCTCCACAACCAACAAGATTGATTTATACACAAGAGTCACTCCTAAGATCAGCCTCCACCTGTATGAAGCAATTTTCTAGCCGGAGATGAATAACATAAATGATTCTTATCCATTTCCATGCTTCACAAAAGAGGATGAGAATGAAAGATGCTTGCAAGAAAGACGGATCAAATGACATGACAATAGAAGTTATCCTTATTTGAAACAACGTCACTTGCTGCATCTTATTGTAATTGACTTCTTTGACTCTTATAACAAATGTTGACTCCACTGTGGCAAAACATAAGCCACATCACCACAATTCTCCACCTTGGCTTTTGATTTGACACCCTATTTAGCCTTGGAAATTTACCCTTCATTACTTGACATGAAGAAGGCTCATGCAGAGCCTATGTTTATCAGTAGTCACTGTCTTTGTAAACATGTCAGCTAGATTATGAGAACTAGTCACCTTTTCAATTTTGATTTCACCCTTCTCAATCAATTCTCTAATGAAGTGAAGTCGAACATCAATGTGCTTGGTGTGTTCGTGAAAGACTTGGTCCTTACACAAGTGTATGACACTCTGACTATCACTGTTAACAACAACTGCCCTCTGTTCTAAACCCAACTTGAAATATTTTGGGAAGTTGGTGAATATTTATCTTTATTTTTCCCATATTTCTTCTTCTTCTGTTTATGCCAAACTCATCTTAATCTTTCATTTTTAAAACTTCCGTTAAATATTCCTCCGCTGTTAAAACAAAAATTAAGGGAGAACTTATATATTTTTAATTTCGAAATTTGATAAAAATTTATAAATAGGATAAAATTTGTAGAAAAGATACAATTAAGTTAACATATATATGTTAATTTTAAGATTTGTTATAAATTCATAGTAAAGGAAGGATAAAATTTATAGAAAGAATTCAGTTAATATATATATGTTAATTTTTAACTTAAGATAAAAATTTGTATAAAGGATTAATGGAGAAATGATTGGGAAGTAAAAAAAAAAAAAATAATTTCACCATTGTCCCGTCAAAACTCTCAACTCACCTTTTCTTTTCTCTCTCTCTCTCTCTCTCTCTCTCTCCTGTCTTTATAGAACTTATAAATTTGAGAACCAACTACTCCTTTTTGCTTTTACTAAGAACGCCCCCAACATCATTTTCAGTGAAACTTCTTGTAAGTCCCTCTTTGCTCCACCTTTATCATTTCTCTTAATGTAAATATTGCTTTTTTTTTTTTTTTTTTTAATCTTCTTTTCTTACCTCATCTTCATCTACAAACAACAAAATGTTGAGATTTAGCCGCCATTTTTCTCCTAAATTTGGGAACTTGAAACAATTGTTTTGGTGCATATAAGTTTTAACATTTTCTTATTTGATTTTTCTCATTTGGCGTATATAGTTTATGTCAACAATCTGAAAATACTAAACATGCCGACTGCCAATTGCTGAAAGATCCTTTTTGAATTATATTTTATTAGCTATATTCTGATCAACATTGTAGACGTAAAAATCTACTTGTACGGAAGGAGGGTCTGATCCCGTGAGATTGAGGCCACTAGCGATCCACTGCACCTGCACACGTAGAAAAACAAACGCGTGAAGCGAACGAGAAACACCAGGGTGGTGTTTGCCGTAGGCACTCCGACACTCAAGTCAGCAAGGCTGAAAGAGGCTAGTATAGTAAGGGTTAGGGAATAAAGAGGTTACCGAAAGTTTAGTCGGAGACTGTGACTACGGCGGTGATGTAAAGCTCTCAATTAGGAGCTTCGGGTGTGAAGCTGTAATGTAGTGTGTCCCTTGTGAGAGGGCTGGCCTCTGTTTATATAGTGATTGTCTGGTCCCCCAATCCTGGTGGGAGTAGGAGTCCTAATGTGACTCTGATGCAAACCCTAGAAGAATTAGGGTCGTGGTAAGCTGTCTTACCAGTGTCCGGATAAGAAAGTGATTCTGATCAGAAAAGTAACTTCGAGTAGGAAAGTGTTCTGAACAGGAAAATGACTTCGAGTAGGAGATTGATCAGGAACATGAATATGATAAGTGGGCCGTGGGCTCGGAACTTGCCTATAGGCCCAGGAAGTGAACTGGAACTGGGAGGCCTGTGCCCAGATGGTTTGGGCAGGCTGTACCTCGTATCGAATGGGACTAATCTGGCTTGGGCCTCTTTGGGATTTAGGCTTCGTCTTCTCTTCACAAATGGTCATACTTTCCTATTTGGGCCGATGACGATTTTTGGCCCTAACAAACATATATAAGCACAAGTAAATATAAAAATTTATTAAAGTCTAAACATTTCATTCATTTATGGCTTCTAAATCAAAGTCTGTCTTGATATCAGTTGTTGTGCTGAGGCTCCTAACACTTGGATTGTTAGCTGCTTCTATTGTTTTATTGTATCTAGATAAATTCACTCTTAGTGGTGATACCAAAATTTCTTTCAAGGATGTTATTGTGTATAGGTAAAAATAATCTCCTAAATTTTTAGTTAAACTACAAAAAAAAATAAAAATAAAAAAAATAAAAATAAAAATAAAAATTGTTGAATTTTAAAAAGCATGACTGCAAATTTTATATTTCAAGAGTTTAAAATGTGAATTGGTGCAGATATGTTATAGCAACAGGAATTATCGGCTTCCTTTACACGCTTGTTCAAATTCCATTTGCAGTATACCATGCTTCTAAGGGAAAGAGGCTTATCCGAAATAGGTGTCTTCCAGAGTTTTACTTTTTCAGTGATAAGGTAATAATACATTTTTGTTACTTTTTATGCTTTAATGGGATGCATTTATCAATCCTTTGGAAGTAAATTATTTAATTAATGTTGTTAGTTAATTAATTACTCAACTATTTTCTAAATGTATTAGTAAATAATCCAATAGTGGAGTGACTTTACTTATTTTTTAATACAATTTGGTGTGACATAAATATATAAAATTAATGTAATATTATATAGAGGTTATTGTTATTTTTTTTCTCCTTCTCTCTCTATATATATTTCTATGACAATTTTTTTTTTTTTTGCAGAATGAAAAAATGATCAAGGAGGGACCATCAACACATGGATGCTTTCATATTTATATCAATAAAATAGCTGTAGTAGACTATCTTTAGCTTTTATGTGTTAAACGTATTAAAATTATAATGTTGTTGACTGTATATATTTTAATAAATTTTTCCTTGATATAATTTCATCTTAAGTTAAAAGTGATATATGGATTCATAGTTTTGATAATGATAATAGCTGTACATTTCATTGTGGGAAAAAAAGGATAATTATTTATAATTTTATTTATTAAATGTGAAATGTATATATAAAATTGTCAGATCAAATTGATATAAAATAACTTTTGTTACTCTTTTAAATTGTTGAAAATATATTTTTGTCACTTTTAATATTAACAAAAAAATTATATAAGGCTTCAAAATTTAATGACTTAAATTTTTGTCACTACACTTTTCATGTTTTTGACAAAAAATATTTCTATTGCTATTAACAAAATTTGATAAATATAATTTATCACGATTTTAATTTTCCCATAATTTCTTTTTTTCACTTGAATATTCTTTTTACGAAAAAGATTCGTCACATTTTAGAAGCACAGACATGAATATTTTTATCATTATTGAGATGTCAAAAAATATTTGTCACGCTTATATTATTTTGACAATAAAAAATCTGTCATGTAAAAATATTTGTATAAAAAATTATTTGTCATGCCATTAAATTTTTTACAAAATTATTTCTGTCACTATACAATTTTTGACAAATAATATTGTCATATAAACAAATATGTGACGAAATAAAAGTTGTCACAATAAAGTCAATGACAAATAAATTTCTGTTACTATTAAAATTATGACCAAATAATTTAATTACCATTTACAATTGTGACAAAATCAATTTTGTCATAATATATGATTTTTTCACCATAAAGCTTATCATTTGGTCTTTAAATATAAATCAATTGTGACAAAATATTACTTGTAATGATAAAAATTGCTTTTTATTGTTATAAATAATTTATCACAATAAACTAGTTTAAAGTGACAAATTATTATTGTCACAATAAATAATTAGGTTAAAGTGACCAAACGCTCTTTCGTCACTATACACTTAAGAGTACGAGCTTAATGTGACCAACCTGATAACCAATATAATTCCCCATATTAAAGAAATGGTCACAATTTTGATATTTATAGTAACAAATTATTTTGTTGTGAGAAGCCTAAATTCTTATAGTGTTAGCTTCTTTTGCTGCCTCAGTCAGCTTCTTTTGCTGCCTCAGTCAATACCATATATTCCTATTCAGTTGAGGATAATTTGACCATATGTTGTATTTTAGACTTCCAACTAACAATATTTCCCAAATTGCAAACACAAAACCAAAAGTGGACTTCCTCCTGTTAATATCACCAGCATAATCTGCATCCACAAAACCTTCAACACAACAATTTTCCTTTTGATTTTTTCTGAACACAATGCCTACTAAACTAGACCCGTTTAAGTACCTCAAGATCCATTTTAATGCAGACCAATGAACCTTTCCTAGGTTACTCATAAACCTGCTCACAAGGCTCACCGAATATGCAAGATTAGGCCTTGAGCATACCATCAAATGCATTAAACTGCCCAGTGCACTTGCATAAGGAACATACGCCATTTCAAGCTTCTTTTCTCCAGTTTGAGGACTCTGATCATGAGAAAGCTTAAAGTGTTGGCCAAGAGGTGTTTGAACAACTTTTGCATCCTTTATATTGAACTTTTGTAGAATCTTTTTAGCATAATAATCTTGCTGAACCAGCTTCAGACTTTCATGAACTCTATCTCTAATAATTGAAATACCAAGCACCTTTGAACTTGACCCATCTCTTTCATTTCAAACTTGTTATTCAACATTTTCTGCAGCCGAGATAACTCATATGTGTCTTGACAAGCCACCATCATATCATCCATATACAATAACAAGAAAATATGTGTCAGATAAGAAACTCTCTTAAAATATAAACCAAACATAAAAGAACCAAACTTTTTGTACCACTGTCATGGTGATTGTTTTAAGCCATATAATGATTTTTTAAGAAGGCAAACTTTACATGCTGAACCATTATATCCCTTAGGCTGCTCCATCGGAATATTTTCTTCCAGATCACCATGCAAGAAGGCTGTCTTTACATCCAGTTGCTTTAATTCAAGGTTGAATTGGACAACAAGGGATAACAACACCCTGATAGATGTATGTTTAACCACTGGAGAAAAGATTTTATTGTAATCTATAGTCTATACATGTGTAAACCCTTTTGCAACTAATCTAGCTTTATATCTAGGTGGTTCAATGGGAGTTAAGCTTGGTTTTCTCTTGAAAATCCACTTGCATTTGACAACTCTACAACCTTCATATTTCTCAACTAATGTCCATGTTTCATTGTTCAAAAGAGAACTGAATTCTTCTTCAATTGCTTTCTTCCATTGTAATTTTTCAGCCCCTGAAATAGCTTCTTGAAAGGTCTTAGGTTCATCGATCATTTCTTCTTCAACTTGTAAAGCATAGGCAACTAGATCAACATATCCTAACCTGTTAGGGGGTTTTATTACTCTTCTTACCATATCCCTTGACAATTGGTAATTTGTCAAGTCTAACTCATCATCATCATGATTTCCCTTTTCCACCTCACACTCACTAGTTTGTTGACCCTCAAGATTTTCAAGATACCCTTCCTCACCTTGCATCTCATTAGCTCCACCTTGATTCAGGGTATGGTCAGTTTTTGAATTTTGAACCTCAAATTCTAGATGATCTAACCCCAAAGAACTCTCTTCTGATTTTCTAGACTCTTTTTTCCAGACCAAGTAGAATGTCTTCTCTAAAAACAACATCCCTACTTACAATACATTTCTTAGATTCTAAATTTCAGAATTTATAACCCTTTACCCCATCTGGGTATCCTAAAAATATGCATTTGATAGCTCTACATTTTAACTTATCTTCTCTAACATGGACATAAGCTAAACACCTAAAAACTCTAAGATTTCCGAGATTCATAGGATGACTAGTCTACTTCTCCACAGGAACTTTAAAACGTATTACTGAGGATGGTGCTCTATTTATGAGATAGACTATTGTGTGTGCTGCTTATACCCATAACTTGATTGGCATCTTAGAACAAGACATTATACTCCTAACCTTCTCCAAAATAGTTCTGTTCATTCTCTCACAAAGGTTATTTTGTTGTGGGATATTCCTAACTGTTTTGTGTCTCACAATATGAGTTTTACAGAAATTTTTGAGTTCCTCATTTACAAACTCTAGACCATTATCAATCCTAAGTTTCTTCAATTTCTTTCCAGTTTGTGTTTCTACCATGATTTTCCACTCTTTAAACCTAAAGAATGCCTCATCCTTGATTTTGAGAAAGTAAATCCACACATGCCTAGAAAAATCATCAACAAAACTGACGAAGTATCTACATCCCCGAGAAAGTAATGTTTAGATGGCCCCAAACATCTTAGTGAACATACTCAAGTGGTGAACTTGAGTAATGTTGACCAGATCCAAATTTAAATTGCTCGTTTTACCAAAAACATAATGTTCACAGAAAGTTAGACTCTTAGTTTTATCCCCACACAACAAGTTTTGCTTATTCAACTCTACTAAGCCATTTTCACTAACATGAGCAAGTCTTTGATGCCACAATGGAGTTTTATCTTGAACTTCTACCCTTTTAACACATATAACCCATTTTTCTTTTTAGCATTCATAATCACCAGGGATTCTTTCATCACACTAAGACTACCATTTGCAGCTTTATAACTCAAGCCAATTGAGTCTAGTGTACCAAGTGAGATTAGGTTTCTTTTAAGGTCAGTGATATACCTAACATTAGTGAGAGTTTTAGTTAAGCCATTATGAACATTCAGCCTAACAGTACCTATAACTTTGATATGACAGACAACATTATTTCCTATCATAACTTTCCCACCATCTAAGAACTAATTCTACCCTTAGAAATGACTAAGACCTTTGAGTTTTCATATCCCTCAAATACTACCCCAACACTACCTTCCTCACCATCTTTTTCATATTTTTTTTGTTTTTGTTTTTTCTCTCGAGACAGTCTCTCCTAAGGTGACCTTCCTTATGGCAAAAGAAACATTTCCATTTCCTTGATTTGGATTTCAACCTATTCCTATTCTCTCCATCACCACTGTGTTTATCTCTCATCCTATTTTCACTATCCTTGGTCGAAGTAGCCTCTACGACCTCCTCTAATTTCAGTGTTTGTTTACCATATTTCAAGGTTTCCACAAAATTATAATATGATTTAGGTAGTGAGTTTAACAGAATCACTGCTTGATCCTCATCATCAATTTCTACAAAAATACTTTCTAAATCCTGAATTATTTTTAGAAACTCATCTTTGTTATCTTTCAGTGATTTCATCTCATCCATTTTAAAACCAAACAATCTTTGCTTTAAAAACAACCTATTAAGAACAGTCTTAGCTTGATAGAGAGAATCTAACATGTTCCAGATTTTAACAACTGTCTTCTCCTTCTTAACCTCCCGAAGGACTTTGTCACCTAGTCCAAGGATCAAGGAGCTTTTCGCTTTATTCAGCATGTCCCACTTCTCAAACTCTATCATGGTCTCCAGCAATTCAGTCTCTTCTTTTAACGCCAAGGCCAACCTTTCCTTTATCAACACTGCTTCCATCTTCATTTTTTATAGATCGAAATCATTCTCCCCTGTAAACTTTTCAAGTTCAAACTTAGTAGACATGATTCTCAAATTCGAAAAACAAAGAATCACAGTGATAATCAATCAAGCGAATCACTCCCAAACGACTAAATCCCAGACAACTCAAGAAACCCTAACGAAGCCATAAACTAGGCTCTGATATCAATTTGTTAAGAGTCTAGAGTTTAAAGAATTATCACAGGATGGCTTTAGGAAGAAATCAATTGCCATATTAAACATATCTAAAGCAAGATAACCAAGATAATCAAGCAGGGAAATAAAGGAATGAAAGCAAAGAATAGTAACATGAAAATTTATAGTGGTTTGGCTTTGTAGCCTACATCCACTCTCCAAAGCTCAAAATAGGATATCATT